CTTTGCGTTTGGAGTATCATTCAGCCTAACCATAAGCTGCACTACCCACGTCTTCAACTGTGTCTCACTATGGCTGCATGAAACGTTTTACTATATGAATATGATTGCCTTGAACGTTTATGGTTTTGGATCAGTGATTGCCTGTTACTATTATATTTTGCCAACACTGAACGTAATGGATGTCACTCGAGTATCTCAGTTAATGCAAAGACATGGACGATATACAGAATACAGTGTTCTGCTTAAGACGTACAATGCCATTTGCATTCCTGCCACCTTCTTACTGCTCATTGTCAGCACCATTGCTGCCTGCAAAACGTACCTCGACTCTATGCAATATCACCTTGCGATCCGAGCAGCAGCGTTGGCCATACCACTCAGCGTGACATTTCCCATCTTCATCGAAACTTTGTTCTTCGAACTTCACTTGAGTAATGCTACCTTATTCTTTTACTTTTGCAGACAACGCACTTGGCTGGGATTGTCACTTTTTTTCACTGTCAGCAAAGTTCCAGAAAAGATTTGGCCAGGGCACTTTGACATCTTAGGGCACAGTCATCAGTGGGTTCACGTCTTTACTTCCTTCGCTCTTTATGATCAACTGTGTTATTTGGAACATGGACTAAATACTTTTGCTAAAACTTCACCACCCTACCCACGGTTTGCTGGCACAGTGGGTCCAATGTTTCTTTTGTTAGGTAGCCTTCTGATAGCCATTCAAATATTTGCTAAGTATTCTCAAATTTCTGTGCAAGATTAATAAATATTAACATTTTAATGCTGTGGGTGAAATTTGAGTCCTGTGGAGCTTGCAAATGTGTGCGTTTTCAGGAACATTTGTGATTTTCTTTTTCTTTTGTTTGAATGTCTATGTGATGTCAGATTAGGCAATGGGCTGGGCCAATAGAAAAGTGCGGCCACGATTTTCTGTGGAATCTGCTATAAACAGCGCTCTCCGCTACAAATGAAGTTTCTGCCCCCAGGCCTCTCCCGGTTGTTTACCCGACGTCACTGTGAAAAAATGTAGGTTGGCAGTAAAATGTACCTCAAGAGCACCAATCAACCCCCGCAATTTTCCGCGAAATTTGACAATCCCCCCTGCAAATTTTTCGCAAATATTTCCGCACTTTTCTATTGGCCCAGCTCAAAGGTTTTGTAAAAGTTATGGAAAATAAAACAAACAATTTAGGTTTGCTTTTAAAGCGCTATATCAAATGCAAGGATTATTATTATTATTATTATTATTATTATTATTATTATTATAATAACACAGCAAAAAGAAGAGCTGATGGGCAAATTATCTATTGCTCCATGAATGTGTTAAGCGTTTTTTTGCAGGCTACATAAAGAGTGAATGCTTCATATACTGTCATGTCTGGCGTCTCCCAGGGCTCTGTCCTTGGCCCTCTCCTCTTTAATATCTATATGCCCCCCCCCTTGGTGACATCATCCGCAGACATGGGGTCAATTTCTATATGTATGCGGATGACACCCAACTCTATCTTTCTGCCTCCACTCTCAATTCCAGGACCACTGCTGTCCTGACAGACCGCCTGTCGGACATCAAGTCCTGGATGAGGGCAAACTTCCTACAGTTGAATGTGAACAAAACTGAGGCCCTCCTGATTGGCTCGCACCAGCGCCTCAGCACCTCAGGCTCTGGCAGCATCAACCTCCATGGTTGCACACTTCAACTCACCAAGCCATTCGGGAACCTGGGTGTCTTTTTCGACCCTCAACTGTCTTTTCTTCCCCACATCCGAGCCATGACCCGCTCTGCCTTCTCTCACCTCCATAACATTGCCCGACTCCGCCACTACCTCACCCCTCAGGCCGCTGAAACCCTTGTTCATGCCTTCATCACCTCCAGATTCGACTATGCAAACGCCCTGCTTGTCAGCCTTCCCAACTCCTCCCTCCACAGGCTGCAGATAATCCAGAACTCTGCAGCCCATGTCCTCTCCCGCACCAAACTCCGTGACCCCATCTCCCCTATTCTCGCCCAACTCCATTGGATCCCTATCCTTCAGAGGATCCAGTTCAAAATCCTGGTCCTCACCTACAAAGCCCTCAACGGTCTCAACCCGCCATATCTCTGTGTCCTATTCCCCTACCAACCCACTCGCTCCCTCCACTCAGCCGGCTCTGGCCTACTCCACGTCTCCCGACCCAGCCGCCCCCACCATTGGCGGGAGAGCCTTCAGCCACTCTGCCTCCAACCTCTGGAACTCCATCCCCCAATCACTCCACCTCACCTCCTCCTTAGCCTCCTTCAAGTCCGGCCTCAAAACGCTCCTCTTTGACCATGCCATTGGTCACCGTCCTTCCCCTCCCCTCCCTTCTCCCCCCTAACTCCAGCTCGGGTCTGAAATGCTATACACCATCCAGCGTCTTGGGATGTACTCCCGACGTGAAAGGCGCTATACAAATGTAATCTTGTTGTTGTTGTTTTTGATGCAAGGAACAGTCAATAGCTCCTATAAACAAGTCCTGTCAGACAAGCATTGTTTAACATGTAGCTCATCAATCCCCACTGAATATTTGGTTTATACTGTAGGTGACACTATGCTTCAATCTCTTCTATTCTTTATTCAGTCAAACAGGAAATAATTAATGAGAGATTAAATAGCAGCTTCTGTAATTGTACTCTTATTTCTTATACCCCCACATTTATGTTTCTGTTCCTTGCCTTTGAATGACGATAATAATAATAATCCTTGCATCTGATTTAGTGCCTTATTACATCATTGAGATCTATCAAAGCACATCACAGAATATACTGGATTGACTTTGTATTTTATGGGCAAACTGTGGCAGTTAGTTCCACACAGCTATGGAGTGAATGGACAACTTTATTTTGGGAATTGTTGTCCAGGATACCGGAAGAGAGAAACTCCTTTCTCTTTTTGAATAGTGCCGTGGGATCATTAATGTCCTGAACAAGCAGGCGGGACCTCGGATGATCGTCTCATCAGGAAGACAGTGCTGTCGACTGTGGAACTGCATTGGAGTATCATCTTAGATTAAGTGATTCCTGATGTTGGACTTGAATCCACAAACGTCTCAGTCGGTAGAATGCGACTGAGTCAGGCTGTCACACAGGTTGATGTTCAAGATGCTTCTGAGCTGAGTGACATACACACACTTGTACACACAGTTCTCCGGTCTGAATGCAGGCCGTGTCCTGGGGTCACCAACCCCTTGCCCTGAGGTTTAGCAGCCCATGTAGAAGCAACATTGGCAGATTGGCAAGGCGTTTGTTGTACAGGGTGTTCACAAAGTCCTGTTACCTCCATGTTTTTTTTCTTCAGCGCACTGACCAACCACTGAAACATGTGGAAGACTGATGATAATTGTAATTTAGAAGTACTTCATTTTATTCAGTACAAGTGTGTAACTGCATTTAGACGTCCAGAGGATCGATCGGTGTGCGAGTGAGCGCCATCATTTTCATGGCAAACGATGATCCACCTCCGTGTTCGGTGCCACATCTATCGTAACGTGGAATGGAGTGACGAGGAAGTTACTGGTATCAGACATTGTTGCACTGAACTCCTCTGCAACAGAACAGAAAATAAAAATTCATTGCAAGCGAGAGAGAGAGAAAGAAAAAAAAACACAGGGGTAGCGGGACTTTGCGAACAACCGGTACTACGCTATGGGCGGGCGATTAATTTTCAAAACACAAAATAATTTTTAAAACGACTTGATTTTTGACATTTTTTTTAAAAGAAAAAATTGAAACCGGCAAAAACTTTTTTTGGGGGGGGTTTTAACAGTTGCAAACGACCTTTTTTTTTCTTTGTACAGTACGGGTACAGTTTCAAAAAAAAATCTAACTTAAATTGGCCAATCTGCTGCCAAACCCACAGAGGAGGCGAGAGCATAATATTGGGCTACGTTTGGGCTCGTTTGTGTGTGTGTGTGTGTGTGTGTGTTGGAGAGTGGGGGCGGCGGCGGCTTTGGGCTTCTTTGGCCGCGTGTTCGGGCTACTTTGGGCTTCTTTTTTGGGCGAGCGTTTGGGCTACTTTGGCCGCGTCTTCAGGCGGCGTTGGGCTACTTTTCTTGCCGACACCCCCACCCCCGGCCTGGACGGGAGACGAGCGTGTGAGGAGCTTCGGGGCCGGGGCTGAGCAGCCGGCGGAGGCCGGGGAGCGGCGGGGCACCGGGGCACCGGGGGAGGGGAAGAGATGTCGGAGCAGGGCCTGGAGTTGGCCTCCATCCTCCCGGCGCTGCGAGAGCTGGGGAGGTGGGTGAGGCGGCCCCCGGGAGCCGGGACCTGCAGCCGCGGCCTGGAGCTGGCGGTGCGGCCGCTGCTCCTTCCCTCATCCCGGGCAGCAGCAGCAGCAGCTATCCCCCCCCCCCCCCCAGCTCCCACTCACAGGCTCTGCTTCATTATATTCCTGTTTCATGTCCCTCCATCAATGTCTTCTCCTCCTTCTCCTCCTCCTCAGTGTAGGAACTAAACCAGGGATGAAGCCTGGAGATGACTTGTACTAAACCACTTACTGTTACTGTCCTGAACCCCACCCCCGGAAACCCACTAGCCCCCGCCCCCCCCAGGAACCCCCCCCCCCCCCCCCCCGGGAACCCACTAGCCCCCCCCCCCCGGGGAACCCACTAAGTCCCGCCTGGAAATCCACTGGCCCCCGCCGGGAACCCACTGGCCCCCTCCGGGAACCCACTAGCCCCCGGCGGGAAACCCACTAGCCCCCGCCGGGAAACCCACTAGCCCCCGCCCGGAACCCACTAGCCCCCGCCGGGAAACCCACTAGCCCCCGCCGGGAAACCCACTAGCCCCCGCCCGGAAACCCACTAGCCCCCGCCGGAAACCCACTAGCCCCCGCCGGGAAACCCACTAGCCCCCGCCCGGAAACCCACTAGCCCCGCCCGGAAACCCACTAGCCCCCGCCCGGAAACCCACTAGCCCCCGCCGGGAAACCCACTAGCCCCCGCCGGGAAACCCACTAGCCCCCGCCGGGAAACCCACTAGCCCCCGCCGGGAAACCACTAACCCCCGCCTGGAAACCCACTAGCCCCCGCCGGGAACCCGCTAGCCCCTGCCGGGAAACCCACTAGCCCCCGCCCGGAAACCCACTAGCCCCCGCCCGGAAACCCACTAGCCCCCGCCCGGAAACCCACTAGCCCCCGCCGGGAAACCCACTAGCCCCCGCCGGGAAACGTAGGACAGACAGAACAACCACTAGCCCTGGGAAAACCCCTCGTCATTTGTCTTGGGGTAAACCCCTCGTCACTAGTCCTGGAATAAAGTTATGGAGACCGTACTTGTCCTGCGCCACAAAAAGCACAAGCCTCAGACTCTGACTACACTTCACAGTAAATTCCTGCAAAGTATTTTGAGACATTCCGGCAACATGATAAGGTGCTATACCAAATGAAAAGATTATTATTTGTATGCTGAGATTATTGGTATTTGTCCCCACAAACAGTGCCAATCCAGAAGATTACAATGCAGTGGTGCAGAAACCCAGGCAGATTCTCTGTCAGTTCATTGACCAGATGCTGACCGACGTAGATGTTGGTAAGTTGTTTTTCCCGTGTTGTAGTTAAAGCACAATGCTATGTATTCAAGTGTACAAAGGAATATAAATGATTATTCCAATGTCACATGCCTGCATCTCTGAAAATAAATAACCATAAGACTTTGGAGCCTTGCATACTCTTAGTTCTGTTTGGCAACGATTGGAAATAGATTGACTGAATTTGTACGAGCAATATGTAATACAATATCTTCCAAGGGTTCTTCAGTTTCCGCAGAAGCTGGGTGCTTCCCTGCAGGAAGAAATAAGTGTGAAGAAACATCTTCTGGTCTCGTTTCTGACTAGCTTAGCTCCAATATGAAGACCGGAACCCCTACTTTTGGATCCCTCTACCAGAGATGAGTCATCTCTATCTAAATCGTTAATCGTCCTTATGATAAGACATCACATTAAGTTCCTGTGCTACACACTAAGTTCCTATTCTCCAGTGTCTTGCATACTGGCTGATTAACTGAAACAGTGTGTGAGTTGGTTGGGATTTGGGTAACTTCTGTTCGGTGTTTCGAACAACTGTATCGATTGTGTGAAGCACAATAGTGCTCTTTAAGGAACTTGAGAGGTTTGTTGGCCATCCCTGATCTACACCATGGAAACTGAGCAAAAAAATACAGCAAACATTTTTGTATATAGCAGCTTTAACGCAAAAGGAACATCTGAAAATGCCTAACAGTTGAAGCTGTAGAAATGGAGTGCTGCACAGTGGAGGGGTTTGAAACGAGCAAGAGAAAAGTGTTTGGTGACCATAGGTATAGTCGAAGGTAGGTTTTAAGGTGGGATTTAAAGAGAGATAAAAAGAAAACGAGGCAGAGAGACTGAAATAAGACTTCTCTACTAACCAAAAGGTGTATATATGGAAAGTTAAAGCTGCCCCAAAAATTCAAATACCCCAAAATTGACCATTGTTTGCAAATCAGACCAGGTTGCCCATTATTCAGTACATGATATTAAAAATCTTCTTTGGCTTCATTTTACAGTTGCTTTGGAGCTTTCTAAGAAGAGTGACTCACAGCCAATGTGTGTGATGTTGCTGGATTTCATTCAACACATTATGAAGTCCTTCCCGCTGATGTTTGTGAGTGTCCCTCTGAAGCCAACTAAAGTCATTCAGCAGCTCAGCGCTGATGAATGGAGTTGTGCAGGTGAGCATAGCAATAGGTTATCCTAACACATTGATTTTCTACAGGTGGTCAATACTATGTTACACAGCGCAGTCTTGGATATTGATCTCACAGTGACATATTTATATGACGTATCGCAAGCCTGAATTTAAAAGTGCACATGACATGGAAGTGGTGTGCTTCATTGAGATTAGTAAATGCAAAGAACATCAATATCTTTAGAACAATAATGCCTTGCATTTATATAGCCCCCCTCACCCCGAGGTAGCGTCCCAGAGTGCTTGACAGTGGTGGAACACGAGGCCAAGCTGGAGGGAAAGGGGACTTGACTGTAGGCACAGTCAAAGAGGAAGGTCTTCAGGTGCGACCTGAAGATGGGGAAGGAAAGGGCAAGGCGGAGGGATAGAGGGGGAGTGTTCCAGAGTATTGAGGTGTACTAATAATAATGATAGTGGTTGAAAGTGGGGCCACTTTAAGCCATTAATATGGATTAGTCTGAAAACCACATGCTAACTGTTGTAAAATGTAGTTACGCTGTGAATAAGCTGTGTACCTAAATAAAATTACTGCTGTTTAGGAAAGTAATTAACAAGTAATCGATTTATTAGAACTTTGCTTTATTTTGGGCCTTGGAACATTTAAATACCCACTGGGGATGGTACATTATAATTCAAGTCTTTCATTTGCCACTAACCTAATTTTCTCGTTTTGGTTGCCTTTCTCTTTTGTTTCTGACTTGGCCCTCACATCTCATGCTGTCCCGTACTTCCTACAAAAGCACAGATACTACACTTGACAGCAGTTACCCGTGAAGCTTTTTTTTTAACATTTTAGGGGATGCATCAAATGCAGGGTTTATTATTGTTATTATTCTGCCACTCTCTCCAATTGCTCTCTATGCCAAGTCACACAGATTTAACTGGTTAAATTCCAGCAGAATCCCAACACACATTCTGGATTTCCCCAGCTTTGACCCTTGCCAACCTCAAATACTCTACGGAATTCAGTAAGCAGGGTGTATCTCTCCAGGGAGAGGGTGCACATTCCATTCCAGACACAGGGAGATTTCCAAAGCACACAATGTTTTGACTCAAGAGACTGGAGTGCTACCAGCTGACACCTGCCAGCGCTTTGGAGTGTGATTAATCAACAGGCGCCCAACAGGTTGCACAAGAAGAATAGAAATGTTCCCGCAGTCTTGGCTGCTGGAGCACATCGTTTCAATACTACCTCATTGTAGTTTTTCCAATTATAATGATTAATTTGTAACGTTATTTTATTTCAGCCAAAATCTGAACAATTTTGTTTCCCCCACAGAATACACAGTCAATCCACTTTACAGTATATTCTATGAAGCGATTTGAGACGTCTCAATGACGTGATAAGACCCTATATCAAATTCAAGGGTTATTATTATTATTAACAAATACAGTGCTTGATCCCGACCTGTTTTGTTTTGTTACAACATGTAGATTTCAGTAACTGGATCATATCCAGGCTCCTGCGGATTGCTGCAGCTCCCAACTGTCAAGCACTTCACAACCGTATCGTAAAAGTTGTGCGCTCTTTGCTCTGGGTATTCAAGAGCAGGAATCCCTCTATATTCAGGGCACAGACCAAAGAATTCTTTGACCTCTTCCAAGATCTGATCTGGCTGGGCGAGGAGAACCATTTCAAAGAAGATTCCTCCATGTGGCCATTCGTAGTCAAACATTACACCGTAGCAGACGAGAGAAATGCCGGGTATTTAACCCCTGCACCACTTCAGATGGCCTCCATGTCACAAGTGGAACAATTGGAAGAGGTACTGTTGAAGATTCTCTCTTCCCTTCTTCCTGGTGTATTTTGCAGGAGGCAGCAGCTCATCGTGTGGGGAATCGGCTGCTCCCTCTTAGAGCAGGGCAGCCCTAAGATACGGAGCATCGTGCTGGCCATGATATCCCAGCTGATTGACCTCGGAGGCCCACCGCCAGAGGAGGTGGCAAACGGGTTCTTCACCAATTTGATTGGCTCTTGGGGCTGATGAGTCAGGTAGAGGGCAACGAACTTCAGATGTATGAGGAGCCTTTTGCTCAGCTCATGAGGAGTCTCTTCCCACTCAGTTCCGAGCAACTGACCGACACGCTTGGGATACAACCAGTTTACCTGGACATGGTGATGGACAGCCTGAGTGGCCTAATGGGAAACGGACTGCTGAAACGCATTGAATCTGAGAAGCTGAGAGATGCCTTGTGCCACTTGTTCCAGCACTTTTTGACGTTGGCGCTATCAGGACTCACGGCTGCCCTGCCCACACAGAAAACTCAAATACGGCGCATTTGCAAAGCCTTAATTGAAATGATTGGAACACAAACAAAGCAGGAGGTAATGTGCAAGTTTTATATTGATATATATATATAAAATAAAAATAATCTGCAACAGAAAATAAAAGTTAATTGTAAAACCAAAAAAAAGGGGTAACAGGACTTTGTGAACACCCTGTCCAGTGATTTCTCCGGTTGTCTTATATTTCAGTACTTGGTGAATTGTTTGTGCACTGCACTGAGAGCGGAGGGGATTGCAGTCATACAAGACCTGCAGCTTCGAGAACAGATAGCATTGGAGGAGGTCTGCGACACCGAGCAAGGCAATAGCGGTGATGAGGTTCCAGAGAAAAGGCCACGATTGAGTTGCCCTGCACGAGCCGGGCAGCACACAGTTTCACCAGCTGAGTAAGGAAGCATACTTGCTCTAACATTGCTTTAGTTTGTTCTCTGTCAGCACCTTTTTTTATTACTACTTTTTCACATCAAATTTAACTATCTTAAATGAAGAGCAGGAGGGTTACTTTGAAGTCTCTTTCTTTCCAAATGGCTCAGCCACTACTCCCCAAAACTCTGGAACACCATCCCTCTGTCTCTCCACCTTGCCACCTCATTCCCCATCTTTGTGTTGCACCTGAAGACCTCCTTCTTTGACTGTGCCCATGGTCGCCTCCCCCCAGCCAGGCATCATGCTCCGCCAATGTCTAGCACTCTGGGATGCTAACCTGCGTGAGGGGTGCAAGTTGTTGTTTCCACTTGCAATTGGGGCTTGGCATATCCATTCATTTTTTGCTCCCCTCCCATGTTTAGAGGTTGGCTTGGTTCAGCTGCTAGTACCCCCTTACCTGTGGGTCACAGGGTTGTGGGTTCAAGACTCACGTTGGATCGTGAGTTGAAATAGTGCAGGCTGGTGCTCCATCGCAGGACCAGGGGAGAGGTACATTGTTGGAGGTGTTATCCTGTGGATGAGATATTGAATCATGATTCTGTCTGCCTATTCTCCAGATGGAGGTTTATCCTATGACAGAGGAGAAGGGAGTGTTTCCTGTTTTCCTTGCTGGTAATCCTCCAGGTTAATTGGTAATTGACTTCATGGCTGCTTTGGAGCATTTTGAGACGTGTTCCCTTTTATAGGTCAGGAGTGCCTAAGAGTATCCATAACAAACCAATAATTTGAGTGTTAATGTTATCAGCGCTATAAAACTGCAAGTCATTTCTCTACCTTCCCTTTGCAGCATTTTGTGATCATGAAGCTTTCAGCCTGGCAGGCGTAAACTGAGTAGGTAGTATCCAAGCCTGACCAGTTTGAATGAGCATGTTTTTTTTGTATCTCTTCTAGAATTGGGCCAGTGGAGATGAAGTTGAAGAGTGAGCTGTGGTGTGCATTGTGCACCAGGCTGACATCACTGCAAGATATCCAGTCACAGAAGGAGGCTGTGATTATTTTGGAGGGAATTGTGATTATCTTCCGCTTGGCTGCCCTGTGTACTGCAGCCTGTGATCTCGAAGGAGTCGACAGGTATCAGATATTTTCTCCTGTTTTCTTTGTCTGCGACTTATTTTCCTTCAAACTAAGCCAATTCCTGGTGCACATTAGTGGACACATCTGTTTATATAACATTGATCGCTTCATTTCTGATTCTTCTCATTCTGTAAAGCTCTTTGAGACATTTCTTCGAGGAGGAGCTGTATGAGTGTAAGTTACAACTGAAGGAACAATAGACCCTTTTTTTAAGTGTGTTCAATATTTGCCCGTGGTAGACGTGGAATAAAAAGGACCAGGTAAAGGTCAACAATGTGTTCATCTGTTAATGTGCTGGGAGGTTTATGCCATTGGTAATCTTTTTCTACAGCACTGACAGAGGCCATGTGAGTGTTCGAGTCGATGGGAAGATGCCGAGCTCCTCAGGAAAACCACCAATGAAAGTACAACTGACCTGGCTGAGTTCCGAGATGTTTACCCAGATCCTGGAACTTGGAAAGCAACAACTCGACACAGCACGGCAAGAAGACGTGGGAGGATTAGTTGACAGAATGATAAAGATAATTGATGCTATAATCTACCTCCAAGGTACATACCGCGTGTGCCCCTTCTCAACATGTTATAATCCAATTTGGAAACATCTGACAGCAAAAACTTGTTCTTTTCACTCAGGTTGAATGTGAGCGAAGTGTCAACAAGTAAATTTTTGTTTCGCCCACAAAATATACAGTGAATTCACTTTGCAGTATATCCTGTAAAGCACTTTGGGACGTCTCAATCACTTGATAAGCCGCTATATCAAATGCAAGGATTATTATTAATAATATTATACAAATGAACCGAGCTGGATTTCAGTTTTAAACAGTTTGCCTGCAGCTGTTTTCACAATTCTTTTTACTTTGCATCAGTTGCCCAGGGTCGGGTGAACAAAGACACACTCCACACACTTTGTGGCTTCCTGTCGTTACCGTGGCTACACAATCACTGTACGGACCAAGCTTTCAAATCTGCTGGATTTCATCCTGAACTGGTGTCTCTGAGTCAACATTTAGCGAGCGCTTTCTGTAAGTATAAAGTATTTGGAGGTAAAAATAAACAATATATTCTGTGAAGCGCTTTTGAGACCTCAGAAGGACATGATAGGGCATTATATCAAATGCAAAGATTATTATAATATACAATAGAGATGTATAATTACAAACTGTAATTTTACAGGCTCGAGATATGAGATAGAAAATAGGCCGAAAAGGTAATTAGTGGGGCTAATGTTAATGTTTGGGCCTATTGTTAATGTTAAAAACTAAGAAAAATAAAATGTTACCAGACTGAAAAGTAAGGAACTGGTTGATGTATATCCATTTCCACATTGCTGCATTATCTCGGCGATAAATTAGAAAACAAACAAATGTTAAACACTCTGTGAGATACATTTGACATTTATATCTTTATACAATGTAGTGCTAGGGGGTGTGTTGTGTTGTTGGAGGTGCTGTGCTTCTGATGAGAAGTTAAAGCAAGGTCCCATCTGTCTGTTCGGGTGGACGTTAAAGATCCCTCGGCACTATTTGAAAAGAGAAGGGAGTTTCTCCCAATGTCCTGGCCAACAATATTCCAGGTAAGATTGGTCAATGGCAATTTGTAGGACAATTGCTGTGTAAGAATTAACTGTAATTTGCCTACGAACACACTGTACAGTATATGTGTGCCGAGAACTTTCAGAAGTCATACCTATGTGAAAAGCACTTTACTGAATGTAAGGATTAGTATTATCTTCTAATGTGTTTCTGATGCTGCCTTTTAATTCTGTTACCGTCCACAGCACACTGCTGGCAGGCAAACTGTGTGTACCTGCTGTCGTTGTTACCTGCAGAGATGTGCCCTGAGTGGAGAGCAGCGGTGTACAGATGGGCTTTACAGAGCTCCTCTGATGTGCTTCGTGCAGGTTCAGTGCAAGGATTTCCCCTGTTGCTCCATCGCTTGGGTGTTAAATCGCACAGCCTCGTAAATGAGATTCTCTTGTATGTTTACTATTAAACTCTTTGTTATTCTTCAGTGTAACGTTTTGTTAGCTAATTAACTCTGAATGTCTGTTTCTAAGAAAGCATGTGTGTTTGTCTTGCGTTTACATTGCAATTTGGTCTTTGTGTTTGGGTCAGACGGGTGTCTGACACATGCAGAAATGCATCTCTATGCTTAAGAGTATCCAAACCAAACTGAGAGTTCCATACATCCCACTGAAACAAGGAAATTCCAGAGATAGGTTGTTGGAATGGAATGCGCCTTCTCTCCCTGGAGATGTCTTAATGATGTGATAAGGCGCTATATCAAATGCAAGGATTATTATTATTTTGTGGTGAATGTTACAAACCAGAATTATGTAAACTGTTTTTCTTCGAATATACTGAAAGGAGAAACGATCTTAGCCCAAAGTTCTACCGAGACTTAGTTTGTAGGACCATATTGTATGTAAATTTAAGATCGTGCAGAATTGTGGAAAACTGTTAAACTAAGTCTTAATTGGGAAGCCAGTTTTCCACAGTTCTTAAAATGAACCAGTTTCTGAATTAAGATGGAATTTGAGTGTTTTACAATTTTGCACAATCCTAAGTTTTAAGTCAAAATTCTTGCAGGCTCAGCATAGGTCCTAAAATCCTTTCTCCTTTCAGTTTATTATAAGAACAGCTTGTCTGAGATTTGGTGCTAAAATATTTGTGTAGCACAAATCAGCACAAAAATGACATTGCTTTGCGGTGTCAGGCATGTAATAGTTTTCTTGTTATTACTCCTGCACATTGAGCCTTAAAGGGAGACCTTTGGAGCTTGTTGGAAATACATCACAGCTGTTAGTTGCTCATCTGAAGGTTTATTTTCTTCTTGTTCCTATGGATTAGAAGCAAACTGCAAGACAATTCCAGCTTGGTTCAGGAAGCGTTGGCCAGCAGTGTTGGAATGTTAGCATGCGTGCTTTCAGGCAAATCCCAACTGATGCTTCCTAAGAGTGACCTTGCTGTCCCACACGCAGATGGTGACCTCTTGTGCAGTCATATCATTGTAAGAACTGATTCGCCCAAGTCCATGCCTACAGTTGGAGCCTCCGTGTTTATTCCATTCCTGGCACTGATCAGAAAGAAGATGCCTACTTCAGTAAAACTTGGTGAGTAATTGTGGTACTGTGTGCCAACATATTCATCTGGAAAACACAGTCACTACACAAAAGAGTTTCTCGCCCCCGGTTTCCTGGCTAACAATCCCCAAATAAAATTGGTCACTCACTCCATGGCTGTTTGTGGGACATTGCTGTGTGCAACTGGCTGACATGTTTGCCCACAAAATACAAGTCTGTACACTTTACAGTATACCCTGTGAAGCTCTTTGAAACATCCTCCTGGTGTGTAAGGTGCTGTATCAAATGTAAGAATTATTATTATATTAATGATGAGGATTAAAGTGTGGGTATTTCCGCCCTGCTCGGGTCCTGACCCAACTGTCCAGCGCCTTGGGACGTCCTCCCGACGTGAAAGGCGCTCTATAAATTAAATCTTGTTGTTGTTGTGTTAGTGTTAATGCTGAGTATCAAAGTATGAGTAATGTGTTAGTGTCAATGCTTAATTAAGGCATGTGAATACTGTGCTTCTATTGTGCTGCTTTTCTCCTTACAGCATTTATAAACAACATTCCTTACCTGTGTAAACACGTGAACCTGGGAAAAAACAGTTCAGATGCCAACGTCATGTTTGATGCCGTGTTGAACCTTATGGAAGATCCGGATAACGGCGTCAGAATCGCATTCAGTGAGAAAATACATCATTTGTTAGAGCATCAAGAAGCTGAAGACCAGAGTTTACTGAAAGAGGTGAATAACATTGGCCAATGCATACTTGTCATCGAGGCTGCTGTGTGCTTCTCCTTGCAAATACGTGCTGTTTAAAATTCACTCTTCTTTTAGAAATAACAGTAAATATCTACACAAACAGTTACAGATCCTGAAAAACCATAAGGCACCAAACTCCATTCTTCCAGGCAATCTCGATGTATTTAAAACTCAAGCTTCGTGTTCGCTAACCACACCTTAATTCACCTCGTCCTCTCTTTTTACTCCTTTAATTCTCCAGTGTTGTTCGACACCATGGGCTCTGAGCGTTCTCTGGGTTTCAGAGTTAAAAAAGTCAATAGAGTGGGTTTGGGCAAGGGGATTCGGAGGGGTGAAGGTTAATAATAATAATAATCCTTGCATTCAATATAGTGCACAGCAGTGTCCCACAAACAGTTGTGAGTAGAGTGACCAAATTATTTTAATTTTTTTGGAGGGATTATTACCCCCAATTATTATTACTAATAAGTATTACTAATATTAATATCACAACTGATATTATTACTACCAAAATGATCAATAATATATTTATTAATAATAGATTTAATAATATTATTAAAGATTATTACTAATGTGGAGTATAAAGCCCGCCCTAATGGCTGCTTCAGTGCTGTAACATTCCATGTAATTGCACGGCCATGTCACTCTCTGTTAAAACAGAAGTTATGTTTTGCCCTTATGTCGATGACTGTCATCTGATATAGAATCTTATTCAATGAGACATTCTGCACTGGTCTGACTTGGAAATGTTCTCTTCATTGTAGCTCCTTGTATCTAAGCTGAAGGAGGCATACACAAACGCTAAGGTCTCGAGAAACAACGCACTGAAGGACACATTAATACTTACAACCAGAGAAATTGGACGGTAAGCAGCACTGCACTGGAGTGTCAGCTTAACTATATGGGTAACTCCAACAACTAACAAACTTTGGATGGTACGGGGTGGAAGGACATTTCTGTGAAACGCATTGACACGTCCTCCTAATGCCTAGTTGTTATTATATTATTATTTGCTGTTGTTGGTGCCTTTGTGTGTCAGTGGAGTATGGACGCTATTTCTTAAAGACATTGCCATTGATCTCATACCCGTTGGGTGGGGGTGGGGGTGGTGGGGGGAGAGCTGATTTTAATCTTTGCTTTTCTTAAAAAAAATGTTTGAACAGAGCAGCCAAAGGCGACCTTGTGCCATTTGCCCTTTTACGCCTGTGCCATTGCTTGCTGTCCAAGGTACCGTTTGTGGCTGGCGCTGCTCACACAGAGATCCGAGCGCTGGCAGCAGCCAAAGGGATGAAGCTGCAAGCCTTCTTCAGCCAGTACAAGAAACCTGTCTGCCAGGTGAGATGTAATAACTACTCTTGGGTAGTCTGCAGTGTGTGATTAGTCAAGGCTTTTATGACGGGGAGCTCCACAGTAGGAGTTATAGCAAGTATGCTCTACCATGTTTTTCACTGCCTCCTCTCTTGTTATATTTATTGTTACCTACAAACACACGGTCATTACAATTTATAGTGAATTTTGTGAAGCGTTTTGAGACGTACTTGTGAACGTGCATCCTTCAAAGCCACACAAGCCTTGGTGCAGCAAAATGTGTCTGCAAAACATGCTGTGCAAGCTGCAACTTATAGATAATTCATTTTTATTCACTTGAAATGCGTGAACATATTCTGTTTCGCAGCTTATTTCAATTCAGCTTAGTTGGTTGCACTCTCATCAATGTCCGGATAGGTCAATCAGCACTTTGAGGCTTACCCCCGAAGGAAAAGGTGCTTTATGTTATTGCAAAAGGGATTAAGGGATATGGGGATAAGGCAGGGTTAGGTTATTAGCTGGAGTTAGATTAGAAGATCAGCCATGATTGAATGGCGGGGCAGGCTCGAAGGGCCGAATGGCCTACTCCTGCTCCTACATGTTATGTTATTATCCAATTGCAAGGATTATTATCCAAACTTGGGCACAGAATCTGTTTTAAATAAATGAAAGGTAGACCGAAAGCGAATAGACCTTATTCGCAAATATGGCCAAGCGCTGGATGGTGTGACTAATGCAGAGATTTAGGGTATGCAAATACAGCTATCTAACTTCCTGTATCAGCATATTTTCTTTTACACCCAGAGAAAGTTACAGGACAAACATAGGCTGTTTAGCCCACAAAATAGGACTGAGTCACCAACCTGTGGATACAATCTATTACCATGTACCCTATTGTAACAGGTGTGCCCTGTTACTGTCTTGAGTTTGCAGATTAGAGTTTATAATACTAACGCTCAGCGTATCACAATTTGCCTTGCAGTTCCTAGTGGAGTCGCTGCATACAAGCCAGCTGTCCATCAGCAACAGTGCTGAGGCTGCCAGAGAAACAGACCATCGCAGACAGTTTGCACTTGACATCTTGTCCGAAGTTGCTCACGTGTTTGACTTCCCGGATCTGAATCGCTTCCTCAATGTATGTCCCACTCGTACGTTTTAAGTAAATAGTTCCTCCATCATCTTGTCAAACTTTGTGGAGTCCTGTAGCTCAGTGGTTAGAGCACTCGCTTTGCAAGTGAGAGACCTGAGTTCAATTCCAGGCAGGGCGAAACCTTGGGCAAGTTTCCTTACTCCACACAGAGCCTAATAATAATCCCTCCAAAAACAATAATAAATTGGTCATTTTCAATCTACGACTGTTTGTGGGACATTGCTGTGCGCAATTGGCTGTCGCGTTCGCCCACAAATATACAGTCAATTCACTTTACAGTGTTCTGTGAAGCGCTTTGGGACGTCCTCCCGACGTGAAAAGCGCTATATCAAATGCAAGGATTATTATTATTATTATTATTATTATTGAAACAAACTGAAACGTCACTTACCATTGACACTTAAAGTTCAGATTCAAATCCCAGTCTCTTTTGAGATAGGTCATCTCAGGTGGGACAGGAGTTGAGGTTCCAATTGGCCTTAGCGTGGCTGGTTTGGGGAGGGGGAAACCAGGCATTACTCTCACTTCTGATTGTTTGCCAAGCCAGCTCTAGACGATTGGCTAGTTTCTATGTTGGATAAGGGCAGGTTCTGAATTCAATATGATGTCCCCACAATTGAATTACCTGCCAACACCCACTGTCATGGTTCATAGATAAATAATAACCACTTGAGCGAAAGACCAGATTACTATCAGCACCAGAGGCAGAAAAGAAAAGGAGTTGTCATTAATATTTGAATCAAATAACATCAACATATTTAAGAGAAGTTTGAAGCCTACATGAAGCCTATGGAGCCCTGTAGCTCAGTGGTTAGAGCATTCGCTTTGCAAGTGAGAGACCTGAGTTCAATTCCAGGCAGAGCGAAACCTTGGGCAAGTTTCCTTACTCCACACACCTAATAATAATCCCTCCAAAAAAACAAAACAATAATAAATTGGTCATTTTTAATCCTCGACTGTTTGTGGGACATTGCTGTGCGCAATTGGCTGCTGCGTTCGCCCACAAATATACAGTCAATTCACTTTACAGTATATTCTGTGAAGCGCTTTGAGACGTCTAGAAGATGTGAAAAGCGCAATATCAAATGCAAGGATTATTATTATTATTACATGGGGTAGAAGGGAATAGAGGGGTATAGCTGAGGCGAATAGGAAAGATGGAGGTTCTTGTGGAGTAAACACTGGCAGAGACTAATTGAGTCGAATGGCCTGTTTCTATGCCTCTCTCTAGGAGGGGAGAAATTTGGCAGAGAGGAAAAGAAAGTTGTCGCGCTGATATTAAAAGAAAGGCACAGAAGATGTAAATTGTCCTATTTATTTTCCCAGCGTACTTTGCAATCTCTGTTGCCGTACCTGGCAGCAAAGGCTAGTGCTGAGGCCTCGATGCTGATCCGAACCATAGCCAAACAGCTGAATGTGAACCGCCGAGAGATCCTGATCAACAACTTCAAATACATTTTCTCCCACTTGGTCTGCTCCTGCTCAAAGGACGAACTTGAGCGTAGTCTCCATTACCTTCGGGTAAAGAGCTGGTATTTTACACAATGTATAGTGTGTGTCCTCTTTGTGGTTGCGTTGCCAAAAGAGCTCTGACTCAGGACAAGATCAAGTGGTGTGAGGGGGAGTGAGAGGCTCCCACTACCCGTAGATCCAAACACAAATATGTATTGTTTCATTTTCTGGAGGGGATGTGTGAAAGTAGGGGATGTTAGCAATACCATTCTGCCATCGCCCTGCAGCTGATGATGAACTCTGAAAGAGGGCCCGGTCTCTCTAACCCTTTAGATAAACCCTTTTGTTTCATTTCCTTTTCTTTTATTTTTCTGACTTTTTATCAGCTCTGCCAGTGATTTTCTGTTCTGAAACTGTTTTCCAAAATCTCGTTGTCTTGCACTCTTCAACGTATTTTACCTTCAAAACCCTCTTTAAAAACCCTCCTTCCCCAGCTTCAGGTCATGCCCGAAGACATTCCTTTTCGACCGTGCTTACGGCCACCTCCCTTCATCTTGCCATTGTGTTCCGCCACTGTCAAGCCCTCTGGGACCTACCCTCCATGAAGGGAGCTATATTAAGTGCAAAGGGTTGTTGTATCTATGTACCGTGGCTTCAGTCAACACCCTTTAACTTAGCACCTTCTCTTCCCTGCTTAAGCTCCCCTCAACGCCTTTGTGAAGTGTTTGGAGTTGTGTATCCTATGTGGAGTGCATGATATAAGTGCGAGTTATTGTCATCTTTTATTGTGTTCTTCAGAATGAAACTGAGCTTGAACTGGGCAGCCTTCTCAGGCAGGATTTCCAGGGGCTGCACAATGAGCTGCTGCTGTGTATTGGGGAGCACTATCAGCAGGTGTTCAATGGATTGGCCATACTGGCTGCCTCTGCTTCTCAGAGTGATTCCAACCAGACCCTCTCAGACATCACTTCCATAGAGTTAATGGTAAGGGAGTTTAATCTTTCTTAACATAAACTACTTAAAGTGGTCTTGTAGGTATGCCGGATTCATGCCTTTCCGATGAAGTTGTGTGAAGTTGTAGAGTAATTGTTGCTCTGTTTTGGAGCAAATTTAAGCACTGCGTCAAGCCTTCTTAAATAATAATAATAATCCTGCATCCTTATCACGTCGCCGAAACGATTTGCAGAATATATTGTAAAGTGGATTGACTGTGTAATTACAGCGTATTCTGTGAAGCGCTTTGAGACGTCTCGAAGACATGATAAGGCACTATATCAAATGCAGGGATTATTATTACTGTTATTATTCGAAGGATGCACCTATTGATGATACATTTATCCTCTGGCACAGCGTTGGGATGTCAGACTAGACCCACAAATCTACTGAAGTGGAGTTGAGAGTGGTAACTGAGCCAAGCTGACACCACAAGAGCATGTGAAAGGGAACTGAATCGGAGCTTGAGGATCCTTATATGAAAGGATATGGGGAAACTGACACTGGTGGAATAGGAGAAGATAGATTGGAGTAAATTGCAGCTAGAAGCAGCACAGACACAATGGGCTGAGTGGCTTCCTTCTATGTTGCAATCTTCCTGTGATTGTATGTTGTTTTTCCAGGCAGACTACTTGCAGCCCAAATTGTTGGGGATCTTGGCCTTTTTTAATATGCATTTGCTGAGCTCCAGTGTGGGAATGGAGGATAAGAAGATGGTAAGTAAACTTTTTTAGCAAGACTACAGGGTTCAGAGACTTGTGTAACTTTAACGAATAATAATAATCCTTCCGTTTGATATAGCGTCTTATCATGTCTTTGAGACATCTCAAAGTGTTTCACAGAAGATACTGTAAAGTGAATTGACTATATTTTGTGGGCGAAAAAATTTACACTTTAAATACATATTGTTCCCGTTTAATTATTAAAATGCACTTTTGGTGGGTTTATTCCTAGGCCTTGAGCAGTTTGATGTCATTAATGAAATTAATGGGACCAAAGCACATCAGCTCAGTGCGGGTAAAAATGATGACCACTCTGAGGACAGGCCTGAGATACAAGGAAGAATGTCCTGGGTTGTGCTGCAGGTGAGCTTTAAACTGCAGCTTCAGTGTGTAAAAGAGGATTGTTCTGTTAAAGCATTAATCTTTAAGGGAATGACACTATAGGCGATATTTGCTCACGACAATGTCCCACAAACAACCATGGAGTGAGTGATCAATTTTATCTGGGGGATTGTTGGCCAGGGCACTGGGAGAAACTCCCTTCTTTTTTCGAATAGTGCCGTGGGATCTTCAACGTCCACCCGAACAGGCAGATGGGACCTCGGTGTACCATCTGAAAGACAGCACCTCCAACAATACAGCAAACCTCCAGCACTCCACTGGAGTGTCAGCATGGACTACGAGTTCAAGACCCAACGTGAAGCTTAAACCCGCAACCTTCTGACTCATAGAGATGAGAGTGCTATCAACTGAGCCAGACTGACACACACATACTCTTTTCATGTTGGGAGGAATACTCAAAGCACTTCACAGAACTTACTCTTAAAATTTAGTCCTATGAATTTTATAGGTGAACATTGCAGAGAATTTGTGTTCAGCAATTTCCCACAAACAATCACAAAATGAATGACCAAGTATAGCAGAGGAGCAGATATAACATTTCCTTAAAAAGTAGTTTATTTGCAAAGTTTATTTGCAAATTTAGTCTACCTGCTACAAAATGTGTGTATTCTAATGGTAAATGTTTAAAGGGCTTTGATTAATGGGGTCATAGCAGAGAGACTTGTGTATGTTCCAAACAACTGGGGTTTGGTGCATAAAGCAACTGATAAAAATGGCAGCCATGTATACCTACAAAAAACTGCACTCAACAGTAATTTCCATGTATTATTTCCATGTATTATTTCACTTATAACCTCTCTCCATCCAGAGCGTGGGACTGCTTTGTGCGTTGCCTGGACCCAGGTTATTTGGGATCCCTTCTCAGCCAGGTCATTGTGGCTCTTCTGCCTTTAATGTCCATTCAGCCAAAGGAGACAGCTGGAATCTTTCATTATCTTATTGTGGAGAACAGGTGATTAATAGCCTCACTGATGGTGTTACACACTACATCATACACGATACAGCAGCTTTTTACATTTCCGTGTGTTTCGAGGCGCTTTAAGTTAAGGTTTGTTTGACTATTTCAGAACTGAAGTGAAAGATTTCCTGCATGAGATTTACTTCCTGCCAGAACACCCTGACTTTACTGCGATCCAGAAAGTATTGCAGGACTTTAGAAAGGTAAGTCTTTTCTGTTAACATACCGAACCCCAATGCTGCTCCTGGGAGTCGCTATAACAAATGCAAGGACTATTATTTTAATTTTTACAGGGTCTTATCACATGTAAATGACTCCCAAGTGCTTTGGAGTAATTACTGTCAAATGCAGGGATTTGTGTTTTTTGTAGGTAAACATGGCTGCCATTTGCACTAGCAAGCTCCCACTGACGTCCGCAAGCTGCGTCTGCTAACACCTTGTCTGGTTCTGCCTGTGTTACAGGAGACGTCAAAAAGCACAGATTTACAGACTGCACTGCAGCTGTCCATGAAGGCTGTTCAGCATGAGAATGTAGATGTCCGTATCCATGCACTCACCAGTTTAAAGGATACTTTGTATAAGAAACAGGTAAGTAATTCAGTATTCATGTTTCTCTAAAATGGGAAATTATGTCTTTATAGCTTGTACATTCCAATACTGATCTCTTAACGGTAGGATAAACAGCACCATTCGAATCAGAATCATAGAATGTCAACAGCAGAGAAACAGGACGTTCGCCCATCAAGTTGTTGCTGGTATTTGTTTCTCTTTGTGAACTTTCTCGTCTAATCCCACACCTGCTTTAGTGCTCCTCCTCTTCAAACCCATCCATCGGATGAGACTTTAAACCTAAATCCCGTCTGCCTGTTCAGGTAGATGTTAAAGATCCCATGGCACTATTCGAAAAGAAGGGAGTTTTTCTCTCCCGGTGTCCTGGCCAACAATCTCCCAAATAAAATTGATCACTCACTCCATGGTTGTTTGTGGGACATTGCTGTGCGCAACTGGCTGCCGCATTTCGCACACAAAATACATGGTCACTCCACTTTACATTATACCCGTGAAGTGCTTTAGATGTCTTGTCGATGTGATGAGGCGCTATATTATATCCAATTCCCTTTCAAAATAATTTATGGAGTTTCACTTCAGCTACGTAAGTGCGAGGATTTTGTTATTACTCGTGGTAGAGAGAAGCCTCCTATAACTATTCCAGCTGATGCTCAAGGAATAAAATTTTAAACAAGATCTGTTATATGAGATTGGGGAAAAAAAACATTGTTTGCTCTCCAGTTGAAACCCTGGTTAAAGAAGAAAGTGTGATTTATCAGATCTCTTATTTATTTTGTGTAGAAACAACTGGTAAAACTTGCCACAGACAGTGAGACTGTGGAGCCTGTTATCTCGCACTTGGTTATGGTGCTCCTGAAAGGTTGCCAAGACGCAAACGCACAATCTAGGCTTCTCTGTGGAGAGTGCCTTGGGGAGCTGGGAGCGATCGATCCTGGTCGACTGGATCTCATGACCAGTAACACAGAGGGCAAAAGCTCTACATTTGTGGTAAGGATCCTACGAGTACCTTCACTATCATTGTTTTTTTGTCATCCGGGCATTTGATATGTTATTGAGTATCCAAACCAATTCAGCCAGCTCTGCTACAAATATACATTGCATTGATAAAACTATTCCAGACTAACTTTCAAGCTAACGTAATGTATAATAATAATCCTTGCCTTTGATAATACTGTGAAATGTAGTCGAATGTGTCAGCCAATTTGCGCACAGCAATGTCCCACAACCAAAGTTGTAACTTTGCCACAATTTGTGTCCTGTAAAACAGGCTGGAGTGGAGGACACCAGTTGTGCCTATGATCTGCTGATGGAGTTGACCAGAGCCTTCCTTGCTCATGCAGACAACGTTCGAGCTCAGGATTCAGCAGCTTATGCCATGCAGGTATGTGAACAGCTACTGATCCACGGAGAGTTAGAAACAAAATTACTGCGCAGTAAAACGCAAAATACTGCAGATGCTGGAAATCTGAAAACAAAAATAGAAGTCACTGGGAACACTCAGCAGGTCAGGCAGCATCTATGGAGAAAGTTACTGCGCAATAATACTATTAAGGTTATTCTTGGTGAAAGAAGAGTTTCAACCTTTATACAGTTGGACAAAAGAAAGTTAATGCAAACCAGCCATTACCTAAATGTTAAGCTTATATTGCGAATGTCAGGCGTTTGTGAATCACTGCTGGCCTGAGATGAGCAGCTCTTAGTCACTAGGTTTCTCTTGTCTCCGTCTTAAAGCTCAAAAACATTTTACACACAGGAACTGCTGCAGATATACAAATGCAAAGAAGGGAAGAGTGATTGCCCAGGACGGAGGCTGTGGAGGAGCTTCCCAGAGCACGTGCAGGAAATACTGGAACCTCACCTAAACACCAGGTCAGCAGGTCTGCTCTCGCTGTGCAAACAGCACAACTAACTAGAGAAATAAAACACAGCTTTTCAGCAGCGAGGAGTGATAGTGAGGACACAACACAAAGCCTAGTACTGTGATATGTTTTATAAACGTGTGTAAATACAAAAATAATAATACTTACATTTGACAGAAAGTGACTTTCACGTTGGGAGGAAGTCTCACAGGATTCACTGACTACTTTTTGGGCGAACTTCAGTGAGCCAAGCTGAAATAAGCAACAAAACAAATATGAGAACATATTTTAGGTGAATAAAAATGAATTATCTATAAGTTGCACTTTGCCCCTTTTGACTTTATAATAATAATAATATTCCCTACATTTGATATGATGCCTTATCATGCCGTCGAGTTGTCTCAAAGTGCGTCACAAGATATATTGTAAAATGGATTGACTGTGTATTTTGTGGGCGAAACACGGTAGCCGATTGCGCACAGCAGTGTCCCACAAACAGTTGTGAATTGAGTGACCAATTGTTATTGTTTTTGATGTACTTGTGTGGGTTACAGAGCAAGTTTAACCCTTTTAAAGTTGTCACTGTCACCTAGTAATCCCCATATGTCTAGGCACTTATGTGATCTTTTCATACCCCTTACCTATTCTCAGCTAATCTGATGCTTGCTGCATCCCATTCGCACCAGTGGTTGAGCCTTCAGCTGTGATGTCTCTCGCCTCTGGAACTCCGTCCCTCTATTCCTCCGTCTCACCCCCTATCTACTTGCCGTTAAATCCCATATAAAAATCTACCTCTTGGACAACGCCAACGGTCCCCTCCCTCAGCGTCTGACACCATTATTGTGAAGCTTTGATACCTGAAGGGCGCTGTGTGAATGCACATTGTTGTTTTGAAGGTACAAAAGTTCTCAGAAGACGTGTAAATGGGACAGCATGAAAAAGCCGTTCTACCTCAGCAAGCAAGAGAGCAACTTTGCAGAGTGGTCAGCCACTTGGGGAGGATACCTTATCACAAAGGTGAGAGGACAACATGTTGCTGCGGTTAAAGTGGATTTGAATGTCTCGATGATCTGCGGTGGGCTTGGGACAGCCTGTGTCTGTCCCCCTGTATCCCTCCCTCTCCTGCCTAACTGTAGTGACTGATTCCTATTGCATTCATGAATTTAACGAGACAATACATTCAACAATACTCTGTCCGTGGAGATTAAAACAACAATAACTTGCATTTATGTAGCTCCCTTCACACAAAGTCTTGTAGCACTTCCCAGTTCCAGAGAGGGTTCCTGAGGTGGAAAAATCTCTTAGTTTATCTGCATGATACAGGTCTGGTCTGCATTGTGCTATTTATGTGCTATGTGCTACAATGTGCTATTTATTTTTATCAAGAGATGGTTTTAACATGTTTTTCAATACATCCTCCAGGTCCGACATGAACTGCCCAGAAAGGTCTTTGACTGCTGCAGTTTTATTATGAAGCACGATTTCAAAGTGACTATCTACCTACTCCCCCATATTCTGGTCTATGTTTTGCTCGGCTGCAATCAGGAGGATCAACAGGAAGTAAGACATAATAATAATTATTAATAATAATCCTTACATTTGATATAGCGCCTTATCACGGCTTCAAGACGTCTCAAAGCGCTTCACAGAATATACTGTAAATTGAATTGACTGTGTATTTTGTGGGCGAAATGCGGCAGCCAATTGCGCACAGCAGTGTCCCACAAACAGTCATGGGTTGAGTGATCAAATTATAATTATTATCATTGCAAAAGGATTACCTCTGGAAAACCTACCATCACAATGGAAAGCTTTGGGAACCTTAGATCCAAAGTTGCTTAGTTCTTCTAAGCATACTAAGCAGTACATCGCCAGCAGTACATAGCCCTTCACAAAGTGCTTCACCAGACTTATGGTAATGTGGAGTGAATGCATAATTTGTAGATGAATGTGATAGCCAATTTCCTCACTGCAATCTCCCACAAACAGCCATGAAGTGAATGACCAATTTTATACTGGGGGATTTGTTGGCCAGGACACATACATTGCTTGTTCCTTCCCTAGGTGTATTCTGAGATTATGGCAGTTCTGCAACACGATGAAGCCGGGAATCGACGAATGCAAGACAGCGCATCAGACCTGAGCCAGCTGAGCACGCAGACGGTATTCTCCATGTTAGATCACCTCGCACAGTGGTCCAGGCACAAACTGCAGGCTCTGAGCTTGGAGAAAAATGCAGGGAAAACCATCAAAGACCAAGGGGGACCCAATGGTGAGTGTGTACAAGAACCTAACGTTTCTGATGGGCGCTCAAAAAGCTTTCAGTATATCTGTGATTTGGAGCTCGTTTTCTTCTCCCCTCTTTACCTGATCTTTACTCCCAAAGGATGGCGGTCTCCAGCTCTGCCTCGGCTGATATCGAATCATATACCAAATATCCTTCTCATTCTGAGAATGCTACAGCAGAGAAACAAGCTCTTCAGTCCATCTTGTCTGCACTTTATTATTTCTCCCCAAGTGCCACCTAATCTAATCCGACTCCATTGCTCGCTCATTTTCAAGCATTTTACCTTTTAAAGGAATTTATGCACTCTGCTTCAGCTTATGATTTCAATAAGCTATTCCTCTGCCTCGGACCTCCCTTGCCTCCTTCAAGGCCCACCTTCAGGCACCCTCCCTCTCTCCCTTCTGTGCCAGTGCTGTTTTTGATGAGATGTTGAACCGAGCTCCGGTCTGCTTATTCAGGTAAAAGATCTAAAGTGAAAGGAGTTTCCCCCGTGCCTTTGCCAACAATCCCCAGTCATTCACATCATGGCTGTTTATATGGCATTGCTGGCAATTGGCTGCTGTGTTTGCCCACAAATACACACTTCTCAGTGATTCCTTGGAAGTGCTTTGAGAATTCGCAATAATGCGATAAAGATCTATATGAAATGCAGTGATTGTTATACATAGCCATGTTGTCGCTGTATATGTCTTGTTGCAGTATCGAGCGCAGAGTACAAGGAATACCAAAATGTCACAGCCTTTCTGGACCTCATACCTCAGGATACTCTCGCTATGGCTTCGTTTCGCTCGAAGGCCTACACTCGAGCAGTGATGCATTTTGAATCCTTCATCACAGAAAAGAAAGAGAATATTCAGGAGCACCTTGGATTTCTGCAGGTCAGTTTAGCGGTAACCAGAATCAATAGAAATCTGGTGTCACTCCAGAAAGAGGTGTAAGCCTCTAGCACTCTTACTTCCTGAGTCAGAAGGTTGTAGGTTCAAGCCCACTTTAGGACTTCGAGCTCACAATCTGGATTGACCGTCCAATTTATTGCAGAGAATGTTAAAAGAAGTAACACTCTGCTTTACTCCTCTTTGACACTCGCTATTTTGTGTTGAGTGTAAGGCAAATTAATTGTAGGTTGTATCACAGCTGAGCCCAATAATATCATCCCATGATATCCACAAGATACAGTTTCCCAGTTGAATCTCTTCTTCCTCGCCCAGGCTACAACTATGAAGCTGACTGCAGTGCCCTAGTGCTTCATTGTATGAGATGAGCTAACTCAGCACAAACTGGGATAAAACCTACTACCTTGTTATAGTTATTACAGTTTTCTGATTAGTGGGATCTCCCTGGAGCGGGAGCACTAGCTCCACAGGGTCAAGCTTGGCAACGGGAATGACAGAATTGAACCACCCTCTGCGAGGCTCTGGTTCATGAGCCAGGTGAGTCCGCAGTAGAGCAGGGCACTGGAGTATATAAATAGATTGTTTTCCGACTAATAGCCAGATAACGTTCAAAACGCAATTTTGCCTGATTCTTGAGCACGCACTAGAGAGCCACGCCACTTGGTGGAGAACATCACTTTAGACTGATGTGTGCGGTCATGCAGTGGAGTTGACAGAGAGGATGCGAATCGTAACTGTCCGGGTGCTTGCTCTGAACTGCAGAAGCTGTACGCTGCGATGCACGAGCCGGATGGAGTGGCTGGGGTTAGCGCGATCCGTAAAGGAGAGCCGAGCCTCCGAGAACAGATTGTGGAACATGAGAGCAGTGGGCTGCTGAGAGATGCTACCGCCTGCTATGACCGGGCTTTTCAGCTGGAACCTGACCAGGTAAATCAGCACAAGCGCTCACCATAGGCTGCCTGCCTTCGCGAACAGGGAACGGAGAATTGAATAATAATTTATTGTGTGTCCCACAACCACATAAGATCTCTGTCTAGTCCAAAGAAAGGATGCACGTTCCTGATTGTCAGATTTCTGCTGTTATCATGACACTGGCCTCGAGGGGGCATATGGCAGCAGTGACTTTCTCCAAACTCACCTTCCCTCCTCACAGTGCTGTGCATTAAAATGCCAACTTCATTTTATGTGCAATCTCTTTCGGTGTCAGCTTGGCTCAGTCGGTAGGACTCTTGCCTCTGGGTCAGACGATTGTTGGTTCAAGTCCCATGTCAAGGACTTTCGGCTCATGACACGTCAGTGCAGTATTGGTGGAGAGTGTTGGCGGAGTGCTGCATTGTCAGCTATGCCATCCTTCAGGTGAGACATTAAACTGAGGTCCCATCTGCCTGTTCAGGTAGACATAAAATAACCTATAATACTATTTAAAAAGAGAAGGCAGTTTCCCTCCCCTGATGTCTGGGCCAACAATCCTCATTCATCTCCAGGTTGCTTGTTGCACATTTCTGCGTGCAAATTGCCTGCTGCATTCACCTACAGTCACTAGTAAAAAAAAGCTTTTTGAAAAGTTTCAAATAATAATAAATTGGTCACTTTTTCCATAACTGTTTGTGGGACACTGCTGTGCGTAATTGACTGTTGCGTTTCACCCATAAAATATACAGTTAATTCACGTTACAGTATATTCTGTGAAACGTTTTGAGACATCTCAACAACGTGAAAAGGCGCTATATTAAGGATTATTATTATTATTAATGATGTATTGTTACATTTGTATATTTCATCAGCCTAAACATTTTGTATATATTCTTTGGATCAGGAAGGATTGATTCCAACTTTTTTTTTAACGTCAGATAATTCACTATCACGGAGTCATGAAATCTATGTTGGGACTTGGCCAGTTATCTACAGTAATAACTCAGGTCAACGGAGTGATTGCAAGCAGGTACAGTGCCCTTGGCTAAGCCTTTTACAGTCCAGATGATCACCTCATTCCATAATCTCATGAATTCTGCTGCTGGAGATTGAGGGAATAATGTTGCCTCCAGCAAACTGCTGAGTGTTTTATATCTGAAGCAGAAATATCTCTGGAGACCCATTGATGGCTGTGTTGCACCAAGATTTAGAAAAAAGTGATATTAAAAGGTATGGTTCAAGAGCAAGGGAATGGGGCTGGAGTGGATAGTGGGGAGTTAGCACTAGCATTAGCATGATAAGCTGAATGGCCTTCAGTGAATTTAGTCATTTATTTTATAATCCAGTATTGCTACGTTTTTTTCTTTGGCAGCACATTTTATGACAAATGGCACTTTAATTGTGGTGACTTCTCAGCCTGAAATATGGATAGAGCCAGAGAGAAGGCAGGGTTTCAGTTTTTTAAACTATTGAAGAGGCAACATCACATTTGTTGACGTGCTGTAAAAATAAGTTCATGCTCAGTGCTTTGCGATAGTATAAAAAAGAAAATAAGGCTTTAGAGTGACGTAACACAACTTAGTGGGAGATCATATTAATGGATAGACCAATTGGAATAACTCATGCAGTTTTCAGCCAAGTGCTTTTCGCAGTCCTCGGAATGATGTAAAAATGGGTGAGGTGTTCAAGGAAGCATATGCTTTACACTGTTTGCACTCCACACTGTGTCTGATGTAGAGAATGGTGCTCTCGCTTTCTTTACAGACCTGACTGGAGCTCCGAGCTTAACACGTACAGAGTGGAGGCAGCTTGGAAGCTGACCCAGTGGGACTTGTTGAATGATTATCTGGTCACAGGTAATAAAGGAGGCCCAATGAAACAGGGCAGAGCATCAACCCTGCTACGTACACAGCAACTAAAAAGTAGTTAAATCTAACAATATGACTGTGAGAGTAGGTCCATTTCATATATCCAATTTTAGAGATGTTCATCCTTCCATTTGATGCTAATCCCTTCCCCTTCTTGCCAGAGATTATTTCATTATCAAGTCACCTGCTGCCAGACCTTAGGTGACTGACTACCTGTTGAGGTGGAAATGTAACCTGGGTTACTGGTCTCATTCCTCCCCTAAGCTCAGGCATCTAACCCTCATTTGTTCCACATCTAATGCCCCCACACATAATCGGTGTTGTGTTGTTTGGGTGAGCAGGGTTGTAGCATAAACCCACAATGTACAAAACCGTGGAGGTCCTTAAAGGTGAGGACGAGGGTCTTGAACTCGATCCTCTGGGGGACGGGGAGCCAGTGAAGCCGGGAGAGGATGGCGGTGATTGGATCCCGTTCAAAACATGCAGCTTTCTTTTCTGACAGAGGGGAAGTCCAGCACCTGGAGCGTGCGACTGGGCCAGTTGTTGCTGTCAGCTAAACAGAGAAACACAGAGGCTTTCTATGAACAATTGCAGGTGGCTCAAGCGGAACAGATTGTGCCTCTCTCCGCAGCGAGCTTTGAGCGAGGATCTTACCAACGGGGATACGAATACATCGTCAGGTACAAAAACAACAACAGTTACATTTATATAGTGCCTTTCACATCAGAGACAGACGTCCCAAGGAGCTGAGGTGCCTGAGTGATTGATCTCAGTTTGGACACTGGAGAGACACCTGCATAATTAAAACCATTAATGGATTAATTAAGGGAGAGAGATGGAAAGTGAGGTTAATACTTAAAAGTAAAATGCGGGCTTTTACCTTCAAAGCAAACACACATTCCCCTCAGTGATTCCTCTGAAGCATTTTGATAGGTCCTCCTTATGTGAAAGGCGCTGGAGCAATTGCAAGGATTGTTGTTAATTATTATTAAATGCAACTTAAAAAAAATTAGTGGATATGATGGGCTACTTCTACGCTGGAAATTTTTATATGCGCGTCTCAAATAAAATAATTAATAATAATAGTTGCACTTGATGTAGCTTATTATGTTGAGCACACCACAAATCCTTTCTCTAAAGTGTAATGACTTGTGTAATTGTGGGTGAACCCGGAAGACAATTTGTGCACAGCAAGGTCCCACAAACAGCCAGGAGACGAATGATCAATTTTAGCTGGAGGACTGTTGGGCAGGACACCATGAGAAATTCCCTTCACTTTTCAAATTGTATCATGATATCTTTAACATTGACTTGAACAGACAGATAGGATCTCGGTTGAAACATGTCTGTTGGATGGCGCCTCGGACAATACAGTGCTCCCCAGGGTTTTGCACTGGAGTCTTGGCCGAGATTATGAGCTAAAAGTGCTGATGTGGGGATGTATTAATGCACTGTTCATTCTGAGTTTGCATTTAACTAGACTGCACATGCTGTGTGAGCTGGAGCACAGCATCAAGGGACTCCTGCCTCGGCAGCCAGACCGACTTTCTAAAAGATTCGAGCATCCTCTGAATTGGCAGGCTCGTCTGGAAATGACCCAGAATTCATTTCGGGCTAAAGAGCCAGTCTTGGCCTTGCGTAGAGCTTTGCTTAGCCTCTGTAAAAGGTACGTTGACTTTGTTGACATTGTTTTAAAGCTTTGCTGGCTAACGGTATTGACGAGAACAACCAATTACATTCATAAAGTGCCTCTCACGTTGGGAGGATATCTCAAAGTATTTTCGCCCAAGTTGAGTTGAAGGGAGGTGGGGAGAGAGGAGGAGATAGAGGGATGAGAGAGAGGAAATATGAATCATTGGTCACCTAGCAATTCTATCTCACTTTCCCGAATAACACTGGTTTCTCTGTTTTAATGTTTCTGGTGTTAACAGTGCAGACTACAGTGAACTGGTTGGAGAATGCTGGTTACAAAGTGCCAGAGTTGCAAGGAAAGCAGGCCATCACCAGACTGCATACAATGCCCTCTTAAATGCAGGGGAATCCCGCCTGCCTGAGCTTTACATAGAACGAGCGAAGTGGCTGTGGTCCAAGGTATATAATAATCCTTCACACAATATATGTAGTAAAGTGGATTTTGTGGGTGAAACATGACAGCCAATTGCACACAGCAGTGTCCCACAAACAGTCGTGGATTGAGTGACCAAATTATTATTATTTATTTGTGACGGGATTATTACCCCCAGAAAGCGATTCACCAATCAACTGTGTTTCTACTTACTACGAGATAAACGGGCGTGTGGAGTAAGGAAACTTGCCTAAGGTTTTGCCCTGCCAGGGAATCAAACCTCAATTGTGAGGCGAGTGCCCTAACCAATGTGCTACAGGACTCCATTAGATAACGGTACATTTCTTTTTGTTCTTTCCGCCAGGGGGACGTTCACCAGGCTTTGATTGTCCTACAGAAAGGTGTGGAGTTGTGTTTCGGAGAGATGGGAACACAGCCGAGTGACAGCAAGAGCTGCCTTATTAAGGGGAAAGCTGTGCTGCTGGTTGGACGTTTCATGGAAGAAACGGCTAATTTTGAAAGTAATGCCGTGATGAAGAAGTACAAGGTATAATTTGGCTCCCCATTTCCCAACGGATTCAGTTCAAGATCCTTGTTCTCACCTTTAAATCCCTCCACAGTCTCGCCCTACCCTACCTTGTCAACCTCCTTGAACCCTAGTGACCGGGCCGCTCTCTCTACTCAGTGGGCATCGGCCTGCTTTCATATCCTCGTTGCACCATCGGTGGCCGGGCTTTCAGTTTATCTGCCCCACTCCCTGGAACTCCATAACGGAAATCCACCCAACTTGCTAAGTGGCTTGGAATGTCCTCCCGATGTGCAAAGTGCTCTTCATTTCTCTCTTTGTAGGAGGTGACCACCTTGTTACCAGAATGGGAAGACGGACACTTTTACTTGGCCAAGTATTATGACAAATTGATGCCTATGGTAACAGACAACAAGATAGAAAAACAGGGCGATTTGATACGCTACATCGTTCTTCATTTTGGCACGTAGGTTTCTTGTCTCAAATCAAGGTTCAACAAGTTGGAAAAACAAGTTAGGCCCCTGGATTACAATGTTTTATTATTTACCAGGACATCAGATCTACAGAAGTCACCTCTTCCTCCTACATTCCTAACCACTTCTTGACCTATCATGTTTTGCTCTTCTGCTATACCATCAAGCTTGGCCTTTTTACCGGATTATTCAGTAAAATAAAATAAGATAAATATTTTGCTCTGCGTTAAAGTTGGCTCATCTGAGCTGCGGGAGAAAAAATAGTATTAGGTACAGGTTGGCAAGATGCCTTGAATTATTCTTATGTCTTTAAAAAAGCAATAGAGTAATTGCGATGGCTGATTACATTGGGGTGGACTGACTATGCGTGTTTGGAGAGAAAGTATGTATGTTGGAATTGCTTGTACATTGGGTTGGATTATAATCACACTATAAAATATATTGCAGGTCGTTGCGGTTTGGAAATCAGTTTATCTACCAGTCGATGCCAAGAATGTTATCACTCTGGCTGGATTACGGAGCAAAAGCCTATGAACTGGAAAAGGGTAAGAATGTCACTTTTGCAGCTAGTTCTGTAAGACTTCAATCAAAACGTAAAGCAGGTTTTGGAAATTTTTGAATTATCCAAACAGATCTGCTGCCAGTATTCTCACTCACACTAAACTCTAAATCCCTCCACGCCAAGGCACCTCTCTACTTTTCTGATCTGCGTTTTCACCACTCCATTACCCACTGCCTCTACTCAGCTGGTTCTGTCCTCCTGCTTGTCCCTCTGCTCCACCATCAACGTCCGGCTTTCAGCCACTTCCTCTTCGACCTTGCTTATGGTCACATCCTCCCTCCCCCCCGGCTCGGTGTCAGGCTCTGCCACTGATAAGCACTCCGAAATCCTGCCCCACGTAAAGGGCATTATATAAATGCAAGTTGTTATTATTAATTGCTCTCTACTCTGCAGCCACAGGACGTACTGCTGATCGCTTTGCCATGAAACCGGATCTCGAAAAGATCAACAAGGTGATCGAGGAGCACACAAAACACCTGTCCCCCTACCAGTTCCTGGCGGCCTTCTCCCAACTAATTTCACGGATATGCCATTTCCATGACAATGTGTTTGCTCGGCTGAAGGACATCATTGTCAAGGTGTTTCTCGCCTACTTCCAGCAGGCCATGTGGATGATGACAGCTGTGTGCAAGGTACCTGGATGTTGACAGTGAAGTCTGAATGTATAAGTGTGTCCCAACAGCAATAATAATTCCTAAACATGAATTCTACATTACATACAGGAAACAGTCATTCAATACTTTAAATCCTTGGAGTACTGGCAGGTTTACAGTGCCTGTGTGTGCTACTTGGTTCTGTATATTGTTATCTCACTATTATGCCAAAAAACATTAATGTTGATCTGCAAAATAGTCTGTACACTTTACATCCTGTGAAGATTGCTTTGGACAAATCTCCCAACATGAAAGGCACTGCATTAAATGAGAGGATTATTATTATTACCAGTTAACAAAGCTATTCATGAAGTAATACTCAAATCTTTATTACAGTTACTGCGTAAAAATGCCTAATTTTAAACACTCAATTCTTGCTTTCTTGGCCTTATTTACTTCTGTTTTTACACTTTACTTCCTTTTCCATCTCTGTTCTTTCTTACCTTTCCTATCTATTTACTGGCTGATTTTGCAGCCAATAAAAAGAAAGGAGTATTGCCATGGATGTGGCCAGGTGCAACAGTGACAAACAAACCTTTGCATTTAATAAGCGTTCAGTACCTCAGTACTACACTGAGGAAACGGGCTAATTGGGCCAATTTAGGTGAGTTGATGTTTCACCTGGTATTGATGAAGAATTGTCACACATTGCATAACATGTACAAAAATATTCACTTATTTTGCAGTCATCGTATGCGACACGAGTTGGCAGATGTAAGGAAATCTTGCAACAAGCCGTCAATGAGAAGAGCTCCTTCGCCAAGTTCATAGAGGATGCCACCCGTCTGACTGAAAAACTGCTGGAACTGTGCAACAAACCGGTAAATGTCTAAACTTAGTGAGGTACGCATCTCACCGCTTGCCTGTCGCCTGCCTTAACAGATCCATTAACATGGAGCAGCTGAGTTGATAATGGATGCTTCTGCGGTAGGAATTTGTTTTAATTTGTGAAATAGCTGTAAGTCTCTTACATTAAGTTCAATTAGGGTAGTTTATATTGGAGTGGATATAAACAGGAATGTGGTCCCAGGTTTGATTCCCTAGTTAGTCCTGATTTAGCTGATCCAAGCCAGAAAGGCACTAGAGGTGCTCCAGTTGATCTCAGAGAAGGAAATATCAGCTCCAGACTGTTATCCCAGGATCCCTGCAGGATGCGCATGTATGTATGTGGATGAGTGTTACCAGGATCAAGGTCGGTTGCATTGTTGAATAGTCTACAATGCACATTATCAAAGCTCTCGCATGAATAATGGCCACTTGGGGAGGTATGGAAATGGTAACTGCACCTTTCTAGTACAAGGGAAAAAGCAGTCAGACATGCATGGAGAGGAGCAGGTGAAACTGATCAGTAAAAGTATATTTGCTTTTCAAGAAGCAAGGATTTGGTCACTGAATCGCCTTTTGTACTTAATTCTCAGTAAGTTTGTCTCAGATGCGCTGGTGGTGTCTGATCTTCCTGGTATTTAAGCAAGGTCAAATTGGAAGAATTGTATACTGGAAGTTTCCAGGGTTTTGGAAAATGCTGGATTCTGATCAGGTGAGCAATTTTTCACTTTGTGCCCTAAATATTTAGGTGTCTGTCTGTTTACAGGTCGGTGGGAATACGACTACATTAAGCATGAGCGTTCACTTCAAAATGCTGAAACGGCTGGTGGAAGAGCCCACTTTCAGTGAAATCCTCATTCCCCTGCAATCCGTGATGACTCCCACCCTGCCCTCCACGCCAGGCACACATGCAAAGCACGACCCTTTCCCGGGTCACTGGGCCTACATCGCTGGTTTTGATGACAAGGTAAAAATAGCCAATCCTAGAATTTGCCTTTCTTGTATTGTCCTCTTTGGATGGGAGGTAACTGGGGTTTCCTTGGAGAATGTAGTTAGACAGCCAAGATTTAATTACCCAGAGCACCGCAAATAGATGTTGTTAACACCCCAGGGAGGCAAAGTGGGTCAGGGAATTTAATGTGTATTTGACAAAGAAATCAATTGAAGTGCGTGAGAGAGAATAGTGTATTTTAGGATTTAGCTTTCTGCTTAAAACATTGGGAGTGGACAGATGGATGAAGAGATCTCTTGCCTGTAACCTTCTGTGTTCTTATTTGCATTGATTTCTATTTATAGCCATGACACAGACCTTGGCTGGAGTTGAGTGCTTGACCGTCCCACATGATAAGTTCAGTGATGCCATCTGCTAAAATGCTCTCAATTAAAGACCAACCCTGACAAAATATTCTTGTTTGTTTTGTGAATGTGAAAGTTATATTAGCAAGTGGCTCGATGCATGTGGACAGACACAGGAAATGCAGATGAAAAAAGAACAGGGTCCATCCAGTTCGCTTTCCACCATCCTGGCAGTCACATGCATGTGTCATATCCTGAACTACTCATACTATATCTCGAATATTATTTTCTAAAAGAAATCTATCTCATTTGCATTTGAAAGAATCAACACTTTCTGCTTCCACCGTTTCCCTAGGGAGCCTGTTGCATACATTTACCATCGCTTCACTTTAGACATCCTTCTCCTATTTTAGGTGGAGATCCTGGCATCACTTCAGAAGCCAAAGAAAATCAACCTGAAGGGGACTGATGGGAAATCCTACATTATGATGTGTAAACCCAAAGATGACCTTCGGAAGGATTGTCGGCTCATGGAATTCAACTCCCTCATTAATAAGGTGCAGCATCAAAAACATACTTGAATAAGTGTCACTGATTTGTACACTCAGTCTTAGATGGAGTCCTGTAGCTTAGGTGATTAGAGCACTTGCCTTGCAGGCGAGAGGACCTGGGTTTGATTGTCCAGCAGGACGAAACATTGGGCAAGTTTCTTTACTCCGCTTACCTCTGTTTACCTAGCAGTAAGTAGGAATCTGTTTGTTACTTGTTTGGAGGATCGCTTCTCCAGGGGTAATAATCCCTCAAACAAAATAATTTTGTCACTCAATCCACGACTGTGGGACACTGCGGTTCCCAATCGGCTGCCACGTTTCGCCTACAAAATATACAGTCAATTCCCTTTACAGTATAATCTGTGAAGCACTTTGAGACGTCTCAAAGACATGTTAAGGCGCTATATCAAATGCAAGGATTATTCTTAGTAATATTATAGTAGGCTTAAATATCTCTCTATTGTAGTGCCGTTCACCTAGCAAGATGTTTGGTCTCGTTTTGGACACTCAAGCATGGTGATGGACTATTAAAATGAACCTCAAGACAACATCAAATGAAGAAGGTCCTTGAAACCCACTTGATATCAATTACCCTCTGACCAACTTCCCATTGAGGCATCAAGCTGTTTGTTACTGGCCTCAAGCACCCTTATGCTCCATGTAAAGAATAACTCCCTGAAGTCACTACATAATTGCCCTTCACTAAGCTCAACCTGAACCCTCTTGACCTGGTGCCATATGTGGCCATATTTTTCTGGGTTTACTTTCTCTACTCCATTAACTGTCTCCTTTACTTCTATAACATTTGGCTAAAATACTTCTGAAAATTCACCTTTTGATGCTTGACAGTGCCTGCGGAAAGACGCCGAGTCTCGCCGGAGGGAGCTTCACATCAGAACATACGCAGTTATCCCTCTCAATGAGGAGTGTGGGCTGGTCGAATGGGTTAACAACACAGCGGGCTTACGAAACATCCTGAACAAACTATACAAAGAAAAAGGTAAGGGTTCGGCAAATCACGCCAGCGTCTTATTTAAATCAATGCAAGGATTAATCTAAATTCTCAATATATTAAAGACATACACAGTGTTCAGTTTTAGTAGACCTGGGTTCAGTTCCCTATCGGGGCAAAATCTCAATCATGTTTCCTTACTTCGCACGCCTCTGATAACCTAGCAGTAAGTAGGAACCTGGTTTTTAGTCAATCAACGACTGTGTGGGACACTGCTGTGCGCAATTGGCTGCCGAATTTCGCCCACAAAATACAGTCACTCCACTTTACAGTATATTCTGTGAAGCACTTTGAGAAGGTCTCAATGACAAGATAAGGCGCTATATGAAATGCGAAGATTATTATTATGAGAGTTTCTGGGACTCACATTTGCTAAGTGAACTCTGTTTGTTGCAGGTGTCTTCATGACCGGAAAGGAGCTGCGTCAATGCATGCTGCCAAAGCAAGCTCCCCTATCAGAGAAACTCTCACTGTTTAAGCAGCAGCTGCTGCCCCGGCACCCTGCTGTCTTTCACGAGTGGTTCCTTAGGACCTTCCCAGACCCGACTTCATGGTCAGTTCCTTTAGTCACAGACCAAATGCTTGGTGTGGATGAGAATGTGCTTCCCCACTTACAAAGCCAGGGAGAGACAACAACAACACATTGCATTTATATAACGCCTTTAATGTCGGGGGGGATATCCTAAGGCGCTGCAGAATGAGGGGTTTGCACCTGAGCTGCGGGTTGGGATCAGAGGGGTGGAGGAGGGAGGATGAGTGAAGGCACAGTCGGAAAGGAAGGCCTTGATACGGATCTTGAAGGAAACAAGACGGGTCAAACTTACGATTTCATCAAATGGTCTTTTCTCCTGTATTTTTTGCCCCCATTTGTAAGAGATGGGCAACATCAGAGGCAGTGAGGTCTGCCACGCACCAACCGTAAACATTGTCAATCTTTTCGTTATATGTTTGTAACGGGAAACTGTAAGAAGGATCTGAGTAACACCTTATCGTGTTGAAATGCTTCAAAGCACTTTACAATAATTACCGTTAACTGTGACAGTCGTTTTATTCACGGCAATGTTCCACCTGAGGTCAATTTATCTGAAGCATTGTTGGCCAGGACACTAGGATAAGCTCCCTTCGGTTTAATATCTCAGAGGTCAATCCATTGTACCTAATTGGCTGCCACGTTACTCCCACTAAATATATAGTCAATTCACTTACAGTATATTATTCTGTGAAGCGCTTTGAGATGGCTCAATGGCACGATAAGGCACTATTGATGGCAGTCAGACAGTATTGCATCCAAATGACAGCTGCCGGGTGTGTTGTTGTCTTGTTGCTGAGATGCACAAGTTGCTCATTCTCCACATTTCCTGTTCAGGTACAGCAGCAGATCAGCATACTGTCGTTCCGTTGCTGTGATGTCGATGGTGGGCTACGTTCTTGGTCTCGGTGACCGTCACGGAGAAAACATTTTGTTTGATTCATTCACGGGTGAATGTGTCCACGTGGACTTCAACTGTCTTTTCAATAAGGTAATTGATTCATTTGCCAGCAACCATCTGATGTCCTCCACACGCGACAGGTGCAATATAAATATAAATTGTATTGTCCTGTAGAAGTTAGATTTTATATGACAGATACTGCATTGAGAAAGTGAAACTCTTGGTATCTCTTAAGATTTTAAAATTGAACCTCCTTGCTGTGTTTAGGGGGAGACCTTTGATGTTCCTGAGATTGTCCCTTTCCGCCTGACCCACAACATGTCCCATGCTATGGGCCCTATGGGGACAGAGGGTTTATTCCGCCGAGCCTGTGAAGTGACGACCAGACTGATGCGTGATCAGAGAGAACCTTTAATGAGGTAAAATGCCCATCGAACACCACATTCTGTAGCCAAGGAGGTGCTTATGGGAGTGTTAACACTTGGAATATAGGGAGAGGGAAACTCCACATGGGTCTTGATTTCCTCTATTGACTTAGCATTTCAGAACATCTGCCGGTCAACAAGCTCTTAAATACAGCCTTCATTTTGAAGTGTGTTTTTTATGTGAGAAATACAGAAGTCACTCGTTTAAGACTGAATTCAACAATTTGCCAAAGTGCTCTAAACTGCTACATGAATAGAGCGCAAAGTCCATGTTGTTTTTCTACAGCGCACTGGCCAACAACTGAAACATGCGGAACAATGATGATAATTGTATTTAGAACTACTTAATTGTATTCAGTACAAGTGTTTAACTGTATTTAGACGCCCAGAGGATCAGTACGAGCGCCATCATTCATGGCAGGTAACGATCCATCACTATGTTCAGTGCGAAGTGAAATGCACCTCTGACAAAGTGCATCTTGTTTCAGCTCCTCCGTAGTCTTGTATCGTTGTTTTGCAACAGGGGGTAAGAGTACTTTGTGGACACCCTGTAGATTATGATCTGGGTGGAATTTCCGAAGTGGATTTTGTACAAGTAGCATTAGGGAGAGATGGTCCCTCTGACTCTCTCTCACTCTCTTACCTCTTTCAAGGTCATGTCTCAAACGTACCTCTTTGACCAACCGAGCTTTTGGTCATTTTTCCCCTCCCCACCCCCTCAGCTCCCCAGCTCAAATGCCCGCTGAGCGCTGTGAAGCTCTTTGAGACATCCTCCCGACATGAAAGACGCTATATTAATGTAAATCATATTGTGTTATAAATGTCAGGAGTTTCATTTGACTGTGATTGGGACATTTCTACTTTGCTGTTGATATAAAGCTGACCTGCCCAACAGTGTTGTTAGCTTAATGCGTGCGTTTGTTTTCATAGTGTTTTGAAAACATTTCTTCATGACCCACTGGTGGAGTGGAGCAAACCGGTGAAAGGAAGCACAAAATCCCAGGTCAACGAAACTGGAGAGGTTATCAATGAGAAGGTCAGTGAAAGGAATTGTCCATGTGTGTATGTTAGTCTAAAATTGGACCTTCACCTGATTGCATTCTCTCTCTCAAATACGCTTTCTTTCCCCTCTTTCCCCCCCCACCCTCCCACACACTATATACGTGCAAACTTGTATCGTATTTTCAAGTGTCCAGTGTTCAAAGACACTATCTCAGGTGCAGAGCAGGATGCTGTATAAATATATAAATTGTGTTATGAGTCATTTACCTGGAGATCTTAGTTTACCCCTGTTGCAAGGCACTTGAATTTCAAAAGAATATCTTTACTCTTCTCGTTCTATTGTTTCATGACTGTTTCTAGGCCAAGACCCACGTCCAGGATATAGAAAAGCGTTTGCAAGGCGTGATTAAGACCAGGAACAAGGTAAAGGGTTTGCCTCTGTCCATCGAAGGCCATGTGCACTACCTTATTCACGAAGCAACAGATGAAAAACTCCTGTGTCAAATGTACCTGGGCTGGGCTCCATATATGTGAAACAAACAAAAGCTGCAAGTTGGCTAATACGCCAATGTGGTATGTGCACTAAGACGACCATCTTAATTCTGAGCTCTTTCAATCACTCGTCAAAGAGCTGTCTTACTGTCATAGACCTTAACTGTTAAAAAAAAAAAGGCACAGCTTGACAGAGATTGAGAAGGATCTGCAACTCTCCCTCAGCTTCCAATGCACAGAATGAAGGTATTGAATATTTCAGAGCCTTGATCGAGACTGGATTTTTCGGAACGTTTGATGAAGTGCTCAAGCTTTGAAGCTTTAAAGTGAAACTGAGTGGCTTGCTGAAGAGGCGAGATATGACGAACACGAAATCGCAAGGAGCCGGAAAAGCGATGGAGCCAAAGACTAAATATTTGACAAAATGTGACACAAACGTTGCTAGGTTAACCCCCAACCTCTTGTTAATGTCCTGTGCTGTCAACAAAAGGAAGGGGCGCTGTGGTTGGCAAGTGAACTGCAGTTGGTAGAAGTAGACAGTAAATTGCACATGAGTGTATTCAAATTATTCTGCTTCACTGACTACTTATGTATATGTAGCGGTATTCTGACAAGACAGGAGATCTGTCAAGGGCATAGCTCAGCTTCTTGAGAGGAAAACCAAACTTCTCATGTGTGTGGAAGTAAAGCATTTTTTTCCTCCAGGAGCCACAGAACAGGGAATTATTGGTAGTGGATGTTTGCTTGTTGGGTAAGAGATGCCCTGTGAGACACTACCTTGTTGAAGGTGTATTGAACTCAATTTAGTCTTTGTTGAGACAGTTTTTTGTCCTTGTTACTATTCACGTAATTGCACCTTACAAATGAACTGTGCAGTTTGCAAACAGGATTCAGAATGGAATAAAGAGCTTTGGGTGAGTTATGTTTTATCTTTTTGCTTTCTGTCAACATGTCACTGTTGCTTCACTGTTTACCTACAAAAGCTGTCTCCCGATCATTTTGTCCTCTCTGCTTTAGAGCTCTGAAATTCTGTCCTTTTTTTGTCAGGCTGTGTCTGGTAGGAACCCGCAAACAAGAGTTTACAAGTCCGACTCCCTATTACCTGCTTTCTAGCACGGATCTGTACCGTGCTTTTCCCCTTGATGCAGATTTGATCACTGCCTATTTAGTTGTGTTGTAATTTCTGGATACTTAAGATTACAAAGCTATGCACTATTACTCAATTGCATTTTTGTACCTATCTGTTCAAAGTTTGTTTTACTTTAAAACAAATACACTTTGTTATTTCCTGCAACAGTTTGTATGACAACAAAGTATCTGAAATTCAGGATTTCCAACATTCAGGGTTACATTTCCTATTTTTATTTACACAAGTTTATTTTCTAATCAAAGTTCAAGCTATAAAATAAATTTGTTTATTCTGTTTGTTTTTATATTGAATAAAGTAAACAATTAAAGACTGACAAAGCCTAAGATGTGGGATGAGAGAGCAAACACATTTGTAACTATAATAGTAATAACTACAGTAATTATTTAACTACAGGACTTGTGGAGTCCTGTAGCTCAGTGGTTAGAGCACTCGCTTTGCAAGCGAGAGACCTGAGTTCAATTCCAGGCAGAGGGCGAAACCTTGGGCAAGTTTCCTTACTCCACACAGAGCCTAATAACAATCCCTCCAAAACCAAAAACAATAATAAATTGGTCATTTTCAATCTACGTCTGTTTGTGGGACATTGCTGTGCGCAATTGGCTGCCGCGTTCGCCCACAAATATACAGTCAATTCACTTTACAGTGTGTTCTGTGAAGCGCTTTGGGACGTCCTCCCGATGTGAAAAGCGCTATATCAAATGCAAGGATTATTATTATTACTATGATTATCTGTGTGGTAACTAAGTATCTGAACCAGCAAATGTACAAAATCTGCAAGTAGATCTCATTTCAGAACTGCAAGCAGAGAAGAATGCAATAAGCAAGGATTCATTTTTTTCCTGCTATTTACAAGAAGTTGCTGAAGTTTCCCTTCAAATGTTCAGCCCCACAACATCTACTGAACAGAAACAAAAATAGTGCATAGCAAATTTAAATGTTTACAACTGGAATGTTTGTTCGATGTTCCTTGTCTTTTGGTAATTTGGATAGTTGTGTTCTAATTTCTGAATATTTGAGATAACAAAACTCAGTTTGCTTAAAACTGTTGAAACTTTGAAACAAGTTGGGAGTAACAAAGAAATCCCTGGGTGTTCTTGAATCAAACTCCGTGTTCTCAGTTCCTCAGTCCAATTTGCTACTCAGTAACAATCCAGGGTTATCTTGTTGCTGAAATGGGTTTAGGAAATAAATGTCTGCTTAACATGCTACTGTTGCAAAACATTTTCAGACCAGTCTTTGTGGAGGATAGTAAAAAGTGAAAGTCTCCCTGAAGAAGGAACCACAAACGTTTGGCTGACCAGAGACAAGAATGTTCAGAAATGAAAATACAGTTTCTCCTGAAAGATTCGGAGGCAATGTCACTCGGGTCAAAAATTGACCTCAACTATCAATCCCAGAGCAGCTCAAGAGCCAGTGATACATGCATGATACGAGTTCTGTGGTTATCAGGCTTCTCATTGTGTTTATCAATTTGATTCAAGCCTGCAACTATCTTGTCTTCTGTATGACCTACAGTGTGTCTATGCACTGGACCCTGGGAGAAGCTATTTTAGATTATTTTGATGTGCCAGAGTGTGAAAAATAAACACGGCTTCAGTGTTTAAATGAGTTTGGGATCTGTCTCAATAGTTCTAATCGGAATTCTCCTGACATTTTCCTGTTGACGGCTCTATGTGGGCTATAATTGCTTTTAATTTCTAAGGTAAGTTTCTACTAATTTCCAGTGATTGTTCTTGTGACTAATGGTAACCACTCACACAAAAAAATTCACCTAGCCGCAGCCATGGGCATTTGAACAGGTTTGCAATTGCTGTCACATTGTTATTGACAACAGAAGTCTCATTGTTAGAAACGGTTAGAATTTCTTTTTGTGTGAGTGATGAATGACCATCAGACACAAAGACAACACCCCTCTCTCGCAGAACAAAATCTTAAAACTGGTTTTGTTCGATAATTAGAACAAATAATCCTTGCATTCGGGGCAAGCAGCTTATCATGTTGGGAAGACGTCTCGAAGCGCTTCGCAGGATTGACTCTCAAATGACATGACCGTGTGCATTTGAAGGCAAACGCGGGACGCACAATTGCACGCACCGGTGGCCCACTGCCAAAGAGCCATGAAACAAGTGACCAATTTTATTTTGGGGGGTGATTGTTGGCCAGGCCCCAGGGAGAGAAAAAAACCTGTCTCTTAATAATCCAGAATGGGTATATGAATATCACAAGCATTTATATGTATACACACAGACAGACAGAGACAGACAGACAGACGACTCATAGACACAGACAGACACAAGTCACACAGACAGACACACACAGAGACGCACAGACAGACAGACACACATAGTCACACAGACAGACAGACACACACATAGTCACATAGACAGACACACACATAGTCAGACAGACAGACAGACACAGACATAGTCAGACAGACAGACACATACAGAGACACACAGACAGACAGACACACACAGAGACAGACAGACAGACACACACACACAGAGAGACAGACACACATAGTCACACAGACAGACACACACACACACACACACAGACAGACAATGATGGTCCATGTAACATGAATTGGGCCATGACCTCCGGAACCTGAAGTCAGGAGGGGCGGTGGAGCCCGGACGGCAGTGGGGGTTGTACCCAGTCCAGCAGAGCGGTGCAGCGGGGAACCGAGTCCCGGGGCTCGGCGGACACGGAGTCGGGGTTTGGCTGACGGTGAAGCCGCGGGCGGACGAGCAAAAACTCCCGTCGGTTTGTTTTCGAAGCGAAACCCCGGGGGCCGCGTTTTGCAGACAGATTCGGAGCAGAGCCTCGGCTGAGAGAGAGAGAGAGAGAGAGAGGAAGAGAGAGGAAGAGAGAGAGAGCCGCTGCCGTCGCGACCGACGCAAGAGCCTCGGGGAGGGGGCGAGAGGCAGAGCCAGAGAGCCAGGCCCGGGCCTGCGCCACCCCCCACCAGCCCCAGCCCAGCCTCAGCCCCCGCACCGCGGCCCCTCACCGCTCGGCTCTGACCCCCTTCGCCTCAGGAAAACATGGGAGTCCCCAAGTTTTACCGCTGGATAAGCGAGCGGTACCCGTGCCTGAGCCAAGTGGTGAAGGAACATCAGGTAAGAGAGCCCCGAGGCCTCCCTTGTCCTCGCGGGCCCTGTGAGTGGTGGTGGGTGTTGGGGTGGGGGGTGGGGGGGGGTCCCTGGGTTTTATTTACCTTCTTTAACCCAACCCCCACCCCCCCCACCCACCCACCCAGGGTGTGGGGAGGGGGGAAGAGGGGGGGTGTCAGGCTTTATGGTTAAACGTTTTTTTTTTACAGGCGGTTTATAAATGATTTTTTTTTAAAAAAAGAAATAAAAAGGTCTAGTCTTTTTTTTTTTGGGGGGGGAGGGGGTTTGGTGTGGTGGGGGTTGGGCAGGGGGGTGATTGGGGGGGCGGGGGGGGTGTGTGTGCGTGTGATGGGGGACGAAGTTTGGACTTCTTTGTTGTTTTTATTTTGCTGCCCGGTTTCCGTCACCGGTTTCCGTCGTTACCCCCATCCGCCTCGTCCCGTCCCGTCCTGTCCCGGGGTGGGGGGGCGAAGAGGGGACGAGGACGGGGGGACGTGTGGTTTTAAGAGGAATAGTTGTGTTCGGGGATTGGCTGGTGACGGCGGTGACCGACCGACGAGCCACGGCCTTGAACCTGATCGGCTGAGCCTCTTGCACAAGATTCCAGAATTGAAGTGGCCCCTCGGAGCCCAACATTTCTCTGCCTTGCCTCGTCCCGCAACACTTAAAAGCGCTCCCTGGGTGGGTTACTTTTATCAATTTTGTTCCGAAACCCAGTGTTAAGATCACCAGGCAAGGCAAAAGGGAAACCGGTTCCTTTCCTCATTTTCGTTCCGGTTCGCAGTCCGTACCAACCCCTCCGAGACGCTGCGCCCCGTACTGCAGGCCGCTATGGAAAATGCAAAATAAAATGCAAACGCGAGTTGTAGTTGTACGTCATATTTGCGCGTTGATTTCACCCGCACGTTAAAGTGTTCGCGGCTACAGCCATCAAATCGCGTAAACTGCGCAGCACTGTACTTTTTACTGTTTTCGAGAGCTCTTTACTTTGAACCGAATGTCATTCCACCTCGCTCGTGGAGGGAGCTAGTTTATCACATCGTGCCACTGGTTATGTCATTCTGCACGTTTTCAACAGGGAGGAAATGTTTGACGTTGGCTTTTTAGCCAAAACGGGCAGTTGCTTTGTGATGTCACTTATCATTGTGATCGTGCACCTGTGCAATTTGTTTTCAAATGTAATTTCCACGGATGTTTCTGAACATCATTGTGTTGTTACCAGCGAAAGGGAAGTCACAAGGAGCTGAAGTTGTGCTTCAATACATAAGCCTTATCAGGGGGAACCGACCAGTTTTGTCTGTTGCTGTTAAACTCGTTCTACGTGAAGGACTATACAATTATGATTAGTTGTAGGGAAAGTTTATTATTGTACAACATAGGAGGAAATCATTTATCTGTTCCATAATTTATTACATCATTTCAATAAATATTTCAGCCCCATTTTCCCTTACACTTTAATATCCTCACTTCGCAACAAAAACAGATACTTTTTAAAGAATTCAATTGATTTCACCTTTTTAGTGTTCAGGAGCATGTATTGCCCACTTTCAGCGCTTTGGGACGTCCTCCAGACGTGAAAGGCGCTCTATAAATGTAATTTTGGTGGGGGTGGTGTTCTTTCACAACCATTTATGTGAAGAAATTGTATTCAGTCTGCTGAGAGGAAGAAAAGTTAATGGGTCATATTTACATTTCTTACCGAATAGTCATCATAGAAAATATTCTCCCAATCAGGCACAAAACATTAGCATTTAGCACTCCCAAGTCTTGCAACGTCAGCATTCAGTGTTCTACAGTAAATGTTAGAGCAAGCGAAAAACAAACACTTCCAAAACGTATATAAAATATATACGTCTTTATAATTAGCTTTACGTTTTAGCGGAGTCCCGACGTGAAAGGCGCTATACAAATGTCATCTTGTTGTTGTTGAATCAACTGTTCAACATTTTTATATGATGTGTAATGCCATAATCCTTACATTTGATACAACACCTTTAAAATCAACATTTCAATGCTACACAGATCATTGCGTCAAGTGTATTGATAGTGTGTTTGTGGCACAATTTGTATGCACAGTGAGATCTCACAAATCGCCATATAAGTGAATATCCAATTTATCTGGAGGATTGCTGGCCAGGACCCTGGGAGACACAAGAGGGACATAAATTTCCCTGGATTTGCCTCCAAATTCTGCTGGTGAAGGAATACATAGATGTGATTCAAGCAGTACTAAAATATTGTTAATGTTGTACACAGGACAGACATGCAGTTGCTAATTCACAAATTTAAATAAAGTTTACATTTATAATGGGACTTTCACGTTGGCCCTCAACATCACTGGCTGTGCTCCCGAGTTGAGGGTGGGGAGGGGAAAGATGACCTTAAACACGGTCAAAATGGTACATCTGGAGATGAGATAAGCTAAAACATTTCTGAATAATTGATTTGTGATGCCTTTTTGTAGGTTTTAATAATGATTAGATCTTAGGCCGTTTTGATGGTGAATTTTGTATAATTTCTTTCTTATGTTAAACGTTTACAACCCAGTTCATTAATTGTGCATTTTTCTGTGTTAAATGGGGCAGATTCCGGAATTTGACAATCTTTATCTGGATATGAATGGAATTATCCATCAGTGTTCTCACCCAAATGATGAGGATGTGCACTTTCGAATCTCTGAGGAAAAGATATTTGCTGACATTTTCCACTATGTGGAAGTTCTGTTTCGCATCATTAAACCCAAAAAGACCTTTTTTATGGCAGTCGATGGTGTGGCTCCAAGAGCAAAAATGAATCAACAGCGTGGAAGGCGTTTTAGGTAAGAGCATTTTCTTTTCCCTTCCTCCCCATCTGACATACACAGCCAAACAGCAAAAAGAAACTTCACAGTAATAACTTGAAAAAGCATTGTCCAAATACAGTTAAACCATTGAGTGGTTGTGTCCATGCAGGATGCTATCCTGCTTTTGGGATTGCTGTAATGATGCATTCAATTAATTAAATGTTTTGTGCTTCGAATGGCTCTGCCTCTGGTAATTATAACAAATCGCTCCCATACTATAAACCCGACATTAGAATCCTTTCCAAAGGTGGTATCTGGGAGCCGGTTATCCAACAAACTTTAAAGGAGGGGATAAAATAACTTGCAAATAATTTAATAATAATCTTCATTGCATTTGATGTAGTGCTTATCATGCGGTTGAGACGTTTCAAAGCACTTCACAGAAGCCAGGATATTGGACGAGAAACTATGCTGTGGTATAAGACCTACACAGACCATTTGGAACCTAATGATCAAGAACAAGAGGCACCTTAACCACCCCCTTTCACTCAGAAGCCAATTAAATCCTTTGTGCGAGCGCTTGTGTTTGGGTACCTCAGCACAAACTGCCGATCATGTATTGTACCTTCCCTACATGGTTCAGATTTGCTGTTTTGTATTTTATAGGAATATTTATCTGATAAGCTATTAGGATCCCTCCACCCTCCGCCTTTACTCTCCTCCACTTTGTTGGAGATTTGTGGGTCATCCTGGCTGAGTTGGTAGCTCTCTCTCCTCTGAGTCAGAAGGTTGTGGGTTCAAGCCCACGTCAGGACTTCCTCACTGGGAACTCATACAGTGTAAGCTGATGCTCCAGTGTAGAGCTGGGAGTGCACTGCATATTTGGAGGTGCCATTTTCGGATGAGACGTTAAACCTAGGTCCTGTCTGTTCAGGTGAAAGTTTAAGATCTCATGGCAATATTTGAAAAGAGAAGTGAGTTACTCTCTCCCGGTGTCCTGGCCAATAATCCCCCCTCAAAAATTGGTCATTTGCTTCATGGCTGCTTGTGGGACATTGCTGGGCACAAATTGGTTGCCCTGTTGGCCCACAAGTGCTTTGAGATATCCTCCTGTTGGGGGTGGGGAGTTCCAAATGTAAGGATTATTTATTAATTTTAATGGGGAACTGGAAAAGTTAAGATCATCCTTTATGGCTGGTTCTTGTACTTTTATGCATGAACGTATGAATATTTTATTTCCTTGAGCTTTCTTGTGCTTTCTTGTTCAGTGACACATACCAGGGCCTGTTTCTAATCTTAGCTGCGTGTTTCTGAGATGTTCGTGTGTTCATTTGGAATTAAATGAATAATAATCCATGCATTTGATATAGGGCCTTATCACGTAGCTGTGATGTCTGAAAGCACTTCCCAGGATATACTGTAAAGTGGATTGACTGTATCTTTGGAGTGAAATTATCTTTGATTCTGTTCACGGTGTTAATTTATTTAAGTGCAGATCAGCAAAGGAAGCAGAAGAGAAAATTAAAAAGGCGTTGGAAAAAGGAGAAAAACTTCCTACAGAAGCAAGGTTTGATTCCAACTGCATTACTCCAGGTAACACTCAATTTATAACCACTTTTTTGCTTCAACTAAATAAAAAGTGCATTTATAAATAACTTCATTTTAGTCCTACAGTGGAGGTGGGGGTGGGGGACAGATAAACAGGAGCTCCGTGGAGCTGAGCTGACTCCAAAGTGACACACTTGGTAATGGAATGTCAGAATTGAGTAAACCCTCTGTAGTGGTCCCCTTAGTCTGGTTTCTGAGCCAGGTGGGTCTGCAGTACTCCAGGGCACGAGCAGCCAATCTAGCATTTCGACAGGGGAGATTAGATCAGTTACTGTGAGCAGGGATTCTTCCCACTCAACTACTGCTAACTCTGCAAGCCAAATCTCAAATGGGTAAGGAGTACTAGCTGGTCAAGTTTGCCAGCCATTACCGTTTTATATTCCCAATTCCATGTATTAATTTAGTCTCCCTTCATTGTTCTTCAAATCTCAATGTTACTGTAGTGTTCGCATCCAGCATAATTTATTTGGAAATGAATAAATCCCTAGTATGGCATAAATTGGAATAAGATAAAAGTATCCCTTTTTATCTCAGAGGAAATATGCCCTTTGAACATATTTACTTCTGATTTAAAATTCTGTTTTAGAGGACATCTTAAATGCTTGCAACACTTTGATTGTGAAAAGAGTGAGTTATAATCAGATATCATGCTCATATAATGAGCCATCACTTCCATTAATAAGTAGGAGTTATTATGATTTGTACAGACTTGTTTTACAAGATTTTGTTTTTTGCCCCATTACTCCTTTTAATCTTTAAATATTGAAAGAATTATTCAAACACTTTTTGAACACAAAGTCAAAGTCGATTTTACATACTACCCAGTGACAGTTCATCCATTGCCCAGTTTCTCCATTTTCCTGATGATGGAATTATTTTTGTTCTCGATTTCACACTCTTCCAAATTTTGAGTTTAAGTTAAAGCACAGGCACTTCATTCATATTTTAGATAGATGCCAAAAAGCACTTAAATATAGAAGTCAGCTTGATCTCAGACTTCATAAGTAGAACAGCTGTGGATGGGGCAATGGAAGAAAGCTCTTTCTGGTTAATAACTGGCAGGTAAATTGAACACCAAAGCTATTTTTCACCAGAAAATTCCAGCTACAGCCATGAATGCGTAATCTATAATAATAATAATCTTTGCATTTGATATAGCACCTGATCACGTTGTTGAGATGTCTCAAAGCACTTCACAGAATGTATTGTAAAGTTGATTGACTGTGTATTTTATGGGTGATCTGGAAGATTGTTGACCAGGACACACACAGAGAAACTCCACACAAGCAAATGGGACCTTAGTTTAACTTCTCATTTGAAGGACAACACAGCACCTGCAGCAATGCAGAGCTGTGAAATTTTGGATTGATAGCTTTGAAATAGTGGTGGTTCAGTGTTTCGTAATGGTCAGGTTTAGGCAGTTATTAAAATGTTTTTTAATAGTTAATAAGCAAGGATTAATTTTGAATTTCCTCTCTTGTCTATTCTGTTTCTTAGTAAGATCTAGAACCCAAACTGCTTCTGTTTCTTGCATATTCTGTTCCTTGTGAATTTTCAGGGACTGCGTTTATGGCCAGGCTGCAAGAACAGCTGAAATATTTTGTAAACACGAAGATTTCAACTGATAGGTCCTGGCAGGGTGTGGTTGTATACCTGTCCGGGCATGAGGTAACTATTCTAGACCTTTATTTCTCTGCCACCCCTGTGCAAATCTTCAATGAAGTGATTGGTGAAATATTCAACCCAAAGCTGGGGTCAGACCTTGTATCCACAAGGTACAAGGAAGGGCACTCATGCCATTGCCCACAGATCCTTAGTGACAATCAGGTGGCCTATTTGAGACATCAGTGGCTGAATCACTGTCACGGGACTTGACTCCTTCAGTAATTGAATGGTCATCAAAACTTGTCTTTGGTCCAAGCTTTGCCTGGCTGTAAACTCATTGCTGTGGGAGATTCAAGGAATGCCTGATTTAGGGGGGGGAAACATAGTCATCAAAAAGTACATTCCTTGTGAAATAATAATAAAGTAATATATAGGCTTAATTGTCTATGCAGTACAAACATTCACCAGCAGCTTACATTTATATAATGCAGTGCCGTTCATGTAAAAGAGACGTTTCAAAGTACTTTGGAGAAAGAGATTAATTAAAAATGGATTGAATGTTGTTATGGAAGAAAATTCAGCAGGTCCTAAAAACAACAATAGAGTAAAATAATCCTTGCATTTGGTATAGTGCCTTTCACTTGGAGGATGTCTGAAAGACCTTCACAGAATGTATTGTTCAGCCTAGTGACTGTTAGCAACAACTTTAAACAACAACCAGAGTACTTAAGTAGGCAAACACGGCATCTAATTTGGGCACAGTAGTGTCAGGCAAACAACTATAAAGCCAAGGCACAATTTTATTGTGGGAATGCCCTTCTGTTTTTGAATAGTGCCATGGGGTCTTTGATCTTCACCTGAACAGGCAGATGGGATCTTGGTTTAAAGTCTCATCTAAAGAACGACATCTCCAACAATACAGCAATGTATTGGAAAACTCCAATTTATTTTTAAATAGTGGATAATAGAGAGATAACTCCATGTTCCTTCATGTCCACCTGAATCACATGACAGATGTGCCAAAAATAAATTCTGATTTGAATTAAGTTCATACAGAAATGACAGCGAATGTTGAACGTGTAGCAATTCATTAGGATGCAAGCAACGAGTTATTCAGGTGCAAACAACCAGTTGTGTTTCGTAGCCAAACATTCTGCCCTCTGATAACTTAACCTGTAACAACAGTGTCATTTCTATGTTTGATTTCTCTAAATTGTGAGCTGCCAGGGTGTTTCAGTTCTGTACACAGTTGACAGCAAAATAATGAAGAAGGTTTGATTGTGTTTAGCTTGGGGCATTCAAGTGACATTTGCACAATGGCCAAGGAGAATGCAGTATAGAATTATATGTTTATCTGTGTTTGTATTATTCTGCTTCTCATTCCTATGTTCTGCGTTTTTTGAAAACTTGTAATGTTTAGACCCCAGGAGAGGGTGAACACAAAATCATGGAATTCATCAGAGCTGAAAAATTAAAACCTGATCATGATCCCAATACACGACACTGTCTGTATGGACTGGATGCTGATTTGGTATGTATTGCATATTGCCTAAGCACTGCCTCTGATCAGATTTTAAAACACGTTTTAAAACAGTTTCTATACTTCAGTTTTACACCTGATATTTGTCTTCAATTGTAGATTATACTTGGATTAACAAGCCATGAACCAAATTTTTCCCTTTTGAGGGAAGAAGTTCGATTTGGTGGCAAGAAATCTCAGAGGAGGTAGGAAGTTTTGATTAGTTTTCTATGGTTTGAGGTCTGTCTCTGCACATACTACTTCGACCATACTTTCGGACATCTTTCCTCTCCCTAGCCTCCTCCCTCCCATCACAGCTTGAGTGCCCAGCCAGTACTCTTAAGGTTTTAGGATGTCCTCCTGAAATGAAACGTGCTGAATGTGTAAATTTATATTATAGTGAAAGTCAATGCCCGCAATATTTTTATTCTCTCTTTGTAACTTTAATTTTTACAAGGATTCAGGTGTAAATCCTTGACCATCCAGCACCTTGGGAAGTCCTCCTGACGTGAAAGACGTTATTTAATTGAAATTTGTTTGTTATTTTTGATCTCTTTTCTCTTGGACGTTTATGCGTTGCACTTTCCTGGCAAATATGACTTTCCAGGTTGTCTCCATTGCTGCTTTAAAACCAGCCATTAAGAAGTATGGCCAGCATTCCATTTCATGTCCTGTCAGCATAAAATGCCAAGTTAAGATTGGCCATTTTGCTTGGTGGGATCCTGACTATAAATGTGTATCCCAACACTTGGTGACTCGGTAAACTGTAATATCTGTTTGCTGAACAAGCAACCTCTCTATTCTTGATGTTGTTTAGTAATTGATTTGAGTTAGGTTTCATGCATGAATATCTGATAATGATGGTTCCACCTTTCATAGGATTGCTGCAGTGGAAGAAACCACATTTCACTTGCTTCATCTGTCCCTAATGAGAGAGTACATTGACTATGAGTTTTCACCTATTCGGGTTAGTATTTGAATTGTACCTCTGCGACCTACTAACTCTTAACCAACCTTTCGCTCTCCACTCTGCGGGCCTGCTCCGTGTCTCCTTTCCTGCATGCCCCACCATTGGCGGTCAAACCTTCAGCTTTTCTGCCCCCACTCTGGCACTCCATCCCAAAGCCCTTTTTTGCCTCTCCACCTCCACCCTTGCCTCCTTCAACAACCATCTCAAGACATTCCTCTTTGACCGTACCTTCAGTATTCTTCCCACTGCCATCCTCCTTGGCCTCCACCCCTCATGATTCCAAACCCCCAGCTCGGGCGCAAACCCTTGACTGCCCAGCGCGTTTAAAAAAGGCTTTTTACTGAATTGTCATGTGAACCTGATTATTATGAAGTAAAGTTTAATTGTATAACTGTATAAAAGCCTTTGGCTACAAACCTCGCCACTGCACAGCACTCCAAGACCCCATCGTGCTATATAAATGCAAGTTATTGTTGTAGCAATTCGCCAGTGTTAAAAAGTGTCCGGCTTCTGGGTCATCCGCTTACACTGACATTACGTCCTGCACATTACCCACATTATGCACAGGAAGCACTTTCAACATCACTTTGCAATGGAAGGGCAGCGGCTCTTCTTTTAATCGTTTGATAAAGTGCCAAGCCACGTCAATCGTCTATTGGGCGTTCACAGAGGTTTCTGTAAAGTTACTCATTGTATTTATAAGTTAATGATGCAATTGTTGCACACGTGAACAGCACATAGAAAGTGACATCAGTGATGACTCATTCACCTGGAAATTGGCCCTTTTTTTGTGCTTTGTTTGTAAGCGAGTTATTGGTCTCAGAGGACTTCATTATAATGGAATTGCCCTGTAATTTAGAATTTACAAGATTGAATTGTACATTTCCTGACCCACTTTGATCAGATTCAAGTAAACTGTTTCTTCTTAATCCCCCATTAACAGGACAAAATTTGTTTTGAGTTTGACCTCGAAAGGATAATTGATGACTGGATATTGATGGGGTTTCTTGTCGGTAATGATTTTATTCCTCATCTACCTCATTTACACATCAATCATGATGCACTGCCTTTGCTGTACAAAACGTACATTGATGTCCTGCCAACCCTTGGAGGTAAGTGAATGAAACACAGTAGGCCATGCAGTAAATAATGTCCAGTTTATTCAAATGTGATTTCATACGCATGCACATAGCTCAGGTGTAGTGAAAAGTAATTTTCTTTTCATCAGGGTATATTAATGAAGGTGGAACATTAAACTTAGAGCACTTTGAGAAGTATCTTGTAAAATTATCAGAGGTAAGCATATTTTATTTCATTTATTTATTTGAAAGCTTTATTTTTTCTCTGGCCTTTGCCTATAGCCTTTCCATAACTGCTGGTAGTTCTTGGGGAGCACAGAAGGTTGATTGCCAATTATTGTATTTTGTTTACAAAATTAAAAATAAGTTTCTGTTTACAAAATTGTAACTTTATCCCCTCCCCTGCCTGATTTGGTACTTGTGTTTTGGGAAACAGTCCCAATTTTCTCTCCTGACCCCTCGCCTTTATCAGCAGTGAGTGACTCATTACAGAAATGCTGTCAACCCTCCAGTACTTCTTTCACAGTCTTGTGAGCTGCAAGGAGGGGATGGGGGACTTGAACTGAGATGAACTGCAACTCCCCTGTAGTTCACAGGAACGTGTGATTCACGTAATCGTTAATAAGAGCAGGAACCCTGAGTGATTGTTTGATTTTTCTTCCCCCCACCCCTTCCACCCCTTCCCCGTTGGTTAATAATAACATTATAATAATAATAATAATCCTTGCATTTGATATAGCGCTTTTCACGTCGGGAGGATGTCCCAAAGTGCTTCACAGAACACACTGTAAAGTGAATTGACTGTATATTTGTGGGCGAACGCGGCAGCCAATTGCGCACAGCAATGTCCCACAAACGGTCATAGATTGAAAATGACCAATTTATTATTGTTTTTTTTTTGGTTTTGGAGGGATTATTATTAGGCGTGTAGAGTAAGGAAACTTGCCCAAGCTTTCGCCCTGACTGGAATTGAATTCCGGTCTCTCGCTTGCAAAGCGAGTGCTCTAATCGCTGAGCTACAGGACTCCACAATAAATAACACACAACACACATATTTAGGGGGACAAGGATGGTGAAACCGTGTCATTGAGAAACTGAAAGTTGAGAAACCCAATTTTCAATGATGTTCTAGTGGGGCATGCAGCAGTGTAGAGAAAACACTCAATAATTCTGCCAGTGACACCGTATTCCGCTGTTGATGTCGATACTAGTGAGTTAAATCCTAACACGAGACTGTTTGATTGCAGTTTGATCGTGAACATTTCAGTGAAGTTTTCGTTGATCTAAAGTGGTTTGAAAGTAAAGTGGGGACGAAGTACCTCAATGAGGCAGCCGGCATTGCAGCAGAGGAAGCCAGAAAATGCAAGAAGAAAAACAAGGTTTGCCTTACTTTTTCCCCACTTTATATATCTACCTGCAAGAGAACACACTGCTTCTCCAAAGAGGTATACCTGAGAGAGACCAAAACCGGGTAATGCCTCATTTATTTTCAGGTCCCAGATGATTCATTATTTTTAGCTGCGTTAGATGAAAGTGACCACGATGTTGAAGCAGATAGTGTTCCCTCTACAAGCTGTAGCAATGAACTCAATCACAAAGGTAAGCCACATCGAAAACATTGCAAGCAACTTTCACTATTTGTATTTAGATATCGGATCTTTTTATTGAGTAATTATTGCTCAGCAAAATGTAGTTTTCCACAATTGGCCTACGTTTCCAAAAACAATGCATATCCACTCATTGTTATTTGATCTGTTTCAGCTATGATTTGAGACAGTGGTTTTCTTTTGGGACCTTGCTCTGCACAAAATGACTATTGTGTTTGCCTAATTGAAGCAAGCACTGCATTTAACAGAATTTACTTTGGATGAGATGTTAAACCAAGGGCCCATCTGCCTGTCTAGGTGGACTTTAAAGATCCCATGGCATTACTCAAAAAGAAAGGAAGTTTCTCCCAGTGCTCTGGCCAACAATCCCACAAATAAAAATGGTTCATTTACTTCTTGGTTAATTGTGGGACATTGCTGTGCGCCTATTGGCTGCTTCGTTTGCCAACAAACTGCATTTTATAGTATATTCTGTGAAGCGCTTTGGTTATATCCTGATGTGAAAGTCGCTGTAAAACATGTAAAGATGGTTGTTTTTAGGCCTTTGAGATGTTTTAATGTGAAAAGACTTTGTCAAGTTCTTTATTCCTTGAATCAACAAATCCTAATCATGATATATTGAAAAGTGTTCTGATTAAATATTATATTCTGTGCCAAGCCACAATGAGCCACCAGTACAGGACACTTCAAGAGCACGAGGCTGTTGTAGAGAAGAGTTTTATCCTGGAATCAATTTACAACAAGTTGGGTTAGTGCAGCTGTGTCAGTGTAGCAATGTAACTGGGTTCAGGTGAGTTACATAGCTGGGTTTCCCAATGTGCAGTGAATAATCCACATGCAGATTGTAATATATGAACCTGTTTTAGATGTGTCAGACATTGAAGTTGAAGATGAAGATGACTTGTTTGAGACGGAATTCAGACAATACAAGAGAGTTTATTACATGTCCAAGATGGGTGTTGAAGTTGTTTCTGAGTAAGTAACTTTGCCTCCAGTCTAAAACTGAACGTGATTTAATTATGTGTTTTTATAGGTCAGTGGGGTTTGAGATTGTTTCCAGATTTTGAATTTCCAGGGATACAAATCAGTTGGGCATCCAAGTAAACTCTTTAGCAAGTCAAGCTTTCCAGGGGGGAAGGGGGAGTGAAGGAAGAAAGGGGGGAAAAAGGGCACAGTAGGTTCAAGAAACTCACTTCGAGGACACTCCCTGTTGCTCTTGTAGTTGACTCTGCCAGGAAGTGTAGTTGACATATATGGGAAAGGCGGAGAGATGGCTAAATTCCTCCCAAGTGTATGGCGGAGGGGGAGGGGAGGGCATCAGATTGCAAATATCTGACTAGGTTTGAATGCGAGTCTCTGTGTCGTGTTGCTTGTCGGCCTGGCTCAGTTGGTAGCACTCTCACCTCTGAGATGCTGTCCTTCGGATTAAATGTTAAACTGAGGTCCTGACTGCCTGTTCAGGTGGACATAAAAGATGCAATTGCAACTGCTCAAGAAGAGAAGAGAGTTTCTCTGGTCGTCATGGCAACAGTGCCTCAGATAAAATTGATCATTCATTTCATAGCTGTTTGTGGGACAATGCTGTGTGCAATTTGCTGCTGCATTTGCCTACAAATACAGTCACTCGACTTCACAATCCTGTGAAGCGCTCTGAGACACCATCCCAACATGAAATGCAGGGATTATTATTATCCTATGTTGATACCTTTATTAGCATCTTGTTGGCAAGACATATGTCCTAGGTCAGCTATTTCTGACATTCTTGAGTGGGTGGACTCATGACCACTGCTAGACTTTAACTTTGAGCTTAGCCATAGAGGGAAATGATAAATTATAGGTTTAATCATTACAGTGTCATTTTCAAAGGGAAGGAATATTGCCTTCTAAATACATAGTGAGCGAGCCGTGTGTGCTATCGAATCATCATTCACAATGGCTTGACAATGATCTGTTTTCTTCCAACAGCGAATTCCTCGCTCAACAGGCAGAATGTTACGTTCAAGCAATACAGTGGATTTTGCATTACTACTACCATGGTGTGCAATCCTGGAGCTGGTAAGTTTTTGCATGGAGGCATCTGAATATTTTCTGTAAGCGCCTGAAGAGCTATAATCTCATCAGAAAAAATCTTGCGTAATTCTCCTTTGTTAGAACAGAGAGATTTGCCTTTGGAGCCGAGCAGTAAATTTTGTACCACCTGTTTCTAGCAGTATATCCTGAATCAACTATCTCTAGAGACAGATTGCAGTTACACACTTACAAAACTTTGCATATCCGAGGATGAATTAAGGTTAAGGCAAGTTTATGAAACCTGGGTTCATAATCTTATCCTTAATACTTTGGTATCATTCTGGACAAATCTGTGCTGTACCCTCTTCAGGGTAAACATAGATTTCCTGATAATAATAATAAACCTTATTTTTACTATCCAGCCTTAGGTAGTGAAAAATAAAATATTGATTGGAAGGCTCTCTATCCTCTTTATGGAGAGTTTTTTTTCTAAAAAAAAATCATTGAAGTCGTTTTTCCCACCAATTCTCATTGAAATTACAATCGGGCCATGTACTGATGTTAATTAGTAAGTGACTCATAAAGATGATCAGCAAGTTCATCACAGGCAGAAATTGCTGATCTAACCAACATATTAACTTACAGACAGCATACAGTTTTGTTGGATCATTGTATTGAAGTTTGTCATGGATGTGACCGAGGACCATGCTCTGTTTTATTGTTCAGGTATTACCCTTTTCATTACGCACCTTATTTGTCAGACATTCGGAATATCCGCAAGTTGAAGATCAAGTTTGACATTGGGAAACCCTTCAAGCCATTTGAGCAGCTCCTAGCTGTCCTTCCAGCAGCCAGCAAAGATCTTTTACCGAAATGCTATGAGGTAAATTATGGTCTATAAGGTAAAGATTGACAAGTTAAATGATATTTGCCTTTAATGTTGTTGGGACGTTATTAATAAAAAGGACCGAGACATCAGAGTTGCTGTGTAGAAAATGAATGTTTTTTTTTGAAAGTAAGATTTCCTTGGCACAGTGTATCTGCCAACATTCCTCCAGATGGTCACTCGCTTCATGGCTGTCTGTGGGACATTGCTGTGCACAAATTGGATGCTGTGCTTGCCCACAAAACTCAGTCACTGCACTTTACATTGTATCCTGTGAAGAGTTTTGGGTCGTCCTACTGATTATTATTACTGAATTGATAAATTGTGGGTGTCCTTGTCCTGGGAGTTCAAGCCACTAAGAACTGGGATGAGTTTCTTTCAATTTCATATTTATATGAGAGAAAAGAAAATGTTATTGCCCAAGTGTAAAATTAATCACGAAACGTGAGCTGGTACCAACACCTGCTTGGAGTGGCAAGATGTTGATACCAGCTCACTTTTCGTGGGTAATTTTACGTTTGGGCAGAAAAAAAATTCTAATATACAGGCCACTCGTCCAACTGAGCCACCAGCAGCTTTCCTAGACCAAGCAAAATGTTCAATCACTCTTGCGATGTGCTGGTTGCAGACACTTACAGAATTGTATAAGCAGAGGTCTGGAAGGAGAAAACCTGGATGGAAATGTAATAGAGAGACAAAAAGAGGCAATATTTACTGTCTTATGGTGAAGACCTCTCTCTGAATGTATGGGAGGATAGTGATGAAGCTATCTGAGTACTTGTTTTATTTGCTTTCTCCAGTATTTAATGACTGATGAAGAATCTCCAATCATTGAGTACTATCCTCCAGACTTCAGAACTGACCTGAATGGCAAGGCACAGGAGTGGGAAGCTGTTGTTCTCATACCATTTATTGATGAGGTGAGAACATTGAGTAACATCACTTTCTCTTTGAAAATTGATCTGTGAAACTAAGTTATTGGGATGAAACACTTTTGTTTATGATTGAAAAATATTTAAAATATTTGTTCATCCTATTACAAGTCCATAGAATTATCCACCATTTTCGATACAGCTTTAAAACAAATATACAGTCACTACACAGTATAGTAAATCATGTGAGCGCTTTGAGAGTGCTATCACATGGCTCCCATTTCTACCATGAGAATAGATATGGGAAATTGACTGTTCCCTTATGTTTTATAATGTAAATTCTAAACTCCTACGTCTAGATGTTGAATACATTTCAAAATAAATATTCAAGATGTCTTCTTGTCACATCATGTATCAGTTTCCTTCTGTAGTCCTTTATCCCTCCCTCCCTCCCTCTATCCATCCATAAAGTACTAAAATTAAATCTAATTCAATCTTTACAGAGACTGTTACTGGATGCCATGGAACTACGTAATAAGCATCTCTCAGAGGAGGAGAAACAAAGAAATAAGCATAGTGAATGCTTGATGTTTTGTTATGATAAAGAAATTGATTTCAACTATCCATCATTGTGGCCAGAAAAATTTCCTAATATAGAACGATGTCATGCAAGGTAATGGGTTTTGTGCTCAATAGGAAGTAGCACATTTTTCAATTAATTATCTGATTTCCATTTTGTGAATTTGCAACGACTAGAATTCATTATCCTGCTTTGATCTTTTATCAGGTATAAATTAATCCCTATGAATGAGTGGCATGTCGATCCCAGCCAGAGCATTATGAGTGTGGTTGATAAAGGTTCCTTGTACTTTTGTGGGTTTCCAACACTGAATCATATTAAGCATAAGGTAAGCACCTCTCATCTAACTCTTATTAAATTCTCAGCATGCCTGGCATTAGGAATGATTGAATCTGAAATGGTAATTTGTATTTTAAGTATTTTGCGCACACTGGAACAGGTTACAATAGGAAACCACTAGTTTGAAAGTGAATTCTTGGAAGTACAGAATAGAATAAAACAAATCGCCCCAAATGTTCAAACCTCTCATGACAATAAGAGTCTTTCTGAACCCTCACTGTACCCTTTCCATGGCCTTGATGTCTTTTCTACAAAGAGGCACCCAAGAATGCAAGCAGTATTAAAGCTGCAGCCTAATTAGCTAACGAGTCAAGCCTTGACCTGCTGATGGGAAAGACGTTCTATAAATATTTTTTTTGTTGTTTAAAGCTCTGACCCGATGTAATGAGATGGCAGATCAGGCCTGATGGGCCAAATGGTCTACTCTGCTTCCTATGTTTCTAATCTTCATTGTTTTAACCCTCCATAGTTCTTCCTCAAGAAGACTGGCGTTCAGGTATTTCAACAGCCAAGTCGTGGAGAGAACATGATATTGGAAATATTACCCCCCAAGCAAGAAGAGGAAGTATGTATCATCGGATCCAATACTCAAAACATTTTTAGTAAATCTGTGTTTCCATTGTGCAACAGATATTGCTTGTTTGGTGTATTGAATGATCGGAGCAGTTTTCTACTTAAAAAGCCAAGTGATGCAGTAATGTTTTTAAAGTTTAAGCACCCACATGCATTCTTTACTCTGAACTGTGTTTTGCAATACTGGGTTTGATTGAAATATTCACTTCTCAATGCTAAGTTTGTTTGTTTTTTGTCCTTGAAGCGATAGTTTTATTCTTACCTTCATTTTGGAACAACTGTGTAAGTATATTGATAAAATGGCCAGGAGGTTTCAAAAGAAGCTGAATCTTTGAAAGTAGTGATGGATCAAATGCAAGGATTATATTAATGCTGAATGTCTTATTTCCCCCAGAGTGTGGATGATATTGCTCAGCAGGTGCTGGCAAAGCCTGTTTTTGTGAATTGGCCACATCTCGAAGAAGCTCGGGTTGTGGCAGTGTCAGATGGTGAAACCAAGTAAGTGCTGAACAACATATTTGAGAAGGTTGGTAGTTGAAGGCTGGGAAGTGCATTAAGGGTGGATTTCTACTTGGGTTTAATGATCATATCTATCTAATCTTGAATCATAGACTCTTATAGCACAGAAGGAGGCCATATGGCCCATCGTGCCTGTGCCAGGTCTTTGAAAGAGCTATTCAATTAGTCCCACTTTCCCCACTTTTTCCCTATAGCCTTGCAAATGTTTTCTTTTCAAGTAGATATCCAATTCCCTTTTGAAAGTTGTTATTGAATCTGTTTCCATCACCCTTTCCGACAGTGCATTCCAGATCGTAACAACTCGCTGCATTAAAAAAAATTCTCTCCTCATCTCCCCTCTGGTTCTTTTGTGAATTATCTTAGATCTGTGTCATCTGGTTTCCAGTGTCTAAATTTGAAGTTTATAAATTTCCCACTTTGTTTGCTCAACCTCCTCCCTCCCTTAAAGTGTATGACATTGGAACAATTATTATTATATACTATTATTATAATGAGCTGATGCTGTTCCTTAGTGACTCCTATTCTTTACCAGGTGGAGTCCACTTTATTTTTAAAACAAGAGAGAAGAAAAACAGTAGCTTTGTGATTGAGCGCACACCTTGTACATATCTTGGTGGCTGTCTTGAGTGGTAGAGGTAGTGGATGGGAGTAGGTCATACTCTGATCATTACAACTGGTAATGCAATGTGACTTTATCAAGAAAAGATAGTCACAAATGGGATATCTAATAGATTTGTAATCTATTATAATAATAATAATCCTTACAGTTGATATAGTGTTTTTCACATCAGGAGGATGTACTGCAATATCCCACAAACAGCCATGATGTGAATGACAAATTTTTATCTGGGCGATTATTGGCCAGGACACAGCGAAAAACTCCCTTCTCTTTTCGAATAGTGCCGTGGGATCTTTAAGTCTTACAAGTGATAACAGTCCTGATTGTATGTATTGCGTACAGCCATGTCCTACAAACAGTTGTGGATTGAGTAACCAAATTATTATTTATTTTAAGGGATTATTACCCCCGGAAAGCGATCCGCCAATCGTCTAACAACTGGGTTCCTACTTACTGCTAGGTAAACAGAGGCGTGTGGAGTAAGGAAACTTACGTAAGGTTTCATCTTGCCCAAGAATCAAACCTGGGTCCTCTCGCTTGCGAGGCGAGTCCTCTTCGCACTATGCTACAGGAATCCACCATAATTGACCACATTATGTTAGTGTTCCATCATCAGCTCAAATGTAACCAAAAGTCTGGTTTAAATGTATTGTTAAATCAGAATATTTGAATATTATGTGCTGTGTGTAACACTGGTGTGATGTGTGAATTGGATGTGAATTGCTTTGTAATTTGCAACCATTGTGTTCTAATGGCGATGTCTAGATATTATTTGGATGAGCTCCCAGGAGTACAGAAGGTATACATGGGGAAAACACCACCACCTACTAAAGTGGCTTTCCTTAGAGACTCGGAGCAGACCATGTGGAACAGAGAAGCACAGAATATAAGTGAATCGTAAGTACTGACATGATGGTCTGATATTTCACTGGATTGTTTGATATTTCATTTATAAGTCCTATTCATATAACTAGTACTAATAATTCATATAACTAGTACCTAATAATGGTAAGCTTTAATATGGACAGAATTGGGCTTGGTTATGATTCTTCTCCAGTCCCCAACCCTAAGCTGATATGTTTAAACAGGAATATGTCATATGCAAATCATATATTTTCTGGCAACTGCATATTTTCATTCATTATTTTATGATTATAATAATCCTTGCATTTGATATTCTGCCTTATGTCTTTGAGACATCGCAAAACGCTTCACTGGATATACTGTAAAGTGATGTAACTGTGGGTATTTTGTGGCCAAACCTCCAACAATCTCATCTTCCAAGAATATAAGAGCAAATCTGATAAAGATGTTTAAAATATAAAACAGTACAGTTTGCTTTGGTGGAACAATATACTGGCGATGTGGCACCTATTTGGTCTGTCTGATGCTCTCATCTCTTGTAAACCAGCCATTTTCTTCTGTGTTTATTGAGGTGTCTAAAAGATCTTTACATTCATGCTTGGTATTTTTTCCCCCAATTTCTAGTTACTACAAAAGGAAAGGAATCACAATTAATGAAACGTCTGTGATTTTGTATGCACAACTCCTTACTGGCCGTCGATATGTATTTGGTCAAAATGGTGAAGTTACCTTGAACAAGGAATGGTCGAAGCAGAATTTACCTTATGCTTACCAGACCATTGTGAAGGTAAAGTGTAGAACAGAGTATGGCTATGAACCAAATAGCCAAGAGCATTTTATATGAGCTTCTATTTTCCTGCTGTAAGTCACTTTGTTAAAAATGTGTTCATTTTTCTCATTGTCATTTTGTGTCTACTTCTGCAACGTAAGATTCTGTGCATTTAATGTATTTAATACACATTCTTGTTTTCAATTTTACTTTTCAGAACATAAAAGCATTTGATTCCAGTTTCTCGCACTTTAGGACACTCGAAGAGCTGTTCCCATCCAGCATTAAGGTCTTCATGTTGGGAACTCCCTACTATGGCTGCATGGGAGAGGTTGGTTAATGCTTTCTAAAATTCTATAGGCTCTAGGCACCACTGTTTGAAATGTGACGCCAACTGAGCAATATAAATGGAAATTCTATTTTCCTTCATATTAGTTTTGTTACTTCAAAAACATCATTGGTTAACTGCATTGTTTTCAATGTTACCTGATTATATAAACATTGTTGAGAGCTGGTAAATTGTGTTTTCCCCCACCTCCATATCTTAATTTTTGCCACATCTCATCCTTCAGCTGAGGAAGCATATAGAGAGCATACTCCCATCCTGGAGTTCCTCCAACTCGTCCCCTTCCTCACCTGTTTCACTGTCCATCTCAAGACCTACATCTTTCACCGCACTTTCAGTCATCTTTCGCTTTCCCACAACCCCTCGGCTCCCACCCCAGCTTGGGTACCAAGCCTGGATTGTTAAGCACTTTGGGATACCTTCCTTTGTGAAAGGTGGAAAATGAATGTCAATTTGTATTATATTGTATTAACTTCAGTACCTTTACTAGGTTCAGGACTCTTCTGATGTTATCAAGGATGGTAGAATCCGTGTGGTGTTTAACGTTCCCTGTGAACCACAACTGGATGGAATCATACAAAACCAGCATGTAAGCAATGAATGCTAAGTTACAACTGTCCATACCGCACATTGTTTCAACCACAAATTAAAATTTAATGCTATATTCCTTTCCAGAAATATACCACAAAATATAATCCTGGATATGTCTTGGCCAACCACCTTGGAGTTAGCGGATACCTTGTGTCGAGGTTAACGGGGAGTTTGTTTATTGGCAGAGGATCAAAAAGAAAGTAAGTATTGGATATCCGACCACATTTATTATGCTCTTGCTATAATAATCATTTTTGGATTTGATACGGTGACTATAACTTTTAAATCTCTCAAGCACCTCACAAATAATTGCCATCAAGTGCACTGCCAGGTTATTTGTTGTCAAACACACAGCCGATTTTTACACAGCAATGTCCCACAAATAGCCATTAAAGTGGATTATATATGTTATATTTAATATATTTGAAAGATGTATGATATACTTGAAAGATTCTTGGCTGGGACACTGGGGAAAAAAATTCCTTAGTATTTTGAGAAGTGTCATGGGCGGATAATGGCAGTGAATTATACGATTACTAAAGCCCTTCATCAAAATGAACCAAGTACCTTGGAAGAGTCTCTCCAACCTTTCAAGTGTGAGGGGAGGAAAGGGATACAAATTCTCTGATTGCACATTTTAAAAAAAGATGAGTCCCAAAATTCCCAAGCAAGCTCTTGAAAACTGTCAAGAGATGAGGAGAAACACTGCAAATATTGGCACAGATTACCACAATACAGGTTTCTGTTATTCGGTGGGTGGATTGGTGAAGAATTCCTGTGCAATTAATTAACTGCTAATTAATTATGTTGAGTTGATAGGATTTGCATTGTATATGTAGCTCATATTAACTCTTTTTTGCCAGTCCGCTTGGAGAGCAAAAGGCAAACGTGGGGCTGAATTTGAAATTCAACAAGAAGAATGAAGAAGTTCCTGGCTACACAAAGAAAGTTGGCAATGAGTGGTTGTACTCTGCAGCAGTTGAACAGATACTATCTGAATATCTTGAAAGGTAAAAGACAATTATACTAATTAAACAACTTCTATGTGAAAAGGTGCTTTGGCTCTTTTGATACTTAGAATTTGCCATTTCCCAATGTAAACTCTTATTTGTTTTTTTTCCTTCTTGACTGTAGGACACAATGCCCTCATCATATTTCTATTATATATAGAATTTTATATTATAGATTTTTTGGGGGGCGGGGTCAGCCGGGTGTTTGATACATGAGGAAACCCATCAATGTGCTTGAGTATCCAAACTAGACTGAGAGGTCCACATATGTCGCATTTCCATGTGTTTGGAAAGGAATGTGCCCTTTTTCCCTGGAATGATACACACTGTTTACCTCATCCCAGATTAGGTGTATTAGGTGCAGGGTGTTGGCAAGAGCCAAGTCTTGGAGATCCCAGGGACTCCCAGGGGTACTGCTGGAGTTTAACCAGCCAAAGTCATAATGCTTACCACTGCCTTGCAAGCTTCCTGCTGTTTATTTAGCTAGGTGAATCCTGCTCATTAAGGCTTTGGCTTGCAGGGTTAACAGGGCCAGAGGGAAAGAATCCCTACTCCCAATGACCATTCTGCTCCTGCCCTCCCAAGTCCTGCTAAAGTGACTGGCATCATCAGCAGTGAGTGTCTTGAAGTACTGGCTCATGAACTGAACTATCAAGACCTCCACAGAAGATTGCTAGGCATGTCACCTTGGAGGCAACTTGGCTCCAAGAAGACTCCACTTACCTTTTCATCCGCGCTCCCCTCCCCTGGGTGATAGTTATCTGCCTATTATAGATACATTTGACTTGTTAATTTATTATATTTTAAATGTCAATTAGCATCATTTTTACAACAATTGGATTTTCTTCACATTTTTCACTCTACCAGTATGAAAATAAAACTGTAGTCCAGTGTTTCAAAATGAACCAATCAGTTTTAAATCTGGAGTCATCATTTAAGAGGAAGTCACACTATAGACAAAAAGCAGTGTTAGTGTGGTAACCTTTATAAATATATTAAAGAAACGGGGTTTCTGTACATGACTCTTTGATTATTACATTATTCAATGTTTTGTTTCCTCTGCATTTTATGCATGCAATGTAGTATTGCTGATCTGGCATTATATTTGTCAATTTTATCTGGTTCTTCCACTTGAAAATATATTGTTAATTGGGATGGGAGTGAGTTGTTTAACATCTTAATTATTATAATACTGATGTTTCTATTTGATGTAGTGCTTTATCATGTGAAGAATGTCTCAAAAAGTTTCAGAGTTTTCTGTAAAGTGTATTGTGAGCAAAGTAAGCAGTGCAAAGATGATCCTTGGTCCAAATCATTGTAATGTTTACAAGTGATAGACTAGTCTCTATGGACTGCTAAGAGTCTAATGGGGGAAGTCATGTGAGATTTCCCCTTTTAAAAATATTTGTGGTTTGTAATATGCTATTTCCCCCACTTAATCTGCAACAATACACAAGAAACTGTGGTTTCCATTTCATCTAACTGGTAGCATTGAGCTTACAACACAACTGATGTGATGCTTGCAAACCAAATAATAATAAATATAATCCTTTCATTTGATATAGCTGCTTTCCACATTTTTGAAAAGTCTCAAAGCGCTTCATGGAATATATTGAAGTGAATTGACTGTGTATTTTGTGAGTGAAGCTAACTAATAGATTGTATGATCTATTAATTAGTTTCACCTGTTTGTAGAGCCTGTTTGCAAAACTATTTATCCCATTGAATAAAGTAATTAGAAAAAAGTCATTCAAAGCTTGTGGCATTCCTCGAGCGATTAATGATAATGGCTGCAATTGATTTCTGGGTTGCTTAACTCTGGATTTTAAAAAAAACTGCATGTCTATACTTGCGCTCTCTTTTTATTCTGTTTTCCCCCCATTTTGCTTAAGAAATTAATTCGTCATTTTCTTGCGTCCCTAGATGGCTCTTGCCTAAATTGTAAATTCAGTATGTTGTGAACCTAAGACATCAATCAGCATGCCGTCCCACCAGTGCATTACATGTATATGATGTGGGCACTTTACTCGATTGCCACTTTTGAGACGGTTTTGTGGTTTCTTTCCTCGAATTAATCTTTTTTTGCCCCATGGTTTTAACCGCTTCTCAAGTGACTTCATATTTTAAGGAGCAAACTACGAAAATCATTCAATACAGTGCATAAACTCCAGGTTGTTTTTCTTTTCAGATTCCCAGAACTATTCATTCACGTTGCTAAAAATAGCCAGGAGGATGTGTTTTATGAGGATAACATATGGGCTGGAGAGGACGAGAATGGGTGAGGTTTTTTTGACACGATTGATACCGTATTGTATTGTACTTTCTTTTTTGCCAAGAATCAAGTTAATAGTTTTCCTTTCTGCATTTATCAGATTAATCTTTCACCATTTCAAACCCGGCTATTGTTTGGGTAGTTCTTAAATGAGTGTTTGCAAGATATTTTTAAACATAATTGCACTTGAATTTGGAACAGGGCTGAAAAGGTGCAAGAGATTGTTGCCTGGTTGAAAATGCATCCGGTCAGTAGCTTATCCAGAACATCATGCGACCTAAATGTACTGGATTCAGCAATTGTTGAAAAGATTGAAGACGAAGTGGAAAATTGCAAGGTATTTCCTAGTATAAAGCCTAAATGCGTAAAACTTTCCCACGCGCACTTTAAATCACTTTATTCCCTCTCTCCTCCAAACACAGGGCTGTATGCAGATCTGGAACATTAACAACTTGCATAAAGTACAGGGTGTCCACAAAGTCCCGTTATTGCCATGTTTTTTCCCTCTATCATGCACTGATCAACAACTGAAACATGTGGAAGAATGATGATAATTGTATTTAGAAGTACTTCATTGTATTCAGTACAAGTGTTTAACTGTATTTAGACGCCCAGAGAATTGGTGTGAGCGAGCACCATCATTTTTACGGCTGATAATAATCTGTCACCATGTTCTATGCGACATCTTCCGTAACACAAGGATGGAGTGACGAGGTGAAATGCATCTCTGACAGCTTGTTTCAGCTCGTATGTACTCTCGTATTGCTGTTTTGTAATGGGGATTGGGGTAAGAGGATTTTATGGACACCCTGTAGAGTGAATTCTCAACACATTTCATTAACAGTAAGCAATAAGGAATACAGGCAGAGAACCATAGCGTTTTAAAATATGCCTGGATATACAGATGTGAATGAATTGATAGAGCACTCCACTAAAAGGAAAGCTTGCCCTTGTGAATTCACATATCAAGAGTTGCAAACTCTCTTGGAAGTTTCCGCAAAAAGATGATGGTGGGTCCTGCAAAGTACAGGTTCTGAAATAATTTGTGTTGTGCTTTTTTTTTAGCAGAGGAAAAGTAACAAGAAAGTGAGGGTGACTGTGAAGCCACATCTTTTATACAGAGTAAGTGAATTTTTTATCTAATTGGTTTTCCTATTAATATATCAGAATATCCACAGTGTTCATAGTTACAATAACCAGACACCCGGAAAGTTGTTATTGATTTCCAGCTCATTTACATTGCTGCAATATCCCTGGGGTAATGGCAGCTATAAGCCCTGGTTTGTAGAAAATCACCAGGATAAATCTCAGATCAAATCCGTGTTACTTACATGTATGTCATTGCGAATGACATGTTTAGCTGGCATGCCTGGAGGTCAGTATAAAATAAGATGTGGGTATCAAGCTCCTTGTCGCAGTCAATTTACCTTTAGACTTATGCCAGATCCATGCACATCACATTGAATAGAGGTGGCATGAGTCGTTCCAGAACAGAACACTCGATGCACTGGGTTCCAGAACAAGGTGGATTTGTTTTTTTCTAAGTTTTTATTTCTCTACACAGCCACTGGAGCAACAACAAGGGGTGATCCCAGACCAGTTGGCAGAGTATCATTTATTTGACCGTGTTGTGAATGTGAGGGAGAACTTCTCTGTTCCTGTGGGTCTTCGAGGAACCATTATAGGAATGAAAACAGGTGATGTGTGAAAAGTTGCATTTTTTTAAACTCTTTTTAAAAAAAGAGTGCGCTAACTGCTACGGAGTTCTGTTTTAAATTTTTTCCATCTTCTTATTTCTACCCAATTGTTTAACCCACAGGTGAAATTTGCAATCACTATAAGGATTAACAAAATGATTTCATGAGTTTTTTTTGTTATTTGTTCAGGCTTCTCATAAAAGCATTTGCAGTAATACATTTAATATTATCCGGGCGAGGGGGAAAATTGGGATACTGTCCCTAATACAATCAACAATTTAGTAGTTTACAGTGAATCCACAGGAAACCATGCTTACTTACTATTTGATCTTTATTTTGTGCTCTAGCTGAGAGAGAATCTGATATCTTGTATGAAGTTCTGTTTGATGAAGAATTCCTAGGAGGACTTGCTATGAGGTTTGTGAATATTAACAAGGCTGCTGCTACACTCTAGGCCAAATATTTGAATTAGTTACGTAACTGGACTTTATTCTTTGTATCCTTTCTGTGTTTTTCGTCAAATGAATCCAATTCCCAGCACATAGCAAATATGTGCTTTCAATTAGTTCTTATTACCTTGTAATCCATGTGTTTTGTAGATTGATAGATAGTAGTTTGTGGGTACCCAGGTGTTGGTGTTCGAACCTCTCTTGTTCTCTATTATAATTAATCATCTGGAACTGTAAATAGAGGGAATAAACTCCAAATGTGCAGATAATACTAAAGTTCAAGCTACTAAGTTCGACCATAAACCTCACAGTCAACAAATACAACAAAAAATTGCATTTGTATCGTCATTCCATTTTACAGTCTCCTGCGAAGGCTTTGAGATATCCTCCTGACATGAAAGAATGCTTGCCAAATGCAAAGATTATTATTATTAATAATAAATTAGGTGGTGTTAACTGACAATGGCTGGCTCCAGGCAGATATTGATATGTTAAGAGAGTGGGCAGATTTATGCAAAATGGGATTCGATGCAAAAAAAAAAGTGAAGTAGTACATTTGGGAAGAAAAATAGCAAATGGAAAGACGCCCTGTATAGTAAAATTCTCATTGGAGTGAAGGCGCTGGGGTAGCCAGAGACACAAATGTATAGATTGCTAAAAGTGAGATTACAATAGAAAAAGCTGTAAAAGGATAACAGTCCTGTAGCTCAGTGGTTAGAGCACTCGCCTTGCAAGCAAGACACCTGGTTCAATTCCAGGCAGGGCGAAACCTTGGGCAAGTTTCCTTACTCCACACTCCTAATAATAATCCCTCCAAAACAAATCAATAATAATTGGTCATTTTCAATCCACGACTGTTTGTGGTACACTGCTGTGCGCAATTGGCTGCCGCGTTTCACCCACAAATATACAGTCAATTCACTTTACAGTATATTCTGTGAAGCGCTTTGAGACGTCTAGAATACGTGAAAAGCGCTATATCAAATGCAAGGATTGTTATTATTATAACCGGGATTCTGGGTTGTCGACACTGAATTCTAAAGTAAGGCAGTGTAAAGGAACTGCATTGTTTTTNCTATTTCATAATCTCTTCACTTCTAATTAATTTTGTAAAGCACTTAGACATTTGATTCTCCCTGAAACGTGCTCTGTAATGCAAGTTATTCTTTTCACTGGATATTTCCACACTAGTTACCCAAAGCATTGTTCAGGATCAAAATAAAGGCAATATGACAAATACAGGCTTAATTTCTGCTTTAAACAAAAACGCGTCCTTATGTTTGCCATCCACTCCAATTAGTTGGAATTATATAGAATATACAGCACAGAAACAGGCCATTCTGCCCAATTGGTTTATGCTCCACATGAGCTCCTCCTTCCTTTCTCCCTCATGTACCACATTCCCACCACCTTCTGGGTAAAGACGTTTCTTCTAGGAAGTCTCCCTATTTAATTTGTTGGTGACTACTATACATTTATGGCCCTTGGTTTTGGTCTCCCCCGCAAGTGGAACCATCTTCTCTATGTCTACCTTATCAAAACCTTTCATAATTTTAAAGGCCTTTATTAGGTCACCCTTCTTGTTTCAAGAGAAAAGAGTCCAAGCTTGTTCAGCCTTTCCTGATAGGTTTAACATTGCAGTTCCAGTATAATCCAATCTTATGACTATAAATTTAGCAACACAGTGCTAAAAAGAAACTTGCAAGGCGTCTCTAATTATTACTAAGGAACTTGGATTCAGGGTTCTACTAGCATCATCATCAAACCTTGTTGCATTTGTCTGTAGATGCTCTCCTGGTCGGGGTTATAGACTCCCCAAGTGTGCCTTAATCAACATAAGTCATGGCAGCCGCCTGGAGTTTGGAGGCCAGAGACCACCACCGTTATTAAAACCACAGCCAGCGCCCGGATTTCAACACGCTTCGCACCCTTCCTCTCAGTTGGCCACTCAGAAAGTGTCAACAGGAGGCCTGAACCACTCGCCTCGCTCTCCATTCGTCCTCACACAGGTAGCACCTTTAACAAAATATAATTATGACTGATAAATCAAGAAATATTCAATCGATTTTAAAAACAAACTGAAACCCTATTACTGATCAAACATAGATTTACCTAGACTCGTGTGAATGTAATTCGTTGTTGGTATTGATCGACATTAAAATTAAAATAGTAGCGTTAATTCCAAATGAAGAATGAATTAGTGGATTGTTGCAGGACATTGTTTTTGAGGAGTGGTGATTTTTAAAAAAATACAATTGATTATTTGATGTAACTTACAATTCAGCAGTTGAATGGAAAGCAACAGTACCTCAGGTCAGAATATCAGGGAAATCAAATCAACCATCAGAAAGCTAATGGTGCAAATGGTTTGAATCGAAGTCATGAGCAGAAGTGCAGAGGAGGATCAGCCAAACTGGTAAGTGATCTATCCTTGAACAGGATGAGGTACAATTTGTGTATTTAATATGAAATAAACATGCGAATATGATCATCAAATGTTCATGATTATTTTAATCTTAAACTACGTTTTGTGCTGAAATGTCATTCTGAGTTTCACCACACAAGTTCTCTCCCCCATAACTTAAATGGAAAATCTCCTTCATTTTCTCCATCACTTTTATTCATAACAAAGTCATTCAGCGCTTATAACTTATATAGTAAGATATATTCACATTTTCAGTAGACTTATGTATTCAAGTAGACCTGATTTCTGAATGTTTTCTCTTATGACACCCCTCCTTTCTTGAACTGAAATAATTTTATTGAACTATCATGGCCAGGTTAAGCCTGATGATGAGTTTTCCAGTGTGTGGCAGTCACTACAGAGCGTTCCTGCAAATCCTCAACAGAGCAACTCTCGTGCTGCAGATTTCACATACAAACCCCCTGCAGGCCAGCAAGACAAAGTAAGTACCATTCTCTCATTAGGTTCACACTAACATGGTTTAATACAATGCTTGGTACTAAAACTGCAACAAGGTTTACGTTGTCTGGCTTAGTTGATAGCCCTCACGCCTCTGAGTCAAAAGGCCGTGGGCTCAAGCCCCACTTCAAGAATTGGAATCCATGTAGTCTAAGCTGACTCTCCCAATGCAGTGCTGGGGGTGTGCTGATTTGTCAGAGTTGCTATCCTTCGGATGCGATGTTAAGCCGAGGTCCTGTCTGCCTGTTCAGGTGGAAGTTAAAGGTCCTGCGGCACTATTTGAAAAGAGAAGGGAGTTTTTCCTAATGTCCTGGCCAACAATCCACCAAATAAAATAAAATTGGTCACTTACTCCATGATTGACATCACTGAGCAAAATGGCTGCCGCACTTCGTCCACGAAATACACACAATCACTGCACTTTACAGTATATCCCATGAAGCGTTGGATGTCTTTCAGACATGAAAGTCTCTATATCAAATATGAGGATTATTAACATCTGTCAATTTGGGCTAAAACACTTCCATTAGGTTAGATAATCAGATTGTTCCGAAGGACTGGAAAATCCCAGACATTACAGCTCCAAGTATTGGGCTGACTGCAAACATCCCACCGGGACATAACTTTTATCCCCAAGTTTCAAAGCAATGGAAGCTTCCATTAAATGGAAAAGCTATCCTTGCATTTAATATGGCATTTTTCACATCAGGAGGATGTCTCAGGGGACTTTACAGGATTTGATGCATTTTGTAGGTGAATGAAGCAGTCATTTTGCGCACAGCAGCATAACCTGTGCACCAGAATTTCTAAACGATTTCAAGGGAGCCATGTGTCCCTTTCATTCTCTGCTTTCCAGGTTATGTCTCCTCAAAGGACTAACAAGTCCTTTGGTCTACCTCAGCACGACAGGTCTGGATCAGCATCTGGCCATCAGTCGCAAAAGGCCAATTCCACTGAAAATAAAGTGCAACCTTTCAAGACAACGGGGCAACCAAAACAAAGATGGGTTCCAGCAGAGCAGCCAGCATATAACCGAACAGGTAACTCTTAGAAATGTTTTGGTTTCTGCCATGACGAAGAAGACTAAAAATAAGGCTTGTGATTAAATATTTAATAGACAACAGTTTTGCTTGTGTATGCTGTAGAGAATGGTAGACAATACCATTAAAGATCCAAAAATATAGTGACCAGTCACTAATCCATTTCAATTTTCAATGGAATTGTCTAAAATCTACCAATCCACTTCTTACACAAACAGAACAGGTGATGATCTACGTGCTTCATCAAGCAATGCTTGTCTGACCACTCAGGCTTTAATATCATAGCATTCATTGGAACGCACCAGGTCCTGCTTACAGATTGCCAGAATCGTCTGCACGTGATTTCCACTTCTAAAAATCAAACCTTTTAATCTGTTTCTAGCAAAGGACAACTGTGAAAGCTTGAAGGGAAAAAGTTGGGGACCTGACCACTCTGGGCAGCCACAGCAATCTGACTTCAAAACACAGAATAAGCAGGTACTTCATTTTCATAGGAAACGTGGAGCCAACTCTGGCTGCTGAGTATTTGGATTTCCAGGGTTTAATAGGTCGCAAGACAAGACCTCAATGTTACACAAACCATACTACTCAGGGTAGTGAGCTTTTATCCCCACAAGTAAAACATAATTTTATAATTGTGAAAACGGGGTACTCTGTACAAAGAGTACTTGCATTACACTTTCCTTCTCCTTTAAGATGCTGTACAAATACATACTGTATATTGCATAACATTGAGGTGGAGTCTATTGTGGCAAAATGGACATTGTCCTTCCTTTTACAGCTGCCCTTTCATCCTCCATAACTAATGGAATTCATCTGAACAGAAAGTATCCACTTGAGACTTTACTTGGTATTTAAATTAATTGGCCACAACTCTGGAAATTGCAGTACATTATTGGCAGAATGATATTCCACACTCCCCATAGAGGGTGTTAGAATGATATAGTCTTCAAAATGTTATCTCAGGGCACACATTGCTCACCTCGAAAGTTACAATTTATCACTAGTGTTTTGATTAGAGATTGCTCTCCTTATTTTATCTAACAAACAGTATTAGTGGAGTAACTTCATATGTAACCAATAACTTTCGATTTCCACTCCGAGTATTAATAAATCTATTCCTGCTGTGACAGAATGTGCTCTTAAATATAATCCTTGCATTTGATATGGCGCTTCACAGAATATACTGTAAAGTGAATTGACTATATTTTTGTGGGCAAAATGCGCACAGCAGTGTCCCACAAACAGTCGTGGATTGAGTGACCAATTTATTATTATTTTTAAAAAATGTTTTAAAGGAATTATTATCCCCAGAAAAGCGATCCGCCAATTGACTAACAACCAAGTTCCTACTTACTGCTAGGTAAACGAAGGCGTGTGGAGTAAGGAAACTTGCCCAGCGTTTCACCCTGCTGGGTAACGAACCCAGGTCTCGCGAGGCGAGTTCTCTAACCACTAAGCTACAGGACTTCTCAATTGCTCATTTGGACATTTCTTTCTGTGGTGTGCTATTTAATTGGCTGTCGCATTTTGGCCACAAAATATACAGTGAATTCACTTTACAGTACTTTCTGTGAAGCGCTTTGAGACGTCTCGAAGATGATAAGGTGGCTATATTAAATGCAAGGATTATTATAATTATTAATGGATTAGCACAAAGGAGATGACAAAAACCTCTGGTAAAATGTTGTAGGAATACGGGAGCCAGGGCAAAGCAAACCTGAAGATTCTCAAGAGGAATGAGGAGGGACCGAATCCAGCAATGGTAAAATTGATAGGGCTCTGCACCGGTTGGAGAGGTGTGTTTCCTCCACAATTGTAAGCAGCTCCCCCTTCATGTGAGGGAAAAGGAAAAGGGATGTTCATTACATAGTTTTTTTTCTTGTTTCTCCTGGTGTCCTGAGGGTTAGGGTCATTCACTTCAATGCTGTTTGTGGAACATGGCTGTGCACATCCTGGCTGTTGCGATAGTCTACAAAATACAGTCACTACACTTTCTAGTAAATCTGTGGAGTCCCAAAGCATTGTGTTTCACACCTTCGCGTGGCTAGCGAAAGGTCCCAGGTATGATTTGCGGGGGGATGGGGGGGGTTTGCGAAGTCTTAGGCAAGTTTCTTACTCTACACACCTCTGTGTCAAGCAGTAAGTAGGAACCCGGTTGGCGGATTGCTTTCAGGGGGAGAATAATTCGTCCAAAAAAACATGGTCACTCAGTCTCCACTCTGCACTGCTGTGAGCAACTGGCAGATGTGTTTCACCCACAAAATACATGGTCAATCCACTTTGCAATGTGAACTGGGAAACTTTTTGAGACATCTCAATGACGCAATAAGGCACTCTATCAAATGCAAGTATTATTATCCTGTGAAACATTTTGAGACATCCTCCTTATGTAAAAGGTGCTACAACAAATGAAAGATTTATTATTTTACTCTTCACCTTTTGAACACCTATAATGAATTGTTTACCCAATTTTGCTGGGCAGTAAAAGATTTACTTTCTTTTTCATCCGTTCTGCTCTGGTATTTTGCAACCACCTGTGTATTGATTTGAATTTTCGATACAATATGTTCCGCAGGGACCATCAGAATTTGAGGAACTCTTCTCCTCATTAAAAATGCCAAGTGGACAGTCGGGAAAAGAGACGCAAGGCTCTCAGCAAAAAGACAGCCAGGGAATTACCGGAGAGCCGCTGTCTCCACAGTCCTTTGCCATGGTATGAGTCTAGTATTGCAGAGATAAATATTTTGTTTTTAATGCCAAGAAATGATGAAGCAACACAAAAAAACCAACAGTGAAAGTGTATCTACGAAGAGGATGTTTGTTTGTTGGATGTCACTGAATGGGCTCGGGAGCTGTTTGCCTCTGCAAAAATCGCTCCGATCCAAAACCCTACCCAACCCATGAAGGGTGTTATATAAATGCAAGTTGTTGTTGTGTGGTGCAAAAGTCACGACACAACAAAGTAACTTGTCTAAAAGTTTGGGTTAAGCTTCTGTGAATTCTGATGTTTGCTTCATCGTGTGCCGTCACTGATGGTTTATTTTGATTGACTGACGGAGAAGCCTTTCGATGTGTGAAAATTATCTAGAAAAAACACAGCAGCTGGGTCAATACCGGTTGAGGCTGAAATTTGTACGCCGGGCTTCTGAATCCGGTTTGTCACTGCTCCTTCCTGATCTTAAGGTCGGGCCGAAAGACCTTCCTCATCGACCGTGCCTACAGTCACCTCCAGCCAGCTCGGCTTTGTGCTTCGCCCCTGTCAAGAGCTCTGGGACACTACCCTGCGTGAGGGTAACTGAATGACCATAAAAAAATTGGTGCGACATCTTGGGTAAGTTAGATTAACCAAGTTTTTTTTAAAACTTAACAGAAAGGAACACAGATGCTGAAGGAGATTTTGAAGATAGATGGCGCCAGTTCATTCCCAGAGAAAGAAGGCAACACGTCTTCCACTGTTCAGCAAAGTGATTCTCTGCCTTCCCCCGCTCCTCACCGAGGATATTCATCCCACCAGCGTTCAGTTAAAAAGCTCGGTATGTATCGAAGCTTACTCATGAACACCAGTTTAATTGAGCGCCACAGCAAGACTAAAAGCTTTGTACTCAGTGAATGAACCTGAACTTAAAACCCTGTATGGGGCTGACTTCACTCTTGTCATGTTTACTTGTCTCTCTGATATCATTCGTCGAAGAGATTCCATAACATGGATGCAGTGACGAGGAAGCTGCTGATATCAGACATTCTTACACTCGATTCATCTGCAACAGAAAATAAAAAATTTAATGTAAGAAAAACACAGTGGGGTGTAACAGGACTTTGCGAACACCCTGTAGAGCCTGAAGATCCAAATGTGTTGCCTTCCCTGATCTTGACTGAGTTAACTCGGGAATGGATGTTTCAATTGAATGTTTCTTATTATCTTTGCCTAGCTGCCCAAATGAACAAACCTCAGGGTCCACAAGGTGGAGAAACCACAGGGCAGTATCGGGGACAACAACAGCCATCTCTATCTACCCCCGCCTCTGAGTTACTTCTCGTGTGTGCCAGGTTTGGTCTTCCACATCCAGAGGTCTCTTTCATCAAGACCCCGCAGGTTGGAGGATATTTAGGTTGTTGTAGAGTACATTGCTTACTGATTAACCAGATGCTGTGGAATTCTCAGTCTTAATGTCTCACTGCTCCAAAAGCAAGCAACCATTTCCTGGTAACAGGCACAATTTACTCCGGTGCCTTCTCAGTGAATTTATATATATATATTATAATCATTTGATATAGCATCTTATCCCGTTGTTGAGATGTTTCAAAGTGCTTTTTTTTGAATATATTTTAAAGTGAACTGATTGTATTTTGTGGGTGAAAATTTATCGAGTAATAATAATAATCCTTGCATTTGATATAGCGCTTTTCATGTCTTCTAGACGTCTCAAAGCGCTTTACAGAATATACTATAAAATGAATTGACCGTATATTTGTGGACGAAACGCGGCAGCCAATTGCACACAGCAGTGTCCCACAAACAGTCATACCCAAGGTTTCGCCCTGCCTGGAATTGAACCCACTTGCATGCAAGGCGAGTGCTCCAACCACTGAGGTACAGGACTCAATGAGTAAGTCACTAAGACTCTCAGGTGTGTGGATTCAGGGTAGAATCTGGCTTGATTGCTGGTTGAATAGTTTGACAACACTAACTGCCTAGATAAGGCATTGGAATCATGATTTACTGTGGAGCACAATGTCCTTAGCTTTGTATGAACTCAATGAAAGTTGTCAAGATTCCAGATTTCTCTTTCCAGTGGACGCAAAATTTGATTGCTTCAGAAGACAAAGGGAGCATAGTCTCAGGATTGTCAACGGAAAAACTAGAGGAGAGGTTAGGAGAAACTTGTTCACTCAGAGAGAGGGTTGTTAGTGTTTGGAATTCGTTACCGCAAGTGGCTGTTGAGGGTGGATAAATAGAATTGTTCAGAAGGGAACTGAATAAGCATCTGAGCAGTAAAATTATTAGGGCATATAGGAAACAACAATGAGGTGAGATTTTTTTTTAAAAAATCGCAATTTAGAGAATCAGGTAGCATTGGTACAGACATGATGGGTTGATCATCTGTTTTCCGAGGAGAAAAAATATTGTTTTGATCCCAATCTAACTTTATCAGGATCCTTTAACAAGGCTTAGCATAGATTTACATTGAGAACAATGCTGCCTTATTCTAGCAGGCAAGGAATGTTTATGATTTAAATTATGCAGTATATCGCATTAGACATTTGTCAGTGAAAATTCTTATACTTCTAAATAAGTATCTGGGTGTTCGCCCACCAAACACACAGTCGCTGCACTTTACAGTATCATTAAGCACTTTGAGACGTCCTCCTGAAATGAAAGAAACTATAGCAATGTAAGGATTATTTTTATTCTATAACCAATGTTTTGAAATTTTAAAGGAGTTCATGGATATGAGTGATCCATTCAGAGAAGGGAGTTTCTCTCATCGAGTTCCTGGCCAGCATTCCCCCAGATAAAAATTGGTCATTCACTTCCTGGTTGTTTTGTGGGACATAGTTATGTGCAAGTATTTGTCCACAAAACACACAGTCACTGCACTTCACAGTATGTGCTGTGAAGCACTTTGAGATGTCCTCCCGACATGAAAGGCGCTGTACCAAATGCAAGGATTCATGACCGTTATTCATTGTCATTCAACCAGTGGCTGGTTGGTATAAAAATATCTCTTTTTTTTTCTTTTTGCCAGGGCCTGATAGTTTGCCAAGTAAAGTTAGCCAATGGTTTGCTTGTCCATGGCCCTCAATGTCAGTCAGAAAGTGAGGCCCAGGAAAAGGCTGCAGTGTTCACATTACAAAGACTGGTATGTGTTATAGAATTTGTTTTTATGAAGCTGTCTTGTTCAAATCCATTTTTTTTGTAAGAGCTGTGCCTTTTCACACTGTGCAGTTGATGATGCACTTTCTCTTTTTTCTCTCTCAGAATGCAACGGCACAGAATCTCTCTCTACCTCCCGCAATCTTTCCCAGTTATCCATCAGTTGCAGGAGGCTTGCCAGCTCCAGCTATCCCCCCGACCTTCAGCCATCCTTCTGGTAAGAAATGCCTGAGAGGTTCACTGGAATGAGGGTTGTCCACGTTCAGTGTAATCTCTTTAGTTTCGGGTAACTTGCATTCAACTTAATTAAGGCCATAGAGGTGATGTTCATTTAATTGGTTTTGAGACTGTTGCTTATTGCTTTAATTTTCCAATGACTGATATGTGTTCCTTCCTGTAGCCTCGGTTTTCTTTCCTTTTGGAATACTCTTGTCAACTGGATCACAGCATCACACTCCATTTTGGAGTCTCTTCTGTCTGTGCTATGCCCTCCCTGATGATATAAAATTTGTGGAATCCCCCGTTTAACAACTCCTAAAGCAAGGCAGTGATGGGTTACTTTACAATGTTATGATGAGCTCAATCCAGGAAAGCTTGCTCTTTTCATAGAGATTTACAGGTTGGCGCACTGGCACGATTCATTATCATATTCGTGGCATCTGTTGAGTATTGTAGAGCACTTGTCTCGCAAAAGAGAGGACCTAGGTTCGATTCCAAAACCTTAGGCAATTTTCCTTACCTCACACGCCTCTGTTTACCTAGGAGTAAGTAAGAATCTGGTTGTTAGTCCATTGGCAGAATGGTTTCCAAGGGTAATAATTCCTCCAAAAATAAATAATAATAATAATTTGGTCACTCAATCCAAGACTGTTTGTGGGACTTTGCTGTGTGCAATTGGCTGCTGCATTTCACCCACAAAATATACAGCCAGTTCACTTCACAGTATGTTCGGTGAAGCACTTTGAGACGTTTCAACGACATGATAAGACGCTATATGTGGAATCCTGTAACCGGGTGGTTAGAGCACTCGCCTCACAAGTGAGAGACCTCGGTTCAAGTTGGGCGAAACCTTGGGGAGGTTTCCTTACTCTACACGGCTGATAATAATCCCGCAAGAAAAGAAAAAAAAATAATTTGGTCACTCAATCCATGACTGTTTGTGGGACACTGCTGTGCACAATTGGCTGCCGCATTTTGCCCACAAATATACAGTCAATTCACTTTACAGTATATTCTGTGAAGCGCTTTGAGACGTCTGGAAGAAGTGAAAAGCGCTCTATCAAATGCAAGGATTATTATTATTATTACACTATACGGAGACCAGATGCAATATGACTTTTAAGCTATAACAGTGCATATTATATTGAATGTTACTTTCTGCAATGTGTCTTACTAGGATAATATAGTATCTTCTCTCCAGACACTGCACTGGAGAGGAGGTGCAGGCAATGTGGAACTAAAGTATATAATGTTGCATTACACCAAGAACACTTGGAATTGGACATCTTAATTACCACAGAAAAGGTGGGCCGATCTTGTGCTCTGAGAGCTTTATTATCCTACGAAGGCAGGTCAGATTGTGCCCGAAGACAAAAATAAAACCTCTTTTGTTCCCTTTCTCTCTTTATACCCCTCCCTCAAAACCCTGTTTTTCTCTGACGTGTATTTGGGTAAATGGGCAGTGGTGGATGAGGGAAGTCTTCAAACTTCAGTGCAGCAAATTGTCCACAGCTAGGAAAAGCTGAAATCTTCCCCCATCAGACTCGCACAGGAGGGCCTGGAGGAGAAAGTGTCGTAAGACACAGAGACCTGCCAGGACAACAGTTACACAGGCTTGGAAACGAGTTATCTTTTTCTGTGCTGGACATCGTTTTCAAGCTGTGGAAACATCCCTCTGAAATCAGCTGGCAGACGTCACACAAAGCAGCACGATGCCTCCCAGGGTCGCATCGCTTTCTACCTGTGCTGTGGGCTCCGTTCCTCAACATCCGCTCCTCCCCATGTGACGTCGTTACTGAGATCAGACCTCCGGCGTGTGTTGGAGAGACACGTGAACAGTCTGGGTTCCTATCACATTACATGGACGCATAGTGGATGGACGCAGCACTGGGCCATCACATGCGTTTTGGATGGGCTTAGAAAATGTTACACTGATTATTAATGTTTAACCACATTTTATTCGCCTTGTTACTTCATGCTGCGTTGATTAGGGAAAGCTGCTGCTGACTATTGCAAATGATTGACTTGTGTTTTAAACCCAGGTACCATCTTACCACCACATGGGTTTGCTCCTGTGCCTTGGACAGCTTTGATCCCTCCTCAGTCCTACAACAATTACCAGGTCCCATATTCAGGGGGGATCTGTCCTGGAGGAGTACTGATTGGTACCCACAATCAATTTGTGCCTTTGCAGGTGAGTTGCATTCAGCTTCTTTTAAAAGAAAATAAATTTCAACCTGGCAGGGAGAAGAGATACCGTTGTGAGACTTGGGAGAAAAGCTTACGGACAAAGCGTAACATAGAACATTTTACTCGCTACCCCAAAAAAAACAACTCCATTCATGTTTCATTATACCACCCTGTTTAGTTTATGTAGTTGCAAGTGAGCATTCAAACAAGGTATGCAAGTCAAGATGGATGCAGCGCCTTGCCCCTAGCCCTAGGAGCCCGAGATGAATTAAACTTGTAAAGGTGGACAATAGGGTCTCAGTCTCTGAAGGGGATTTCAAATAGGACAGACCGCAGCCCTTGGCAATGCTTATCCATTAATTCTCATGGGGCCAAACTTTATACAGTACAGGCTACGTTATGGCTGGCGAACAACTCGTATCATTTAAAGAACATTTATATTAGTGATTTCTCAGGCATTGTGTCAAACCCACTCCAAGGATAGGTTTCCCTAGTGAATCTCCCTGTTGATAGCTTTGAGAGCTCCTTAGCTGTATGCAGAGTATTGCTGCAACTCGTAACGACTCTACAAGTGAAGTAATTCTAGCTTTAGTCAAGTTTTTTTTTATTCTGATGAAACTTCTGTTGTGTAAGCTATTCATGCCGTTTTGTTCGTTTATTATTTGAAAGGTGACTAAGAGGAGGACGTCCTTTAATAAAATGTACGACAATTCCGCTCAGCAAAGGTTTCCTCAGCAAAATGAATCCGCAACCACTCTGGAGTTCACGAACACAGCCTTACACGGGCCCACAGCTGCTCTCACACCCTCTAGAAACTTTTCCCAATCTGGTCAAATGACCTTTGACTCCCAGAGCAAAGCAGCTAACCAGAGTCCCAGTCAACCCCGAACACAGCAGCAGTTAGCACCAGGTTCTGGTGGCAAACGTAAACCGAGGAAGCTGGCTGTCAACTTTGGAGCACCCCAGCCTCCCCAGTAGTTAAGGTAGCTGCGATTATATCCTGTGTAAAAGGTTAATTACATGTGCAGTTTTTTTTTCTGAATAGACTCGCACTCGGTATTGCTTCCTGTTCATTTATTCATGTTGTGATATACTTTTCTCAGTTTTCTTTTTCTTTCCTGTATACATCACCTTTTCCTTGTGTTTCTCCCCACCCCCCCATCCCTCCTTGCCCCTCCTGAAGTTAGCCTGTAATGGATTCGGATTAGGTACCACTTTGAAGGACCTCAGTATAGGTGAAGATTGAGGTTCATCAATACACCAATGGATGTGGTGATACAGCCACTGGAGAAGGGGATGTGGCAGGGGGGATTGCCTGGGGAGGGGGACGGCTTTTGAATAATAGTGAACATTAAATGACTGATCATTGCAGAGCTTTTGCTTGAAGTTCTCTAGAGTTAAGGGAGTTTCTATGCAGAACTCTTTCCCTCCCCCCCTTCCTCACACCCTCAGAAATAAAATGGCTGGGGTGTAATCTGTTAGGCTTGGTTTTGCATGAGCGATTGAGGGAGTGTGTTTGATGAGCCAAATGGCCTATTTTTATTCCCTGCTTATAGATGTTCTTCTAGGCTCTTATTTCACTTCACTCAACCTAGTTGATTTTACACTCGCTGTGTTTTCTCTTATGTGCATAGAAAAATATTGATCTAAATGTTATTACATTATATATCGTATATTGCTTATTTTGTCTTTGCTTCAGTTTCCCCAATGGAAAAGGAGAATGCAATGCTTGAGATCTTTGAAGGCTAGGGATTAGTGAAGGAGTGAATGTTAACCTAGTGATGATTTCGCAGGATGAGTGAAGCCTGGGATGAAGGGATTTAACTGAGCCCATCCTGGGTAATTTGGGGTTATATACTGTACCATAGAGCTGAGGAGATTAAGACGTGATCTGATTTGAGATCTTCAAAATAATAAAGGGAATTGATGAGGCAAACTCCAGCAGGGGAGTCAAGGGCAAGGAGACATAATCTTAAACCCAGTTTACATTCAATCCCTTTCACATAAACCATTGTCAGAATGGGGAATGCACTGACTGCCCCAAAAAAGCACAAATGCAGATTGAATTGAGGTGTTTCTAAGACGGAAGCTGGGGAAGTAAGGGAAATGGAGAAGAGATGGGAAAATGGGATAAGAAAGATGAAGAGTTCATGGGTCTGAATTAAATGGCAGAACAGACAAATAAATAAATGGTGGTTGTTCTTTCCTGCTTCTCTTTGCTGATTTTCTTTTCTGTCTCTCACTTAATTATGACTACACCTGTTTCTCCATTCCGCTGTCACTTTCCTTACAAAAAGCAAGCCCAGAGCAGACCACATCTTAATTGCTGCCCCTCTATCTTGGCTTTTTATTTCCCTTTGTCCTTTTCCGCGCTTTGATATTTTCCCTATGCAGGTAGGTGCCATTTAGGAATGTTGTCTTGGAAATATCCTTTGAGATGCGAGCACTTCAGAGCTTTCACCTTCACATAATATTCTTAGTATTTTCTGATTATCCTCTCGCGACGTTACCTTTGTGTTTAAATGTGCCGTAATTTTTTTTCATAATGCATGCCAGAGATTGGTGGAATTTATTCTCTCAAATCCGGAATTTTAAAAGACTTCATTCCCCCAAACATGGTGGAATTTGGTACAAATCGTCAAGCATTTTATAGCTGTTTTATCAGAAACTTTTATAACGTATTTGGGGTCTGCATCAGTAAACCACAAGTGTACGCCTCAGTCTTTGCTGCTCGTGTCCAAGTATTTACCAAAAAAAATCTTGTCCAGTCGTAGTATAACTGAATAAATGTGTAACCAGAAAGTGTATTCATTGAATGTTTATTGTCGTTCATTTTTTGAAAGGTTATTTCAGACTGATTTTTAATGTCGTCTGATGCCCTGTATTTGTCCACATCTACTAATACCTTGTGAATTGTCATCAGTTGCTCAAGGACCATTTCTCTCTTTTCCTTTCCTCCCTCCCCCCCACCATGTGATATATCATCCCCACACTGTCACCATGTTTGTTTTTATGAATTTCATGTACCTTTTTAATTTTTTCACGGCTATCGATAATGTTAAGTGCACAATGAAAACACCCGAAAAAAGCTTGATGTACTGTACATGCAAAGCAACATGTTTTATATGATTAAAACAAAACTACTTTTATTGTAGATGTTGTAGAAAGAGCTTTGAAATTTTTTTATAGAAACCTGGGGATTGCAAAATGAGCTCCTTTGCTGGTTTATGAATTCCTATGCATCTACATGGAATTTTTTTAAGAATACTTTTAACATTTTATCTACTTGTGACTCAAAACCCCTTTCCATGTTTATCAATGTTAAACTATTGTTTTTACGAGCACGATTAATATTGTATTAAAGCCTTTCTTTACAGATCACAATGTTTTTTAATTAAAAAAAATTGTACAGTGGAAGGTAGGGAGGGTGATGGTGATTAATTGTAATCGTATTTATTGATGAATGTGGACTTTTTGACAACATGTGTATCAAAGTATGGGGAACCTATTAGCTGGTAACAACTGACTTCAATTAAATGTTGCACTTTCTGCTAAAGTATAAAGCAATTTCAATATTCTAAATAAAGCATTTTGTTACAAGTGTTGAATGAGTGATGTTTATTTTGTTCTGCCATTTACTGATTTATTTTTGCTCCACCCCCCCCCCCAAAAAAAAATCTGTCACTGCTGTGTGCAATTGGCTGCTGCATTTGCCTGCAAAACGCATAGTCAATTCACTTTACAATATATTCTGTGAAGCAAATGTAATTTGTGGTCTCAACGACGTGATAAGCTGCTAAATCAAATGCAAGGATTAGTAGTAGTTCAGGGAGCACATCAAAAAATGTTAACAGTGCACAGTCATTATGCTTGGTAGCTGTTACCTACCTACTCTGAGACTCTTTGACTTTGTACGCACTAGCGTAGCAAGAATTACCAGAATGATAAACCCTTTGATTTGTAATATTTTCTCACTCCATTTCCTCAATAGGTTGGCTGACATCAAGAACCTGTGTGAGGAATGCAGGCGGGCAAACCTTCTTCCTGAACGTTCCGCAACACAGTGCTTTGGAGTACTGCCTTGGACAATTCTCTTTGCCAAATCACTTGATGCTGCAGCGTGATATTTCAGCCGCAGCTAACGCGTGCAGCTACAAGTGCTCCGGGATTAAAAACTCATGGTTAATCCAGGAAACCTCAATGATTCCCAATGTTAGGTGTGTTAGTGATGTGCTTTCTCAAGGGGTAAGAAGCTCTGTTAATTCTTTGATTGCCAGAACTCTTATAGTTATAGAAGGGACCAGGAGATAGAGATATAGCAAGATAGAGAAGGAGGGAAAAACAAAACTACCTCTGACAGATTGCAAAGAGAGTGCTGAGGGGGATGGTAAGCGGGGCCAACTTGGGACTGAGCTGGCTCCAAAGTGACGTGCCTGGGAACAGAATCTTGGAATTGAGTCAATCCTCTGCGACCATTACTGTTGTCTGTTGTCCATTACTCCTTGGCACTGCCTCTGACTGACCAGCTAGACTGGCTCATTGGCAGGGCTTGGAGGGACAGAGCAATCGCTGGGAGCAGGGATTCTTTCCGCTCTGCTCCCACTGACCCTGCAAGCCAAGGCCCTGACAGGTTGGGTTGTTCTAGCTGGACAAACAACAGGAAGCTTATCAGACAGTTCCGAGAACATTCAGCAGGTCAGGCAGCATCTGTGGATACAGTAAAGTGAGTCGATGTTTCGGTTCCACTGACTTTCGTCAGAACTGGGGCATGTCAGGAGAGAGAGGCTAAAGGGTTAACAGAGAGGGGAGGCCGGGCAAGGAAGACAAAGGTGAAAATGGGGTAGAGGACAGGGGATGATGAATTAAAGAGCTGTTAATGAGGCACCATTGTTACCCTTTCTTGTGTTTGATATTCTTTGCTATTTGTTTCCTTTCTTGTGTTTGATACCCCACCCCTCTCTGTTAGCTCTTAAAAGCCTCTCTCCCAACACGCCAGTTTTGACAAAGGGACGTGGACCCGAAGCTTTGACTCAATTTCCTTGCTCCATAGATGCTGCCTGACCTGCTGAAATGTTCCCAGCGACTTCTGTTTTTGTTTCAGATTTCCTGCATCTGCAGTATTTTGAGTTTTGTTACCAGACGCCGCTCTCAATGGCAAAGTTGTGTGGTTATAGCTGGTTAGTCTCCAGCTGTACCCCCAAGCACACTGGCTCCCAAGTCCTTTGGTCTCACCAACCTGCTCCTAATACTTTCTAGAATTAGATAAGCAAGTGCGTGCCTCCAGGGAAAGAGTGCAGAGTCGATTCCACACGTGGAAATCTCCACGCTTAGGTGTCCTCCATATGTGCAACCCTCTGATTGGATACTTTTAAGCATTGGGATTTTTTTCTGCGTGTCAGGCATCTGGCTGATCCCCACAAAAAGTCTCAGACTCCCTTTCCCTTGTATTTATTTTTCTCCGACTTGCCACAATACATATTATTGCAGAAACAATATTGTGGGGGAGTTTAGACATCATTTAGCAGCCATTTGTTGACTATAACACTCCGTTTTATCAACCTATGAATTATTGTGTCAACTCATTCCTGGTAATATAGAGACCATATTTCCAAGTACTTTCCAAGCATTTGTCGACTGTTCAAAAAATGTACCGTAATTTAAAAAAACAATAATAAATTGGTCACTTCAATCCATAACTGTTTGTGGGACACTGCTGTGCGCGATTTGGCTGCCGCATTTCGCCCACAAATTCACTTGCCAGTATATTCTGTGAAGCGCTTTGAGACGTCTAAGAAGACATAAAAATCGCTATATCAAATGCAAGGATTCTTCTTATTATCACTTGGTTAACTGGTTAGGATCTAAACCACAAAATATGTTACCAGTTTAGTGGACTTGAGATTCTTGTTACCCCGCTGCTATCGTTGAATTGCAACCATTTTTGTAACTTTTTGACTACTCCGTCTTTTTAAAGCATTTTTGTACCCGTTTCATATAATTTGTTACTACCCACTTTACAGTGTATTCTATGAGATGTCCCAAAAAAGCTGATCAGGCACAATATCAAAAGCTATTATTATTACTGCACATGAAACAAACAGAATAGAATTTGACACATGTTCCCATTCCTCCTTGAGTGCTCAAAGTGCTTTTTGAGGGAGTGAAGCTGCACGATCCCCGGCTCGCAGCTGTGCCTGATGAACAATTGGTTGATTGGCCTGTGTTTTTTGCCATAACATGAGAATAAACCTTTCATTTTATAGAGAGCCTTTCACTTCAAGAGGACGTCTTGAATAGAATTCACAGCTCGATAAGATTTTACTGTAAAGTTTAGTGACTGTGTATTTTATGGGTGAATGCGGCAACCAGTTTGCACACAGCAGTGTCCTACCAACAGCCATAAGTGAGTGACCAATTTTATTGTGGGGGGTTGTTGCACAAGACACAGGGAGAAACTCCCTTCTCTTTCAAATAGTGTCAGGGGATCTTTATCGTCCACTTGAACAGGCAGACGGCACTTCAGTTTGACATCTCAACTGAAAAAATGCAATGCAACACACTTGAGATTGAACCCACAACTTTCTGACTCAGAGGTGAGAGTACTACCAATCAAGCTATTTTGACACATTATATCGTAACAGCCAATGCCTCTAACATTTGAGGGAACCACACGTTAAGGATTTAGGTACAGCAACAACAATAAATTACAATTATCTCGTGCCTTTCAGGGTGGGACGCTTTATTTTGAGTGGGTAAGAAATTATGAAATGTTTCAGCTTGTTTTTCACCCGTTTCTAATTTACGAGCAGAAAGAAACGATCCACCCGAACTGAAATGTCGAGAAGCAAAACTTTCAGCATTTTTTTTTAAAAAAAAGCAAAAAGAAATGTCAAGGCAAAACCAATGCGACCCGGGGTCAAATATTGCAGAGGCATTCGCTGGCTGCCAGAAACATCGTGTGAATAATAATTAAAATACAATTGCATTTATACAAGGCCTTTTCTCGTGAAATAAACGTCTCGAAAATATTTTACAGAATAAAAGTGTGTCAATCAATACATAAGCAAATTTTTTTTTGGGGTGGGGGCATTTGGTTAGTAATGAATACCACGTTGCTAAGGATGTACGGTTAGGCGTGAAGTGAATTGTTCTCTGGAGGCAAACAGAGGGAAATCCATGTGTGTTAATGTGTGAACGCAAATAAAAGCCGCGGATGGCTGGAGATGAAAATAATCCTATTATACAGGCAAAATATAGGAGGGTGTTTTGTTTGGGGGGGGGGGGGCTCCAGTCAGCCTGGGGTGTGTGCTGTGGGTGTATGTGTGTGTAGGAGGGGGGGGGTGTGTGGGGGGGTGTATGTGTGGGGGTGTGTGTGTATGGGGGGGTGTGTGGGGTGGTGTGTGTGAGTGTGGGGGGTGGTGTATGTGTGGGAGGGTTGTATGTGTGTGTGGGGTGGGTGGTGTGTGGGGGTGTGTGGTGTGTGTGGGGGGAGATGGTTTCTGTGTGGGGGGGTGTGTGGGGGTGTGTGTGGGGGGGTTGTGTGTGTGGGGTGTGTTTGGTGGCGTGTGTGTGTGTGTGTGGGGTGGTGGGGGTGAGTGGGGTGATGGTGTGTGTGGGTGGGGTGGGGGGGGTGAGTGTGTGTGGGGTGGGGGTGTGTGTGTGGGGGTGTGTGGGGGGGGGGTGGGGTGTAGGGGTGTGGGGGGGGGGTGAGTGGGGGGTGTGTGTGTGAGGGGGGGGCAGTGAGTGGGGGGTGTGGGTGTGTGTGGGGGGGGGGGTGGGGTGAGTGGGGGGTGTGTGTGTGTGTGGGTGTGGGGGGGGTGTGTGTGTGTGTGGGTGTGTGGGGGTGTGTGGGGGGGGTGTGTGTGTGTGTGGGGGTGTGTGTGGGGGTGTGTGTGTGTGGGGGGGGTGTGGGGGGGTGTGAGTGGGGGTGAGTGGGGTGAGTGGGGGGTGTGTGTGTGGGGGGGTGTGAGTGGGGGGTGTGGGTGTGTGTGTGGGGGGGGGTGGGGTGAGTGGGGGATGTGTGTGTGTGTAGGGGTGTGGGGGGGTGTGTGTGGGAGTGTGGGGGGGTGTGTGGGGGGGGTGTGTGTGGGGGTGTGTGTGTGTGTGGGGGGGGTGAGTGTGGGTGTGGGGGTGAGTGGCAGGAAGTCACTGTGTACCTCCCCTTTAAGATGGGCTGATGTGTGACGTCACAGACAGGCGCGGCTGGTGAGCGGCAGCAGAGAGCGAGACTTCTAAATACAGCGCCGAGAGGGGCGGTCAGTGAGGGGCCCTCCCCCCAGACAGGCAGTGAGGGGCCCTCCCCCCAGACAGGCAGTGAGGGGCCCTCCCCCAGACAGGCAGTGAGGGCCCTCCCCCCAGACAGGCAGTGAGGAGGGGCCCTCCCCCCAGACAGGCAGTGAGGAGGGGCCCTCCCCCCAGACAGGCAGTGAGGGGCCCTCCCCCCAGACAGGCAGTGAGGGGCCCTCCCCCAGACAGGCAGTGAGAGGCCTCCCCCAGACAGGCAGTGAGGGGCCCTCCCCCAGACAGGCAGTGAGAGGCCCTCCCCCCAGACAGGCAGTGAGGAGGGGCCCTCCCCCCAGACAGGCAGTGAGGGGCCCTCCCCCCAGACAGGCAGTGAGGGGCCCTCCCCCCAGGCAGTCAGTGAGGGGCCCTCCCCCCAGACAGGCAGTGAGGGGCCCTCCCCCCAGACAGTCAGTGAGGGGCCCTCCCCCCAGACAGGCAGTGAGGAGGGGCCCTCCCCCCAGACAGGCAGTGAGGAGGGGCCCTCCCCCAGACAGGCAGTGAGGGGCCCTCCCCCCAGACAGGCAGTGAGGGGCCCTCCCCCCAGACAGGCAGTGAGGAGGGGCCCTCCCCCCAGACAGGCAGTGAGGAGGGGCCCTCCCCCCAGACAGGCAGTGAGGGGCCCTCCCCCCAGACAGTCAGTGAGGGGCCCTCCCCCCAGACAGTCAGTGAGGGGCCCTCCCCCAGACAGGCAGTGAGGGGCCCTCCCCCCAGACAGGCAGTGAGGGGCCCTCCCCCCAGGCAGTCAGTGAGGGGCCCTCCCCCCAGGCAGTCAGTGAGGGGCCCTCCCCCCAGACAGGCAGTGAGGGGCCCTCCCCCCAGACAGGCAGTGAGGGGCCCTCCCCCCAGACAGTCAGTGAGGGGCCCTCCCCCCAGGCAGTCAGTGAGGGGCCCTCCCCCCAGGCAGTCAGTGAGGGGCCCTCCCCCCAGACAGGCAGTGAGGGGCCCTCCCCCAGACAGTCAGTGAGGGGCCCTCCCCCCAGACAGGCAGTGAGGGGCCCTCCCCCCAGGCAGTCAGTGAGGGGCCTCCCCCCAGACAGGCAGTGAGGGGCCCTCCCCCCAGGCAGTCAGTGAGGAGGGGCCCTCCCCCCAGACAGGCAGTGAGGGGCCCTCCCCCCAGACAGGCAGTGAGGGGCCCTCCCCCAGACAGGCAGTGAGGAGGGGCCCTCCCCCCAGACAGGCAGTGAGGGGCCCTCCCCCCAGACAGGCAGTGAGGAGGGGCCCTCCCCCCAGACAGGCAGTGAGGGGCCCTCCCCCCAGACAGGCAGTGAGGAGGGGCCCTCCCCCCAGACAGGCAGTGAGGAGGGGCCCTCCCCCCAGACAGGCAGTGAGGGGCCCTCCCCCCAGACAGGCAGTGAGGAGGGGCCCTCCCCCCAGACAGGCAGTGAGGAGGGGCCCTCCCCCCAGACAGGCAGTCAGGATGGCAGCACCGCGGGGCATTTAGCGCCTCTCCCCGCGGGGTCCGGGGCAGCGCTGAGGATTGTTAACGCGATACATTGTCACTTTGGCCACGTTTTGGACACAGTAACTTGTCACAACCCTCGACTTAAAGCCGCAGCGTCACTCCCTCCCGCGCGCGCGTGTGTCTCTCTCTCTCTCTGTCTCTCTCTGTCTCTCTCTCTCTCTCTCTCTCTCTGTGTCTCTGTGTGTGTCTCTCTGTGTCTCTCTGTGTCTCTGTGTGTGTCTCTCTCCCCCTCTCAGTCCGCGCTTTAACTCTCTCCACTGCCGTTTGTCTCCTCGTTTCAGTTTTGCTTCATTTCCTGACTGACTGACTGACGGGTCACTGTGTTACTAACAGGGAATCAACGTGTGTTCCCTTACACCCACAACCCCCCCCACACACCCCTCCTCACCCCCCCCCCACACACCCCTCCTCACCCCCACAACCCCCCCTCTCCCCCTCTCTCTCTCAGCGATGTGCACCGTCAGGAACGGTGTCCGGCGCGATGACAAGTACATTCTGGCCGTGGACGTGGGGACCGCGTCCATCAGGTGCCACGTGTACGACAGAGCTGCGAGATCCCGAGGCTTCAGCAGCAAACAGGTGAGGAGCAGTGCCCCGCACTGCGCTGTGTCAGCCCCGGGGCGGCGGCGGTGGCCCATCTGCCCTCCGTGACCCCCACAGGGGCTGCGGGTGCGAGTTCCACGTCGGGGCTTCCCACGTTGTGGAGTCCTGTGGCTCTCAGTGGTTAGAGCGAGAGACCCGAGTTCAACCCCAGGCAGGTCAGGGCCAAACCTTGGGCAAGTTTCCGTACTTACTCCACGCAGCGCCTAATCATAATCCCTCCCCCCCCCCCCAAAAAAAAAACCCCAAACAATAACACATGGGTCATTTTCGATCCACGGCTGCTTTGTGCGCAATCGGCTGCCGCGTTCGCCCGCAAACATGCGGTCAGTTCACTTTACGGTATGTTCTGTGAAGCGCTTTGGGACGTCCTCCCGACGTGAAAAGCGCTACATCAAATGCAAGGATTATTATTATTATTATTATTGGAATCGCATCGTTTATCCGCCTCAAGATCCTCCTCTTCGGCCATGCCTTTCGGTCACCCTCGTATCCCCTGCCCTCCACACCCATCCTTTGGATGAGACGTCAAACCGAGGGCCCGTCCGCCTCATCGGGTGGATGCTAAGGGTCCCACAATACTATTCCAAAAGAGAGTTTGTATCTCCCCCCGTGTCTTGGCCCCCAAATACAATTGGTCACTCACTAATCTGAGGACATTGCTGTGCGCAAACTGGCTTCCTCGTTTCATCCACAGAATATACAGTCAATCTGCTTTACAGTATATCCTGTGAAGTGTTTTTTTTAGATGTCTCAACGATGTGATCAGGTGCTATATCAAATGCAAAGATTATTGTTGTTTATTATTACGTAACCTGTTACAAATGCTGCCTTGGGAAATGGGTTTATGGAGTACAGCTGCAATATTTAACTGGCCATTTAAATCCCTTTGAAGCACTGGTTAATACAGGTGTCAGCCTTGGTATATCTCACCTTTTGGCTGTGTATAAATCAGTTGTTGGGTTTGCACAGTAACTTCACAGCTGTTGTTAAGTGAAGTGCTTTACGATGTTTTGCTAGTGACAATATATCAAGGAAAATGATTTATTGCTAATGCTTATATTTCTACTGAATTATTGACTGAGATTTGGTGTTAAAATGTGCGCTTCAATGTCTAAACTCGGTATTGATTTGAAAGTGCTCGTCAAGATGTGTGGATGGCTATTGCAGTTCATGAGGTCATAAGATAGGTCAAAATTCCTAGTCAAAAAGTGATTAATTGGTGATTGCATGTTTTATTGCCCGCTGAGATGAGGAGCCAAGGTTCAAAGTATACACTAAATACACTAAATCACTATGATTCCAAGTAGTAATGGAATCGAGCTCCCCTCTCGACTCTCTTCCCCCTCCTCGCTCCCTCCCTTCCCTCCCCTCACCCTGACCATTTCCCCCCTCCTCGCTCCCTCCCTTCCCTCCCCTCCCCTCACCCTGACCATTCCCCCCCCTGCTCGGGTCATGACCCAACTGTGCAGCGCCTTGGGACGTCCTCCTGACGTGAAAGGCGCTTTATAAATGGAATCTTGTTGTTGTTGTTGAAGGCTTATACTGTGGGATTGTAATGTGCACAACTTTTTAAGGGAGATTATAGGAGTATTGTAAAGAGGAGTTAAAATGTGTGTGGGGGTGGGGGAGTTTAGGATAAGATTTCTGGGGGGAAATTGTGAATTAGATATTTCAGTCGAGAGATGCTGAGGTGCAACCTTGCCAAGGGTTTTCAAAGTGGATTGTGGAGTCCCATCGTGTAGTGGTTAGGGTGCTCACCTTGCAAGTGAGAGGACCCAGGTTCGATTCCTGGATGGGGCAAAACCTTAGATAAGTTTTCCTTGCTCCACATGCCTCTGTTTAGCTAACAGTAAATAGGAACCCGGTTGTTAGTCGATTGGCAGATTACACTGATAATCCCTCAAAATTTTATTTGTATATATAATGTATAATCCATGACTGTTTATGGGACTCTGCTGTGAGCAATTGCCTATCACGTTCCACCTATAAATACACAGTCAGTTCTTTACAGTATATTCTGTGAAGCGTTTTGAGCTGCCTCAATGACGTGATTAGGCACTATATCAAATGCAAGCTTTATTATTATTGTAAGAAGTTCGATGCAGGGGAGATCGCTCTCTCTGGGCCAGGTTTCCGGAGAGTTTGTTAACTTTGCTCTCAGAATGGACAAACTCGGAATTAAGTTACTGCTCAAGACTTTCCCCTCTCTATTTCCAGCCTCCACAGTGCTCTGCACTTTGAGCCCTGGCCATTCACCTAGATTTCTTAATGTGAAAATTGTAGTTTGTCGGGTCAGCAATAAACGCCAAGTCAAGTCTCTTGGACTGTCTCCCAGAAAACTCAGTTTGAATTCCCATGAGAGTACACTTCATACTTCCCCCATAATTTTCTCGGGATGACTCGTATGATCCAATTTTAAGATTGTCATCACTTAGCTTTTGGGCACCCCTTTTTTTCTTCCCCAACTGCCGCAGTGCTAATCATTTTCTATGTGTAATATTGAATGTTTAATTGTAATTGCTGTCTGCTCACTCCGCTCGACAGACTCTAGCCTGCTCCAGGCCCCTGCCCTGCCCACCCGACCATCTGCAGTTGGACCATCAGCCTGTCTGCCCCCACCCTTCAGAACTCCATCCCACAATCCCTTCGCCTCGGCCCCTCTCTCGCCTCCTTCAACGCCCGTCTCAAGACCCTCCTCTTCGACTGCGCCTTCAGTCACCCTCCTAGTGTCACCCTCCCTTCTCCTCATCCCAACCCCGAGCTCAGGTGCAAATCGTTGACAGTCTCGCGCCTTGTGACATCTCCCAATGTGTGTATAATGCTGATTTTTTTTTCAACGGGAAAATTGTGCATTTTCCTTTTGCCCAAAAACTGCTTTTGTATTGCTTTGCCACCAAGTAGCCCTGAGCTGTTTTTGTTTCCTTCTGACTGCCCTGTCTGTCTTCTTAATAAAGACCGACATTCTGGATTCATCGATCTCTTGCTCCGAACCCTCAACATTCCATCAGTAACTTTTATGTTCCTGATTTCCTGGACCAATATCTTTGCCTCCATTTCCATACTCCTGTTCACACCATGATAACCTTATCAAACAATCTATTGCCAGTTGGGATACAGTGTAATGGGCCGTGCAGAACTATGTTTCAATCTGGTTTTCAACTTTTTTAACTTCTTAATCTTGGCAGCAGTTTTGTTTCCATCGAAGGAATACAGTAAAACTCATGTCGTATCAGTCGGGACCGTGACATTTACTATGACTTGCGCAAAGTCTGAATTGCAGGGCAAACTGCATAGATCGTAGAAAATCCGATTTGATCAATAATCTGCATTGAGCATGCGTAATTTAATCCAGCCAGTAAATTTGCAGGTGGTGAAAGGTCAACAACAGCAACTTGCAAATATATAGCGCCCTTCACGCGGGGTAACGTCTCAGAAGTCAAGATTGCATTTACTGCAATTTGATGCGTCTTGTCTCATTGGAATCATTGAATCGCGCAAAATGAAGTTCTTCTGCACACGTGTTGACGGATCAGGACTGCGCTTCCAGTGCGGCCGATAATAAATATTATTATTTATGTGTATCAAAGTAAGCGATTTTCGGCATTCTCACAGCTTCTGAACAAGACTAACTGGTGCATTTCCACGGTGGACCTACCACAACAATGTAGTTGATTCGCTGCGTGTTTCATTTCCCTTTGTGACTGTGAAACTTTAATCCTCATCTTGGGTCGTGTGCGGGTAAATATCAGCCTGAGTGCTGGAGGCAGCTGAAAATGATAAAAATGCGTTATGAACTGTTGAACATGCTGACTTTGTTGCAATGTGTGGGTGAGCATTCATAAGGAGAGTGGTGTTTGCTGCTCCTATCAGCCTACAGTCTGGAATCTCATTATAAGTAACGGGCACAGATTGTCCAGATGGTCATCTGTTTAAAGGCGTCCCTCGTATCAGATTAATGTTTGAGGTGAGGTGACTGAACTGGCTCGCTCGTAGCACAGTTTCTGTATGTAAACCAATTGGAAATTGATTCATTCTTTAAGCCAGGCCTGACTCAATTCATAACCCTCCTCATAGAAAGGTTATAGATTCAAGCCCCATGTCATAATTTGGAAAGCTCTGTGTCACTGGTTTTGATTGACAGTATCTAAAGTTTAAATCTATGTGCAAATGTAACCTCGGAACCGCTCTCCCAATCTAACCATAGGCAAACAGTTTAATATATTGCGACTTGATTTTTGGTTGGCAGAACGTTGGCCAGGCAAACGGAGAAATCCCTTTTTTCGAGTTGTGCCACGGGATCTGTAACGTACACCTGAACAGGCAGACGTGACCTCAGTTTAATGTCTCCTCTAACACAGTGCCAGGTGTGCACAGCATTGTCAGAGTCTCAGTCTAGACTGTGTGAGTTCAACGTCCTGAATTGTGCTTATACCCCCAGACTTCTGACTCTAGAGGGGAGAGGGCTCCTAAGTAAGATGGCTGACAACAACCTATGCACCAATTGGTTGGGTACAAAATACATTCTACTGTAATTCCCGCAAAGTGCTTTGAGGTATCTTGATGACCTGCTATATCAATTGCAAGAATTATTATGTGACATTCAAAACAAATATTAAGTGCTGGGCCTTGAATAATTAGCGTGTTTCCAAAAGCAGACAGTTATCTAACGCTGCTTGTGGGTTTCACTTTGTTATATGGATGCTAACTTTAAAAAGTCCCTAGTCTATAAAAACATTTTTAAAAAATTATGAAAGCAATTAGGTGGTTAGAGCTGCTTCCATCATTTCCCTGGAATGTCTTTTTGGACCTAAAGGAGCTTGAAATTCTAATCCCACTAGACCCTTGTGCTTGAACAGAACAATAAGTCCATTCACCCGGGTGTTGCTGCTCAGAAAGCCTGAGACAGATTAGAGGAGTTTGTGTTCAGTTACGAAACAACTGGCTTACAACTGACCTGGTCCTAAGATTGTTCCTCCATCTGGCAATGAAATTGGGAAACTGGAATGCAGACTAAACTCTGACAGTGAAAGGTTTATTGCTTTTGCAAAATGCCAGTTTCCTGAATAAATCGTTACACTAAAGATTGCACAATGTTATTTCCACTTTCTTGCAAAAAGCTAGATCTTGTAACAGCTTTGTTTGACTGAGTATATTTTATCAAGTTGCTGAGCAGACATACCTGCTTGCAAGTCTTCACTGACATTGTGATGTTTATGTTCATTCTTTTCACTGGGTCAGTGCCCTTCCACCTGCTTTTCACCTATCCCTAATAAACAATGTTTTGGTTAATTTGTGGAGTCATGTAGTGTAGCAGTTAGAGCACTCGTCCCTCAAGCGAGAAGACCTGGGTTCAATTCCCAGGCAGGGCGAAAAGTAGACAAGATTGCTTCCTCCATATGCCTCTGTTTACCTAACAGTAAGTAGGAACTCAGTTGTTAGTTGATTGGCGGATCGCTTTTCCGAGGGTAATAATCCTTTCCAAAAGAAAAATTGGTCACTCAATCCACAACTGTTTGTGGATCAGTGCTGTGTGCAATTGACTGCTGCATTTCACCCACAAAATATACAATCAATTCACTTTACAGTATATTCTGTGAAGCTCATTGAGATGTCTTGTAGACGTGATAAGGTGCTATATCAAATGCAAGGATTATTATTGTTATATTATTAATTGCATGCTTTGAACCCAAGAATGTTTGTTACAAATCAAAAGGTGATGAATAGGCAGAAACTTCAGAGGAGAATTAATTAATTTACTCTCTCCTATTTTCCAAACAGATACAACTCCTGTATCCTAATCCGGGTTGGGTTGAGATGGATCCAGACTTGCTGTTTGAACAGTTTGTAACTGTGGTGAAGAACGCAGTTGAAGGTACAATGCACATTTTTGGAGAACCTGTTTGAATGTTGCAGCCCAAAAAACAACCAACCAAGCTTGTCAAGTCTGTACTAGTTGGCTTTATTCACACAAACCACAAAGCAATGTAATCCCAGTCTCCTGGTCACTCAATCATACTGATAGTTTTAACATTTATTTAAAACAACAACGTGCATTTATATAGCACAGTTCATTATAAACACCATATCAACCTGTTCGCTCCCTCCACTCGGCGGGCACTGGCCTGCTTCATGTCCCACGCTCTTCCCACTCCACCGTTGGCAGTTCGGCCTTCAGCTTTAATGCCCCCAACCTCTGGAACTCCATCTCAGAATCCCTCTGCCTCACCCCCTCCCTTGCCTCCTTCAAAGCTTGTCTTAACCATACTTTTGGCTCCCACCCCTCTACCCTCCACCGCTCTTGATTTCAACCTCCAGCTCGGGTGCAAACCCTTGACTTTCCAGCACCTGGGATGTCCTTCTGATGTGAAAGGCGCTTTATAAATGTAATTTTCTTGTTGTTATTGTTGTTCATATGGGCAATGTGTTGGAGCGATTGACAGTAACCGAGCTTGACCCTAAACAAGGGAAAGAGAAGAGATAAACATGGTCAAAGAAGAAGGGCTTGAATGGCATCTTGATGCAATCTGAAAACCAGCAGGAAGGGGTCAAGACCGATATAACTCAACCTCAGCTTCCAGCCCCAGTGTAGAGTTGCCAGCTAGCCGATATTTTTGATGTCACTGTGGTGCCTTTGACCTGCAGCAAAGCACTTGGTCTCTCCTCCTTGTGATGACACTGCTGAGATCAAGGCTATTGTAAGAGGTGTTGAATGAACCCCTGCTCACACGGTTTAGCAGGCCGGAGCTCTCCCAGGTTAATTCTGTGGGTTACAAAATTATCGTGATCGAGCTGTGTAGAACTACAGCAATTCTTAACCTGCACCAGATGGTATGAAATGAGGCTTGAATCCTTGGGTTAAATGGCTTGTGTTTTTCCATGCACAAAAACAATGTAAAAGATCCTCCTTCAGGGAACTATGGAGCCATAATTTTGAACAGCATGGGTGTCGAACGACCTAAAGGTCCTTTCAACGCTCACCAGTTGATTGCACTCACTGAAATGAGTTTTATTTAAGGCAAGACTGGGCATAGAACACGGGACTTGAAAAGCTACTTAGGGAGGCTTGTGTACAGAATGTACAGCTTAATCATTCGTGATGAACAAAATGTTAATCCAGCTCTCTGTGTTAGTTAATTGCATTGGTGCCTCAACAACAACAAGATTACACTTGTATAGCGCCTTTCATGTCGGGAGGACGTCCCAAGGCGCTGGAAAGAATTGACGCCCAACGTGGTATAACCCTAAAGCATACACTCAGTCAATTCCTGGGTCAGATCAGCACCCAGAGAGGCAACTATCCCAGTCTCTGTACTTTGTCTCTTCCTGGCTCAGCTCTTTGCTGTACTCAGTGGGAAAGGCTATCTATAGGAGCGCTGGGCTCAAAATCATTTTTTATCCTTATCATTGTTTTTTTTTAAAAAAAGTTTCAGATCTACTTGGAAATTGAGGGAAGTTTTCCCCACCAGTCTATTTTTAGAGTATTTGCTGAATTGTTTCAGAGCTGCTACTATGAACAGAGTGGGCTAGCTGTTTTGGGAGACATGATTTCAAGAATGACAGTCTTGGAGATCACAGTAACATCAATTTACATTGGAAGGGCTTCTGGGAGGGGCGCAGAAAATTGAGTACTGGTGGGTTTTTTCGAGCATTACCTGCATAGTTAACAGTCTAGAGTTGATGCACTTTTTTTAAAAAAGGAATACGACTTGGGATCATGTTAAAATGTCTTCGATGTCAAAAAGTGTGTCTTTTTGTTTCTCCCTAATGTTATTTCGCCCACAGTTAATTCACTTTACAATATATTCTGTGAAACACTTTGAAACGTCTCAATGACTTGATAAGGTGCTATATCAAATGCAAGTATTATTTTTGTGGAGTCCTGTAACTCAGTGGTTAGAGCACTCGCCTTGCAAGCGAGACACCTGGGTTCAATTCCAGGCGGGGCGAAACCTTGGGCAAGTTTCCTTACTCCACACCCCTGATAATAATCCCTCCAAAAATCAAAACAATAATAAATTGGTCATGTTCAATCCACGACTGTTTGTGGGACACTGCTGTGCGTAATTGGCTGCCACGTTTCGCCCACAAATATACGGTCAATTCAATCTACAGCATATTTTGTGAAGCTTTTTGAGACATCTAGAAGACGTGAAAACACTATATTAAATGCAAGGATTATTATTAATGTGGAGGCACCTGAACTTTTTAACATTAGTTTAAACAGAAGTTGCTTGCTAGACTTCTCGCGGGCATTGCTCCTTACCTGCACATGTTCCCTATTGACAATTAAAGTTACAGCACTTGGAGTTTTGATTGTTATTTAATGGAAGTAAAATGCTGAATCTGTTGAAACGTTCGTGTTTTTTTTCCTTTGTTGTTTTGTTTGAGTTAGAAGATAAAACTGAGCATGTAGTATTTTAGTTCATGACCGCTTTGTGGGTTCTGGATCTCTCCATTCTCCCCAGCCCAGAACATGTCGTCCTTTATCCCAACTCAAAAATGCACTTAAAAAAAATTCAACCTTGTCCTCGGTCAAAATGCTTGCCAGATTTCAGTGCGTTCTGCTTGTGAAATACACGGCCTTTGTCGGGAGTTCTGGGTGGGGTAGATTTTTATAATGAATGTTAGAAGGTGCCTTTGCCAACAACTAACCCTAATAAAAATGGTCACTCACTCCCGTGACTGCTTGTGGAACATTGCTGTGTGCAGCTGGCTGCCATGTTTCGCCTAGAAAATACCCAGTCAATCTACTTTACATTATATGCTATGAAACGCGTCGAGTTGTCTCGATGATATGAAAGGCGCTATGTCAAATGCAAAGATTTTTTTCATGCACCTATTTCTGTTTGTAGATTCGGGATTACAGATGAAGCAGATGGCAGCCCTGGGCATCTCTGCACAGAGAGCAACATTCGTCACCTGGAACAAGTAAGTGGCTGAGCGGGTTAGGTTTAGAGTGCAAGAGTAGGGAAGTCTTGCTGCAACTGTATAGGGCCTTGGTGAGACTGCACCTAGAGTATTGTGTGCAGTTTTGGTCTCCTTATTTAAAAAAGGACATACTTGCCCTAGAGGTGGTATAGCGTAGATTCACTAGGTTAGTTCCTGGGATGAGGGGACTGACCTATCAGGATAGGCTGAATAAACTAGGGCTATTTGTTCTAGAGTACAATAATATAATAACAATAATCCTTGCATTTGATATAGCGCTTTTCACGTCTTCTAGACGTCTCAAAGCGCTTCACAGAATATACCTTAAAGTGAATTAACTGTATATTCATGGGTGAACGCAGCAGCCAATTGTGCACAGCAATGTCCCACAAACAGTCGTGGTTTGAAAATGACCAATTTATTATTGTTTTGCTTTTTGGAGGGATTATTATTCGGTGTGTGGAGTAAGGAAACTTGCCCAAGGTTTCGCCCTCTGCTTGGAATTGAACTCAGGTCTCTCACTTGCAAAGCGAGTGCTCTGACCACTGAGCTACAGAACTCCAGAAGAATTAGGGGAGATCTTATTGAAACATATAAGATTCTTAAAGGGCTGATAAAGTAGACACTGAGGGTCTGTTTCCCCTGGTAGGAGAATCTATAACCAGGGGTCACAGTCTTAAAATTAAGGGTCAGCCTTTTAGAACAGAGTTGAGGAAACATTTCTTCACTCAGAGAGTAGTGAATTTATGGAATTCACTATCCCAGAAGGCTGTAGATGCTCAGTCCTTGAACATCTTCAAGGCTGAGACTGATAGATGTTTAAAAAAAATAGAGATGTTAGGGGATATGGGGATAGGGCAGGTAATTAGAGCGAGGTCTGAAGATCAGCCATGATCTTATCGAATGGCGGGGCAGGCTCAAGGGGCCAAATGGCCTACTCCTGCTCCTAATTCTTATGTTCTTACGTTGTTATGTGCCTGTAGTGTACCTGGTGAATAGAGGTTTGTCCTGTGTGCACCTATATAGAATATCCTGAGAATGAGGTTGTCCTGTGTGCACCAATGGTGACTTATTACATAGAGTGCACAGGAACAGACCATTTAGACCAGCTAGTCCACATCAGTGTTTATTCTCCACATGAGCTTTCACCTCTTCTGGTCCTCTCTCCCATTCCCTTCTTCCTCATGTATGCAAAAAGCTCCAGTGATCTGTAAAAATCACTTACAATTATTTAGTCATTGGCTGTTCATTTTTAGATGTTTTATTATTTTGTTGTAGAATCCTGTAATATTACAGCACAGAGCCAGGCCATTTGGCATATCAAGTCTGTGCTGGTGTTTTTCTCCACATGAGATGCCTAATCTAACCAACCCTACCGCCGACTCCCCGAATACTTCAGTATTCCTTTTCAACGACAATTTTTACATTTACCGACACCTTTAACGTGAGGGGTGTCCAGCGAAAAGGGGGCGCGGATTGTCGTAAAGTATGTGTGTGTTTTAAATGTTTTAAATGCGAGGATGTTTTAAGCTTTTAAAAGCTTTTAAATGGAATCTCTGAACTAAGCTGCACACGGTGGTAAACATCAGGGACCCAGGGGGACTCAGGAAATTTCCCTTGTACCCAGTCTGACCCTGGGGATATCTCAAAGCTTCTTGATAGAGCTGCCCGTGAGCTTGAGCTGGTGGTGTGTGGGGGAAACGAGGAAGGAATGGTGGGTGTGGAGAAAAGGTGACCAAAATTGCAGTCAAAAGGAGAGGTCTTCAGATGGCTTTAAATGTAGGGAAGCAGAGTGTCAGAGAGACCCCAGGGTGGAGTTCCATAGAGCAGGACGGAATTGCTGAATCCTGGCCCACTACATGAAGCAGGCAGGTGTTTTCTGTTAATAGCAATCCAATTCCCTGTTTGAGGATTATTGTTCAGGTGGTGCTCCATTTGGGGTTGTGGGGTGGAAGAAAGGAAATTTGGAGGTTAGGTCTTCCTTGCACCATCCAATAGTCAGTAACTCAGGGCTTTGGGATCAGTTGATCTTAAAATATTTAGTCTTCAAGTAGATTTTCAGAGGCTACTTTCTGCAATATGTGGTTGAGAAGGGTAAAGGGGAGAGCTTTTCTTTTGTGGGAGGCCGGGGGAAAAATCTGACGCAACATTTGTTCAACGCAAACATTCCCCACCTATCTCTTTGAGTAACTTTGCCAGAACTGCAGCCTGCAGCTGTGTGATCTCACCAGTTCTGTGGGCGGGTAAGGTTACTTAGTGTGTTGTTCAGAACCATCTGTTCAGCTTTTAGCGATGCACTGCACTGTGTCTGCCAAGCCACTCTCATGCTGACATGGCACTTATTTTATCCATTAACTGAACTTAGCAATGGCTCCTCTGGGTGCCTTTGTACCTCCAGTGGGGAGGAACGGCTCATTGAGAGCAACTTTACATCCGATGGTGTAAACCTATACATCAGTTGCTATAGTGATGTGATGCTTGCTGTTATTTGTCAGATATTTTGAATGTGGACAGTTGGGGGGTGGGGGGGGGGGCGGCGTTCAGGCACTGTGACCCTATCACCCCCACCCTCGCCCGACTCCACTGGCTCCCCATCCCCTAGAGAATACAGTTCAAAATCTTTGTCCTAGCCTTCAAAGCCCTCCACAGCCTTGCTTCTCCCTAGACACCGTTGTGATTTGCTAACGCCATGTAGACCTCCTTCTGCTCAATGGCCTGCTTCATGTGCCCCGCTGGCCCTCCCCACCATCGGCAATCAGGCCTCCAGCCTCTCTGCCCCCACCATTTGGTCACTTTCCTACCCCTACCCTCCTTGCCCACCACCCCTTCTGATCCCTTTCTCAAGTCCAAATCCCTGACTGTCCAGCACCTTGGGATGTCCTCCCAATGTGAAAGGTGCGATACAAATGTAATTTGTTGTTATTATGGGGGTTGGAGACACAGGTAACCCGTGTTGACAGTCACCGTAAGTTCCTATTAAAAATCACCTGAGTCTTGATCCTGGTATTTTTCTGTTATGTGATTCACTTGGACTGATTAATTCTGTCTCCCTCTCCTGCTGACACTGAGTGTCTGAGAAGTTGAAAAGTTGAAATTTGATCCAGCTTCATTTTGGAATCTACTTTGTGAAGGTTTCAGATGGTACAGTGTAAAAGTTCGAAGTTCAGAAAAACAGATGCCTTTGCTTATCCAATATTTCCTCGCTGTAGAAAATTGGGATCCATTTCTGTGGAACACGAGTCTGTGATGTGGGGTACAGTGTAGCGCTATACGCTATTAGCATTCGCTGCAGTAGGTGAAGTGTGCTGTGCTTTCATTTTCAGTTCTCGTTTTGCCCATTAATGACCCCTAATGGTATAGTATTAGTATAAGTATTAGTTGCTTGACAGGCTAAACCTTACCTACCTGTCATTCTCTCCGCTCGGCGGGCACTGAACCGCTCTATGTCTCCCATCCTGCTCGCCTCACCATCGGCAGTCAGGTTTTCTGCCCTACCCTCTAGAAATCTATCCCAGAGCACCTCCACCATGCCCTCTCCTTTGCCTCCTTCAAGGCTCGTCTCAAGACCTTCCTCTTTGACCGTGCCTTCAGTAATCCTCTTTGCCCTCCACCCTCTTGATTCTAACCCTCGGCTCAGGTTCAAACCCTTGACTGACCAGTGCTTTGGTACGTCCTCCTCATGAGAAAGGTACTAATTAACTGCAATTTGTTATTGTTGCAGCCTGCCTCAGTTGGTATCAGTCTCACCTCTGAGCCAGACGATTGTGGGTTCAAGGGTTCAATATCGAGACTATGAACTTGCACGTCAACACTGCATTGTTGGTGGTGTCATCCTTCAGACGAAATGTCAAACCAAGGTCCCTTCTGACTGATCAGATGGACATTGAAGATTCCATGGTACTATTCAAATCCATAAGGGTGTTCCTCCAAGTATCCGAGTCAAAAATCTCCCAGATAAAATTGGTTGTTCACTGGAGGACTGTTTGTGGGCCATTGCTGTGTGCAAATTGCTGGTTGCCAATGCACAGTCGCTGCACTTTAAAGTGTATCCTGTAAAGCATTTTGAAACATCTTCCCAATGTGCAACGCTGTTATTAAATGTGAGGTGGATGATGATTATTATTTATTGTGGTGTGTCATCTCTTGCAGGACAACAGGGAAACCGTTCCATAATTTTATCTGCTGGCAGGATCTGAGGGCAGCCGAGCTTGTCCGATCGTGGAACAATTCATTCCTCCTTCAGGTAATCTTGGAGAATGATTCTTTCCATCATCCTTTCATTGTCAACCTGAACATAGGTCAAAATAGATTAAGATCTTCTTCTTTATCTGTGCCTTCAGTCTTCCTCCCCCCGCCCCTTGCCCTCCACCCCTCTTGATTCTGGACTGTGAAATCGTGAGTCGTAGTATTCACTTTTGTGAATGGTATTTGTGAATATCATCTTTGACCGTCTTCCCATTGCATCATCAAGCTGTATCGTCTGAAGGACGGCACCTCCCAACAGTGCAGAGCTCCTTTCTCCACCCGCCACCTCCCTCACAAAGACTATACTTCAAACACCCCACTAGAGTATCTCTGAGACTGAGTTCAGTGTCCCAACTTGGAGCTTAAAGCCACGACCTTTTGACTCCAAGGCGAGAGTGCACCAGGTATAATGTGGGTGAAAATGTAGCTGAGGATTGAACGGACTGACATTTGTCTGGTGAAGGGCGATGTGATGTGCGCTTGTGTCTGCCATAGAACAATTTGTTACTGACGCTTTTTCTTTGTTGCAGACGATTCACATGTCCAGCCGGATGCTACACTTTCTAACCAGACAGAAACGCTTCCTGGCCGCAAGTGTCATCAACTTCTCCACCCAGCACGTTTCTCTTCGCTTGGCCTGGGTGCTCCAAAACTTACAGCAGGTGAGAACAGTGCGCAGTCTGTGAGTTGCCGCGAGGTGAAAAGACTCAGTGAAGAGTTGCTCCGCTGTCGCTGGTGCAGTTGAAGTAAACTTGTGTTCGTGACGGCAACACAATGTCAAATCTTCTTCTTATTGGTTGGTAGACGGTCTTGAACATATAGGTCGGCCCCAGTATAACCAGTATAACAGTATAACAGTACAGTATAACAGTATAACGGAGCCTTGAGCTTTATAAAAAGGAACGTCACTCTGTCCAAAGTGACGGAAGTGACGGAGGTGTAACTCCTCTCCCATCCGGGTGTTATCCACTCTACAGTGAAGCGAACAATGACAAATTACATTTGTACAGCACCTTTCGTGTGGGTTGTACGTCCCAAGGTGATATCCAATGGGTCCTGATGTAGTACCGCAAAAACCACTCGAGTCGGCTCTTCATAAATCGTTTGATCACCTAAGTTGCCCATGCACTGAAGTCCCACTCAGTTTCCTACCGAAAAACACTCAAATTTCTTTCCATTAGCCGTAATTTATAAATCAGCAAAGGCCTAAATTGTAGTGGTTTCTTTGTCCCAAATAATCCTAAATCCTCTGCAAATCATCTCCTAACTCGTAACTCTGCTACCGCCTTTACCGGCTGCATTAAAGAAAACGTGTGCAGTGTTCCACTTAAAACAAGTGCGGGAAACAAAGTCTTGACCCATCACCGCTTGCGTAGGTATTGGGTTGCATTGAAGTACGTACACACTGCGTCTTAACCGGTCATCGCCTGTGCGCTTACCAGCTGCAGTGATGAAGTACTGCACGTGCAGTACAGTCCAGTGTACTCTGTTGCAACAAACCTAGAAAACAAAGTACATGTTTGCTGTTATATGTTAGTGGTATAAAATAGTTTTACTCCACTAGATTTTGGTCAGAACTTGCTGAATGTTGCAGCTCCCTCTGATGGCAGAAAGTGGTATTGTACAATTTTTGACTCGTCCTTGTGAGGGGTTTGAGCACAAGTTCCTCTTGGAACTGAACTGGATCCAAGGTGACGTGTTATGGAATGCTGGTTAAAGTCCAATGCACACTCTGGGGTCCCCATGCCTTGGCTCTTAGCAACCTGTGCCTCATGTTCTCCGGAATTAAGTAAGTAGGGTGCGTCCCTCGGGAGAGGAAGCAAAGTAAGACAGTGTGCATTCCTTTCCAAGCCCAGGAATTTCCATGTGTAGGTGGGATGCATGGAACGCTGTTTGGTCTGGAGCATGGTGATGGGTTGTTGTCAAAAAACCAGCCGGTCAAAAAAAATATTTGTCCTCTGTCAGCTAAACTTGGGTCCAGATGTTTGGCATTACTGTTCTATCCTTGGCATGTTTCACACTGGGGATAAGAAAGAACATCTCATCTCCTCCTCCCCCCCCCCCCCCAACCATTCTGTTATCTGCAACTTTCTTTATCGCAAACTTTTCTCTCCTGAAGATGCTGCTCATGCTGATATATGTACGCTTCCAGCAGCCTTTCAATACTTTGCTCAAAATAGTCATTCTTCATGTGTAGCACTCGTCAATGAGTGCCACTGGGCTATTTGACCAGGTACGCCTCTTATTGGTGAAACAGGAACCTTGGGCAAGTTTCCTTACTCCACATGCCTAATAATAATCCCTCCAAAAACAATAATAAATTGGTCATTTTTAATCTATGACTGTTTGTGGGACATTGCTGTGCGCAATTGGCTGCCGCGTTCGCCCACAAATATACAGTCAATTCACTTTACAGTGTGTTCTGTGAAGCGCTTTGGGACGTCCTCCTGACGTGAAAAGCGCTATATCAAATGCAAGGATTATTATTATTATTATCAGCACCTAAACCGTGCCCTTGTGTGTCTATGTAAGTAATTATAAAAATAGCAAACAGTCAAGTGTTAGATGCATTGTGTTGTAATTGCAAGTGTGCTGTGCTCTGATTCGATGCTCTGTGAAAGCAACGGAAATATCATCCGACAGGATGAGGAGGTGGAGCAATGGGTTGTGAGCAAATCATCTCACACTGGCTTTGCATATGAAGTGCTATTGCTACAGCAGTATTTGTAAGGCTGTGATACTGCCTGACTGACCCCCCCCCCCACCCGCCAGGCCCTACCACCACCCCATGCTACTGAAAAATTTGAATCCATCTAGGCATTTGCCTATCTCAGTTAATAGAACGCTCAACTCTGAGTGACAGGTTGTGGGTTCAAGCCCTAAGTCACGACTTTGAGCTCCCATCGAGGCTGACCCTCCAGTGTAGTACAAAGGGAGGGAATCCTGTCTCCTTCAGATGAGATGTTAATCTGAAGTCCCGTCTTCCTGTTCTGGTGGACGTTACTCACGGTGACGTTCGAAAAAAGAAGGCAGCTTCTCCCGGTGTCCTGGCCAACAATCCTCTAATTAAATTGGGCATTCACTTTATGGCTGTTTGTAGGATATCGCTGTGCACAAATTAGGAGCCATGTTTGCCTACAAACTACACAGTCACTCCATTTTACAGTAAATTCTGTGAATCGGTTTGAAATGTTTAACATCCTGATGAGGCACGATATCAAATGCAAGGAATTATCATTTATTTTTTATCTCTTTATAGGTCCAAGATGCTGCTTATGAAGGAAACTGCTGCTTTGGTACAATTGACACTTGGTTGCTGCACAAATTGACTGATGGTAAGGTTTAGTCATCTCAAGGCTTGATTATGGGAACTCCCTCTTCATCGGCCTTCCGAACGCTTCCTTTCACAAGCTGCAGATCATCCAAAACTGCACACACCAAGCTCCACGACCCCATCACTCCCACCCTCGTCCGACTCCACTGGCTCCCCATTCCCCGGAGGATCGAGTTCAAGATCCTCGACCTCACCTTTAAGGCCATCCATGGCCTTGCCCCCTCCTACCTCTCTGACCTACTGACTCCCTACCAACCTGCCCGCTCCCTCCATTCATCGGGCTCCGGCCTGCTCCATGTCTCCTGCCCGACCTGCCCTACCATCGGCGGCCGGGCTTTGAGCCTCTCTGCCCCCACACTCTGGAACTCCATCCCACGGTCCCTTCGCCTCGCTTCCTCCCTCGCATCCTTCAAGGCCGGTCTCAAGACCCTTCTCTTCGACCGTGCCTTTGGTCCCACCTCCCACCTCTCTGCCTTCCCTCATCCCCTACACCACCCCTCCCCATGCTCGGGCCCCAACAGCTGACTGTCAGCGCTTTGGCACATCCTCCCGACGTGAAAGGCGCTCTATAAATGTAATTTTGTTGTTAGTGGGAACTTGAAATTGAACACAAAGGGGATCATTTTTGCTCCAAATTTGCATCTGTTTAAATCCGCTTCTAACTTGAACATTCTATTATTCTGTATACATTACAATCCTTGCATTTGATATAGCGCCTTTATCAAGCCGTTGAGATGTCTCAAAGTGCTTCACAAGAATATATTAGGGACTCCACATTCTAATTCTCAGGAAATATTTTCCAACCTTGTAGGGTGACGTATAAAAGGTATGGCTGCTAAAAGTGAAGACTGAGCAGTTAATGAATGTCTATATGCTGCAAAATGACTCTCCTCATTCCAAGCACTAATCTGTAAACGAACCCATGAGAGCTTTTTAGAGGGGATTTGAATGATGTTTGCGAATGAGGGTGTGGGGAAAGGCAGGGGAATGGGACTCAATGGATAGCTCTTACATAGAGCTGGCGGTTCGTACATGATGGGACACATGCAGATTCAACTAGTGGAGACCTGCAGCTTAGTGGTTAGAGCACTCGCCTCGCAAGCGAAGGGGCCTGGATTTGATTCCCATGCAGGGCGAAACCTTAGACAAGTTTCCTTACTCCACATGCCTCTGTTTATGTAGCAGTAATAGGAACCTGGTTGTTTGTCAATTGGCGGATTGCTTTCTGGGGGTGGTAATCGCTTAAAAAAAATAAGAGATTGGTCACTCAATCCACGACTGTTTGTGGGACATTGTTGCGCACAATTGGCTGTGGCGTTTTGCTCACAAAATATACAGTCAAGTCAATTTACAGTATATTCTGTGAAGCGCTTTGAGACGTCTCGAAGAAGTGATAAGGATCTTATCAAATGCAAGGATTATTATTAAATGATTGCTTTGTTAGATTTCAACTGGCTGTTTTTGCAGTATTGCTTTTCTCTCTCTGGATGGTGCTTGTCATTACTGAATTCCACACAATAGCCAAATCTAATGATGAACTATTGCTATTATCTGCAAGCGCAGTCACTGCACTTTATAGTATTTTCTGTGAAACTTTTTGAGGTGTCCTTCCAATGTGAAAAGACATTATGTCAAATATAAGGATTATTATTTTACTCCCAGTTTACCTAGAGTTTGAATATGGTGTTTATTTGCTCAACATTTTTCATGTCAGTCTGGCTCAATTGGTAGCACTCTTGCCTCTGAGTTAGAAGGTTGTGGATTCAAGCCTCATGTCACGCCTAGAGACTCATCGTCTACGCTGACACTTCAATGCAGTGCTGGGGGTGTGCAACGTTTTGGAGGTGTCGTCCTTCAGATGAGACATTAAACTGAGCCCCCATCATGTGGACATTCATGATCTCATGGCATTATTGGAAAATAGAAGGGAGTTTCTCCTGGTGTCCTGGCCAACACTCCCCCAAATAAAACTGTTCATTCACTTCATGGCTGTTTGTAGGACATTGCTGTGTGAAAATTGGCTGCCACATTTTCCCACAAAATACAGTCAGTTCACTTTACAATATATTCAGTGAAGCGCAGTGAGATGTCTCAGCGATGTGATAAGGTGCTTGCTTTATCAATTGCAAGGATTTTTATTGTTAAAATCCTGTGAAGTGGCTTGAGACATCCTCCCGATGTGAATCAAAAGTAGGATTACTATTTTTGTTTGGCCATCAGTGAATGTAGTCAACAATGTATTAAACATTTCCATTGCAAAGTGTTCTGTATGTGATAGGTTTACAGACTTGTTCCCTTACAGGTGCAGTTTTTGCTACAGATTTCTCGAATGCAAGCACTACAGCAATGTTTGACCCTTTCCAGGTATTTAAATCCTGTTGTGCCTTTTTATTTTTATATATATATTATATATAGATGTGTTTATGTGTGTATATATATGTATATGTGTGTGTGTATATACATGTACATATAAGCTACATAAGATTTGTCTTTTAAACAGTTGTCTTATTGTGAAATGCAATAAAGTTTGCTGTTTGAACAAATGGGGGAATAGCTTACAGAATCATTGACTTCTTTCTGTGTTATAATGCAACAACAAAAAAATTACATTTGCATAGCGCCTTTCACGGCGGGAGGACGTCCTAAGGTGCTGGACAGACAGAGTTTTGGACCCGAGCTGGGGGTCGGGGAGGGTGGAGGGCTGGTAGGGGGGGGACGCAGGGAGACCGAAAGCACTGTAATACAACAACAACAACACTTGCCTAGCACCCTTCACGTTGGAAAGACGTCCCAGGGCGCTGGACAGTAATGGGTTTTTGGACCTGAGCTGGAAGTTGAGGTGGAGGGCTGGTGGGGTGGGCATTAGCAACTTGCAGAACTTGCAGCGATTCATATTTATCATTTTAGATGTGTTGGAGTGAATTCCTTGCCAGCATGCTCAGTTTTCCTTTATCTATCCTTCCTGCAGTAGAAGATACCAGGTAAAAACCCTTTGATCTTTGCAATTTTTCGATTTATCTGTGTGCTTCACTTACTCATTGCAGCACAGCTAAAATAATCGTGTGGCGTTTAGGACATGACTGATGTTTGTTTTTCCTTTGATAAAGTCCCTCCTAAGAGCTCTGGAATGCTCAAGGTCTAACTGGTGCATCTTTTGTGATAGAGAATTAACACAGTTGAACCTTGTTTAAACGGTGGTTGATGGTGTCCATAAAAGATTCCAGCTTTTCTTTTTGATGTAGCTGTCTGTTGTGGCTTCTGTATCATCATGCCACCGATGATGTGATCTGTGATATTGCTGCACATGCTCATAGACAGCTGGAAGGCTCCATCGACATGCAGTGAGCTTCAGATTGCATTGTATCACTGACGTTTTTNGAAACGCGGCAACGGATTGGGTTGGCGTGGTGTTGGGTTTGGGATGTTCAGCTAGGCAAGTATGAAGTCCACAATTCAAATCAGTTTGTAATGGAGCGTACTATAACGGGGTTCCACTGGGTATACTTTCACATTTAGAGGGAGTGTATACGTTTGTCACAATCATTTTTTTCCCTCTATCTCTCTCTGAAACCCTATGTCATTGGCAGGCTCATTCTCTTCTCAGTCTTTCAACACACAACCGCTTATCTCAAAGTTTCTGTTGGAAATCCCCCAAAATGAGCGTGTGCGCATGTTTTTTTTGTATTCGGTCCTTTCCACAATGGAAAAAGATGTTCATTTTATGCTATTGTGCAGAGCATCTAATTAAAATTATAGAAATTTACAGCGCAGAAGGAGGCTATTCAGCCCATCGCATCTGCAGATTAGAGCACTGGCAGACATTTTTTTTGATTACACTGAAGGCAGATGTTTGCCAGATGAGGAAACTGAGGCTTGGGGCGAAACTCAATTAATTAGAAAAATCTTTCTAAATCTTTAGAAAAATCTATAGATGTTTTAATATACCCAGTGGAGCCAGTGAAGTGGGGTTCCTGTCTTTTGGAAAGAAAGGAGTTTTATAGGAAGTTGTGAAATAGAGATATAATAGCTTCTTCATGCTTATGTTTGCACAGTGAGTGATATTTTCAGAGCATTTGACTGAAGGTGATTTTGGGCTGGAGTGAGAGAAGAGGATTGAAGCGACTGAGGATAAAGTTTTGAAATAACTTTTCTTTTAATATTTTAGTCACAACTTTGGTTTAACTGACTCCAGCATTTTTGGTGTATCCATTCCAATAACTGCTTTGGTGAGTATCGTGATACATTGAGTATTGTGTGTGTGGGGTGGTGGGGGCGCAGAGAATGGGGGTAATTGCAAACTTAATCTCTGATATGAAAATATATATATAGTTTAATATTTTTGTTCAGTATTGTTGATTCATACCAATGCTTGTAATGTATTGATTTACACTATTGTGTGTGTGGTGTACATATTAACGATATTCACCTCCTTGCAGGTCGCCGATCAGCAATCAGCCATGTTTGGAGAATGTTGCTTTGACATCGGAGATGTGAAGCTCACCATGGGGTCGGGCACTTTCCTGTCCATCAACACTGGAACCAAGCCTCATGCATCTGTGTCGGGTACAGAGGCAAATCTTAGTCTAATATCTCGCAAAATGGAAATCTGTATAATGCTGCGTGTCACCACTCCAAACGAGCAGTGATTATGTGACCACCCTTCAGTGCAGATGTTGTCGTACATAAACTAGCCAGGCTGTTAGTAGCCGGCATTACAGTAGCCATCAGGAGACTGAAACGGAATAAAACAGTTTCTGTGCATGTATGTATGAAAACTAATGCATGTGAGTGATGCTATTTCAGCGACTGTGATCCCGTTTCAGTTTGCTCCTCGGTTAGTTTCAGTACTTGAGCTTCTTTGTTGTGTTTGCTGCATTGCCTCTGTCTATTCTCTGACTTGCCTACATTCAGAGAGCCTTAACTGATCCTCACACTTGAAAGTAGAATTATAGAATCGACAGCACAGAAGGAGGTCATTCGGCCCATCGTGCCTGTGCTGGCTCTTTGAAAGAGCTACCAACTAGTCCCACTCCCCCATTCTTACCCCATACCCCTACATATGTTTCCTTTTCAAGTATCTATCTAATTCCCTTTTGAAAGCTCCTATCAAATCTGCTTCCACCACCCACTTATCCTCCCTACTCTTTTCTTTCTCTCTCTCTCTCTCTTCCTTCCCACTCACTTGAGTTAAAAATAGTTTTGGCTACCAATGGCCTTGAGGAGTTGGCCATATGTAATTGGAATGGTTGCCAGAGACTGAAATGTGTAATATTCCCACTGGTAAATGTTCATAGTTGCAGTCTGAAAACTGATGGTGTGTTTTATTCTCTTAGGCCTTTATCCGTTAGTGGCATGGAAAATTGGACCAGAGATTACGTATTTAGCAGAAGGAAACTCTGCTGATACGGGCATTGTGATCAAATGGGCAAAAGGACTGGGTAAGATTTTTTTTGTAACTTTGGTCTATTTTTCTCTCTCTTTCTTTCTCTCTCTCTCCTCTCGGAGTCTGAGCAAAAGCACCGATTTATTGAGCTGCTTAAATTAAATTGTGCTTGTGTACAGAATGTGTTTGGTGGTATCTTACAAAATAGATTGATTCTTTTCAAATGAAATCAAAATTGTTCCAGTATCCTATTTCTGTTTTGCCTTTTATTCCCACCCTTGTGTTTGCAAGGAAATTGCTCTTTCTCCTGTCCCCTTGGTTGTGACAGTTATTGAGCAACCCCGTCCCATTAGTCTGTCAGGCTGATGAATTGATGAATTTCACCCAGGAAAAAAATAGTCGCACAGTTTCATAGTATATCTTGTGAAGTGCTTGAAGATGACGCAGCAACGTTTGAGGAAGGATAATCAATGCAAGGATTATTATGAATGATAAATCATTCTGTATATATAAATCATGGACCAGTGCTTGTAACAAAGCTGCCCACGGGCTGTAATCCCTTGGAGTAGATTCAGAGAGAAGAGACTTTGCTGGATTGATTGCAATGTTTTTTTTCTTTTTGTCAATGTTTTTTTTCTTTTTGTCTGTTTTTTTATTTTTATCAACTCGCCCAGAAAATAGTCAATTCATTTTACAATATATTCTGTGAAAAGCTTTGAGACGTCTCAGTGACATGATAAAGCATTATATCTAATGCAAGGGTTATTATTATTCATTTTGGGCTTTTGCTAGGTTTCTTCTCTGATCCCAGTGAAACAGAAAAGATGGCTCAGGAGGTGCAGGATTCAGATGGTGTCTTTTTTGTCCCGTCGTTCAGTGGATTGCAGGTACGTTAGCAAATACCACAACACTCATTTGCTTCAATTTAATCTGTACTGAAAACAGTAGAAGGAGATGCATCTGACTGTCCACATTAGACTCCATTGCTGAAGTCCAATCCGGCTGTGACTCCAGCAAAAAGAATGAAATTTCTTGCTGCTTGTCCAGCTAGGACCACCCTAACTGTTAGGGCTTTCGTTTGCAAGGTTAATGGGAGCTGAGTGGGATGGGTCCCTGACCCCAGTGACCGCTCTGCCCTTCCAAGTCTTGCTGATGAGCCAGGCTGGCTGGGCTGTCATCATCAGTGCATTGGAGAACTGTAGATCTGCCTGGGTTAAATGTTCAGATCGAACAACTATTTATTAATGTGTGGGTCCGATTTGCAAAAGGATTTGCAGATGGCAATTCCTGGATGTGTCTGTCTGACTGCTTGAATGAGGGTCTTAGTTTTGACTCCCACATTATGTGAGAAGAGTTCCATTGTGTTGCGGAAATGTTACTCTCGCAGGCTTATAAGATACAGAATTTTGCTAGTCTGAAAAAATGTTTGAGTACAAAATTACAATGGCTGTTTCTAATAGGTTCAAAGTCAAGGATTAAGGGGTAAGGTAAGGAGCTGCAGACAAGGGGATAAGTTAGAATTGAGGACCATTGAAGTCTATTCTTAATCCACACAATAAAATGTAGTGAAAAATTGGGATTATTTGGTTGTGCCAAATTCTCTAATTCAAGGCAGATAATAACCAGACATTCTTAAAAAAAAACAAGGACCCTCACAGATCAAAATACCAAGGACAGCTGCAATGTGATGTGTGCACCTCAATAATGCCGCCCACCGCACTGTCAGTTCCAGGAACGCGTGCACATTGCGATGCAGGGACATTCCCAAGAGCCAACCAGCTGTACTGATATCGCATTGGGCATGCACACATTCCCCGGAACCAGCGTGAGCGCACACCGTTGACTCTCCACTATCACTGAATAACAAGTGGTGTTTACTGGGGTAAATCGGATTAAAGCAGAGTTTGATGGTCCTTGTATATAATGTGAAATAGCTTTTTTGCACCTGTACTAGGCAACAATCCCGCAGATAAAACTGGTCCAAGCGGGATGTTGCTGCGTGCAAATTGGCTGCTGCATTTGTACACAAGGTATACAGTTACTCCATTTTATAAGATATCCTGTGAAATGTTTTGGGACATCCTCCTGATGTGAAAGGCACTGTACCAAATGAAATGATTATTATTCCAGCATGGACCTTTTTGTGTGGGTTATAATCAAATTTCATTTTTGAGCCAGTGGAAAGGAGTTGAGGGAGAGATGAGGGGGAAGCAAAAAGGAAGGAGAATAGGATGGTTGCAACATTAAAGCTTTACCTAGCAACCCGGTTGGACCCCTCTTCTGCTCTCACCCTCCTCCACAACACCCTCTCCTCCTCACTTGACACTCTTGCCCCCATCACCTCCCGTACTGTCTCCTACTCTCGCTCCTCCCCCTGGTTCATCACCCACCTCCGCTCACTGAAGACCGAAGTGCGGACTGCTGAACGCACCTGGGTCAAATCTGGCCTAACGGTCCAGCGACAAATCTGGCTGGACCTCCTCAAAATCTACCGCTCCACTCTAGCCTCGGCCAAATCGTCCTTCTACTCCAGGATAATCCTGGAGGCGAAGGACAACCCCAGGCTACTCTACTCCACCACATCCCAACTCCTCCGTCCCCCCAGCCACCCCGCGCAGGTCATCTCCTCCAACCTTTACTGCGAGGAGATGCTGGATTTCCTTGAATCCAAAATCAAGGGAATTCGCTCCGCGGTCACTTCCCCTCCAACATCCACCCACCACCCACCCCTTCCCTCCCACACTCCGACTCCTACCCATCCTCCCCTACACACTTTCGTACCCGTTTCCCCACCCTCTGTCACCAAACTCATCCTATCCCTGAAACCCACCACCTGCTCCCTTGACCCCATCCCCACTCCACTCCTTATCTCCCAGCTCCACCTCCTTGCCCCACATATCACAGACATCGTCAACCTGTCCCTCTCCTCTGGCTCTGTTCCCATTCCCTTAAAAACTGCCACCATCACTCCCACCTTGAAAAAACCCTCCCTTGATGCGTCGCAGCTATCAAGCTACCGGCCCATCTCCAACCTCCCCTTCCTGTCCAAGGTCCTGGAACGAGTTGTCGCCTCCCAGCTGCGCTCTTTCCTCTCCAACCATTCACTATTCGAACCCCTTCAGTCGGGTTTCCGTGCTGCCCATAGCACAGAAACTGCCCTGGTCAAGGTCACCAATGACATCCTGACCATCTGTGACCAGGGCTCCCTCTGCCTCCTCGTCCTCCTCGACCTATCGGCAGCATTCGATACGGTCGACCATGCTATCCTCCTCCACCGCCGTCCTCCCACCTAAACCTTCAAGGCCCTGTCCTTGATTGGTTTAGGTCGTACCTCTCCCACCGTCTTCATTTTGTTTCTACCAACGGCTTTTCCTCCAGCCCCCGCACTGTCTCGTGCGGTGTCCCTCAAGGCTCTGTCCTCGGTCCCCTCCTATTCATCCTCTATATGCTCCCCCTTGGTGACATCATCCGCAGACATGGGGTTAACTTCCACATGTATGCGGATGACACCCAACTCTACCTTTCCTCCTCTACCCTCAACTCCACGACCACCGATGTCCTGACAGCTGCCTCTCCGACATCGAGTCCTGGACGAGAGAGAACTTTCTCCAGCTCAATGTGCGTAAAACTGAGGCCCTCCTGATTGGCTCACGTCAGCGCCTCCGCACCTCAGGCGCTGACAGCATCAGCATCCAAGGCTGCACTCTCCACCTCTCAAAGCCAGTCAGGAACCTCGGTGTTCTGTTCGACCCTGAGCTGTCCTTTCTCCCTCATATCCGCGCCACAACTGGCACCGCCTTCCATCACCTCCGGAATGTCGCCAGACTACGGCACTACCTCACCCCTCACGCTGCTGAAACTCTGGTCCACGCCTTTATCACCTCAAGGCTGGACTATGGGAACTCTCTCCTCGCCGGCCTTCCCGCCACCTCCCTCCACAAGCTGCAGGTCATTCAGAACTCTGCAGCTCGTGTACTGTCCCGCACCAGGCTTCGGACCACATCACTCCCACCCTCGCTCGCCTCCACTGGCTCCCCATCCCTTAGAGGATCGAATTCTAGATCCTCATCCTCACCTACAAGGCCATTCACGGCATTGCTCCCTCCTACCTCTCCAACCTACTATCCCCCTACCTACCCGCCCATACCCTCCGTTCCTCTGGCTCCGGTCTACTGCACATCCCCCGCCCCAACCGCCCTACCATCGGTGGACGGGCCTTCAGCCTCTCAGCCCCTAGGCTCTGGAACTCTATCCCCCAGTGCCTTCGCCTTGCCTCCTCCCTTTCCTCCTTCAAGGCCAGTCTCGAGACCTTTCTCTTTGACCGTGCCTTCAGCTCCCCTCTCGACTCTCTACCCCCTCCTCGCTCCCTCCCTTCCCTCCCCTCACCCTGACCATTTCCCCCTTGCTTGGGTCCTGACCCAACTGTACAGCGCCTTGGGACGTCCTCCCGACGTGAAAGGCGCTCAATAAATGGAATCTTGTTGTTGTTGTATATTGTAAAGTAGGAATCCAGTTGTTAGTCGATTGATGAATCGCTTTCCGGGAGCAATGATCCCTTCCAATAAATGGGACACTCAATCCTCGACTGTTTGTGGAACACTGCTGTGCACAATTGGCTGCCGTCTTTCACCCACAAAATATACTGTCAATTCACTCTACAAGTGGATGCTGGATCCATTCAAATTTTCAAGACTAAGGTGGATAGATTCCTGTTAAATGAAGATATCAAGGGTTATGGGGCAACGGCAGGTAATTGGACTTGAGATACAGATCAGCCATGATCTTATAGAATAGCTCGAGGAGCTGAATGGCCTACGTTCCAAACCTCCCAACATGAAAGGCACTATATCAAATACAAGGATTATTATTTGCTCTAAATGTACTTGTATTTGTCTGCTTTTTTTAAAAAAAAGTCTTTGTATAAATTGTTTCCTCGTCAGGTTCCTGTGAATGATCCTTATGCCTGTGCATCGTTTATGGGACTGAAGCCTTCAACAACCAAAAATCATCTAATCCGAGCAATACTTGAGTCCATAGCATTCAGGTATAGAAAAGTGGGTTAGTAAAGCTGGGAGGGAGTAGCATTCCACTGTCTGTCTAACATTGTGTCAGCCTGAGTCAGTTAAGTAGCACTCTCACCTCCAAGTCAGATGTTTGTGGGTGCAAGCCGCACATCAGGACTTAGAATTCATAGAGTCTAAGATGACACTCTTATGCAGTGCTGGGGGTGCTCTGCATCATTGGAGGTGACAACAACAACTAAATTACATTTAAAGAGCGCCTTTCACATCGGGAGGACGTCCAAAAGCGCTGTACAATCAGATGTTGGGGCCCGAGCATGGGGCAGGGGTGGTGGGAAGGCAGAGAGGTGGGAGGAAGACCAAAGCCATGGACGAAAAGAAGAGTCTTGAGTCCGGCCTTGAAGGATGCAAGGGAGGAAGTTAGGCGAAGGACCGTGGGATGGAGCTCCAGAGTGAGATGTTAAACTGAGGCCCTGTCATTGCCTGTTCAGGTGGACTTTAAAAATCCTTCCTACCTGAAGGAAGAAGGGAGTTTCTTTCTCTTGGTGCCTTGGCCAACAATTCCCCCCACCACCCTCCCCAAATAACATTGGTCATTCACTTCATGGCTGTTTGTGGGGACATTGTTGGGTGAAAATTGGCTGCCACATTCACCTACAAAACAGTCACTGTACTTTACGATATATTCTGTGAAGTCTTTGGGATGTCCTCCCGATGTGAAAGGCGCTGTACCAAATATACCATGGGGTCTCTATGATTAGACTGTCCCTGATTTGCTAAAATCTTACCCATTTGCTAATGGCATGACCCTAGCAGCCTGACTCGCTGTCTGCTTTGTTATTGCTATTATTATTATTATTTCCTCTCATCTTGGTTAAGATTGGATTCCAATACCATCCTGTGCCTGTGGAGCAGTATCTGTGCTGCCATCTTTCCTCTTGCACATAATTTGCTAACTCTCACTCGTATTGATATAAGTCCTTTTACTGTTTCCTTCTAGGAACAAACAACTGTACACCACAATGCTGAAAGAAACACAAATTCCTGTGACCTACGTCAGGTACGTTGACTAAGTGTCTGTTTGCTGTGGCTTCCAATTCTCTAATGAAAGGGGGAGAGCAGAAGAAATAAGGAGAATGAAGAGAGAAAAATATAAGCTTTTGCTTTGAACTCCAGAATACTCTCCCTCTATCCCACTGCCTTATCCCCTCCTTCCCCATTTTCAGCCTGAAGAGCTTCCTCTTTGGCCGTACCTAGAGTCACCTTCCCCTCAGCTTGGTGTTGTGCTCCACCACTGTCAAGCGCTCTCGGATGCTATGTAAATGCAAGCTGTTGTTGAGCTACTGCAATGCAATAAGTACACTACCTTTTTCTCTAATGTGGACGACAGCTCGGCTGAATGTTTGACATAATGGCTGTTCTTTGATCGTGAGCACTCTTTCCATTCTGATTTGAAATGTTTGCCATGTTACACACAGGGCAGATGGAGGCATAAGCAACAATGGATTTGTCATGCAGCTCACTTCAGATCTACTCACCTGTAAAATCGAGAAACCTCAATGTTCAGATATGTCCAGTCTGGGGGCAGCATTTTTAGCTGGTCTCGCAATCGGTATGTCAAAAATAGTATTTATTTCTTTGTATAAGCAGGGTCTTGCCAGCCTGCATCTGGTTCAATTGGTAGCGCTCTTGCCTCTCAGTCCAAAGGTTGTGGGTTCAAACCCCACGTTAGGATTTTGAACTCGATCTAGGCTGATACCTCAATGCTGGGGAGACCTATGTTCAGGGATTGATTGTAAGTAGACAGAGTTTAAGGGCTGTTTTTCTCAGCCCCAATGATATTTTCCCCCTCTGCATTACCTTTAATTGATTTGTGTTGCAGGGTTCTGGGACAGCAAAGCAGAGGTGAAGAAACTAAGAATGGTGGAAAAGGTTTACAACCCTCGAGATGCCCTGCCAGTCTACGACCTAATCGTAGATAAGTGGGAAAAGGCCATCAAACGTTCCATGCATTGGTATTGCCAAACGTAAAAGCAGGAATAGGGGAACTTTGATGTTCCTGAAGTTTTACTTGAATAAGACACAACAGTGACCTCCCAAGTTTTCATTCTCTTTTGTAGATGTTCCAAATACGGTTCCCTTTTGTTTTATATTAAAAAAAAGTACTCTCCCTTAAATAACACTCACCACAATGAGGTGAACGGTTGCCATGATTTTCAAATGTGTCGTAGGTTTTGGGGGTGAATGCAATCCTTTTGTACCATAAAACTATTCAGTGCCTATAGCAAAAGGGGCCAATATCTAAGACAATGTAGGACATTGTGACTTCCTACTGGTCCTAGCATTCCAGGGTACTTGTATGCAACAACCCAGTAAAACTGGCCACATTTATTTCAATCCAGCAGGAGCTGAAAATTTTTGACCTGCATTGTTGAGCCTTGATCAATTGACCGGGTGATTTGGTGCCCAGCTGCCCTCTATCATTAGTAATATTCCAGATCAATATTTTGAAAGAATTAAGAGTTTTAGAACAAATTACACTGTCTATTATTAACAGCCAACCAAAGTAAACTCTGCAGAATGATCAACTACAAAACACCGGTGTGTGCCTTATTAGTTTTTTTATTGAACTTATTTCCATTAAAAAAAACACGTTTAACCTCCATTATATGTCAAAATTGTAAAGCAGTGTTTTTATAGACTGATGGGTGAAAAGTGTCAGGGTAGATGAACCGTTTTCATTCAGATGGGTTTTAAATACACTACTATGACTCAATAAGTTAACCAACCTCTTTTTACATAACCTGGGCCATGTTTTGCGCTTGCTACTTTCACATTGACAGAACTTTAGAATGTCCTCATCTCATTGAAGTCGTTTTCAAAATTGTTGAACTCCAGCTTCCTGGGAAATTGCATCACTGAAATATTGATGTAAATTTATGGGGGTGTTACAAAATTGAGTTATGATACTTCTTTGAAGCACTGAACTAACCATTCACACTTGACCGATGCCTGTTTCTGACCAATAACACATAGAAGATGTTTTTTGGTTTATTTAGGGTCCTGACCTAACCACAATGTGGAATTTCACTAAACTTTTGTGTTTACAGTGGATCCTTAAAAGGACCTTTTGGTGGATGGGGAGGGTGGCAGGGGGGCAGAGAAGGAGGAGTGTGTTGTGATGCAGCACAAAAGCCAATCATTCTTTGCCTGCAGAAGACCCATGTGGATTCAAATCCCTGTGCTATGAATTGTGCTATTTCTGATCATTGGGCTGGTGCCTGAGCAAATGTTGGGCAGTGTCAGAGGGAAAGGTTGGAACGCTGCTCAGGCTGGATTGAAGCTTTCCTCTCTAATGTGTGAGGTGCCTAATCTTTTGCCCCACACTTTCCTGATGACTTGGGTACGTGAGATCAGACTCTGATGCAATATTTTTGATTTTACGCGGTTAACTTTTGGTTGAGCAAAACCATTGTTGTGCTGCTCTGTCGGGTTTCGCTGCTAGTCATGGCCTCGGACACATTGCCTGTTTGTGCGGGGAAATAATGTGCAGAACAGTTATAAAGGCCAAAAGAGAATAACTTCATTCCCTCAATGGTCACAGTATTGAATTGATAGGGGATGTATTCACCTGAATGTTGGCAAAAATGGACACTGTGCAGGTAGTGACCAGACCTTTCTTGTGCGTGCATGTGAGTGTTGGGAAGGGGGAGCTTTAAACGCACAGGATGTGCTATCCAAAATGCTGCGTATTTGTGATGTCAACCAAATAAACATTGTGCAAAAATAGTCTTGACCCGTAATTTTATTCATATCTTAAAAGCTCATAAGCAAGGAATGAGGCCAGTTCAGCGTCCACTTTGTGAAGGTCCGGTGAATGCAATTTACCCCGAAAGCTGCATTTTGTTTCCGCCGGGTCTGCTGAAAATGAACACTCGTTTCCAAATGTGGATCTGATGTCCTTGTAGAAAAATGTACTCATTTTGAGAAGTTGGATCTCATCCGGTTGGTGGGTTGGAACTGTCACAGACGGGCACTGCAACATTACCTGTCGGATCATTTTGTAAATGTAAAATCATGATTGTCATTTGGTGGAATCCACCCGCAATTTAAGATCACATTTTATTTTGTAGGATGAAACCTTTGGGGGTTTTGGAATAAGAATGATACCTGTACTTCTGCTTTGTTTGTTTGTTTAATAAATATTTACCACTTTCAGTATAAAATGCACCATTTCTTCCCAGTGGAGTGGCTTTCTCGACCTCATTCTCGCCTTTGAACCTCAAATCTCTGGAATTTCTTTCCTCCCAATCCAGTCCTCCACCTTCAGAGGCTTTTTAACCATTCATAATGAACAAAGAAAAGATCAAATTAAAAGAATGCAAAACAATCCCATCACATTTGCATCTCGCCCATCAATGCGGTTCGTCCGGAGGAAATTGCACATCGAATCTATTCGAACTTAGTGCCCGTTCCGTCCTCACGGATTGGGATAACTCGTTCTGCCGGCAACTTGAGTAAGAGGCTTCTTTCCCCTCAGCGAGGGGAATCTCTCCTACTGACAACAGGTTGGTCGAGGGGAGAACTTCAGGCTGGGCTCCTCGTCGCTGCATTCTTTAAGCTTCCCGTTTCTTTGTACGTCTCTCTCTTCTCTGCGTCCTTTCTCGCCGCGTGACTCTGTATCTCTACCCTGCTCCGTGCCCTTCCTCGTGAGCGTTTGTTTCTCTCCCGCGCTCCTCCGCAGTGTGCAGAGTCTGCGGAGAGGGCGACTCTCTTCCCCCTCTTTGCCCTTTCTCATTGTGTGTGTGTGTTGTGTGTGTGTGTACTGTCTGTGCAGTGTAGTCTGTGTATGTGTGTAAATATACAGTACTATATACCACACACAGTATTGCTACATTTGGGCTTCATTCACTATAACAATCACTATAACAATCGACCCACAACCCCTTAATCCCCTGTCACACAGACGACCCCCACACTGACCCCCTTTACACTGACCCCCCCACACTGACCCCTTTTACACTGACCCCCCCCACACTGACCCCTTTACACTGACCCCCCACACTGACCCCCTTTACACTGACCCCTTTATACTGACCCCCCCCACACTGACCCCCCCACTCACACTGACCCCCCCCACACACTGACCCCTTTACACTGATCCCTCCACACTGCCCCCCCCCCACACTGACGCCCCACACTGACCCCCTTTACACTGACCCCCCTTTACACTGCCCCCCCCCACACTGACCCCCTTTACACTGACCCCTCACACTGATCCCCCACACTGACCCCCCCCCACACTGACCCCCTTTACACTGACGCCCTCCACACTGACCCCTCCCACACTGACTCCCCCCCCCACACTGACCCCTTTACACTGACGCCCCCCACACTGACCCCCCACACTGACCCCCCTTTACACTGACCCCCTTCCACACTGACTCCCTCCCACACTGACCCCCCCCACACTGACCCCTTTACACTGACCCCCCCCCACACTGACCCCCTTTACACTGACCCCCCACACTGACCCCCTTTACACTGACCCCCCACACTGACCCCCCCCAACCTGACCCCCTCACACTGATCCCCCCCACACTGACCCCCCACACTGACCGCCTCACACTGACCCCCCCCCACACTGACCCCCCACACTGACCCCCCCCACACTGACCCCTTTACACTGACCCCCCTTTACACTGACCCCTCACACTGATCCCCCACACTGACCCCCCCACACTGACCCCCCCCCCCACACTGACCCCCTTTACCACTGACGCCCCCCCACACTGACCCCCTTTACACTGACGCCCCCCACACTGACCCCCCCACACTGACCCCCCCACACTGACCCCTCACACTGACCCCCCACACTGACCCCCCCACACTGACCCCCTTTACACTGACCCCCCACACTGACCCCCCACACTGACCCCCCTTTACACTGACCCCCCCCACACTGACCCCCTTTACACTGACCCCCCCACACTGATCCCCTCACACTGACCCCCCACACTGACCCCTTTACACTGACCCCTCTACACAGACCCCCCCACACTGACCCCCTTTACACTGACCCCCCACACTGACCCCCTCACACTGACCCCCCCCACACTGACCCCTTTACACTGACCCCCTCACACTGACCCCCACACTGACCCCGCACACTGACCCCTCCCCTCACACTGACCCCCCCACACTGACCCCCTCACACTGACCCCCCACACTGACCCCCTTTACACTGACCCCCCACACTGACCCCCTCACACTGACCCCCCCACACTGACCCCCTTTACACTGACACCCCACACTGACCCCCCCCCCCACACTGACCCCCCACACTGATCCCCTCACACTGACCCCCCCCACACTGACCCCCTTTACACTGACCCCCCACACTGACCCCCTTTACACTGACCCCCCACACTGACCCCCTTTACACTGACCCCCCCACACTGACCCCCCCACACTGACCCCCTTTACACTGACCCCCCCACACTGACCCCCCCCCACACTGACCCCCTTTACACTGACCCCCACACTGACCCCCCCACACTGACCCCCTCACACTGACCCCCTCACCCTGACCCCCTTTACACTGATCCCCCCCACACTGACCCCTTTACACTGACCCCCCCCACACTGACCCCCTTTACACTGACCCCCTCACACTGACCCCCTCACACACTGACCCCCTCACACTGACCCCCTCACACTGACCCCCTCACACTGACCCCCTCACACTGACCCCCCCCACACTGACCCCCCTTACACTGACCCCCTCACACTGACCCCCTTTACACTGACCCCCCCACACTGACCCCCTTTACACTGACCCCCCCACACTGACCCCCTTTACACTGACCCCCCACACTGACCCCCCCACACTGACCCCCTTTACACTGACCCCCCCCCCCCCACACTGACCCCCCACACTGACCCCCTTTACACTGACCCCCTTTACACTGACCCCCACACTGACCCCTCACACTGACCCCCCACACTGACCCCCTTTACACTGACCCCCCACACTGACCCCCACACTGACCCCCCCACACTGACCCCGACACTGACCCCCACACTGACCCCCACACTGACCCCCTTTACACTGACCCCCCACACTGACCCCCCACACTGACCCCCTTTACACTGACCCCCCACACTGACCCCCCACACTGACCCCCCACACTGACCCCCACACTGACCCCCCCCCCCCCACACTGACCCCCTCACACTGACCCCCCACACTGACCCCCTCACACTGACCCCCCACACTGACCCCCTTTACACTGACCCCCCCACACTGACCCCCTCACACTGACCCCCTTTACACTGACCCCCCCCACACTGACCCCCTCACACTGACCCCCTTTACACTGACCCCCCAACACTGACCCCCTCACACTGACCCCCTTTACACTGACCCCCCAACACTGACCCCCTCACACTGACCCCTTTACACTGACCCCCCAACACTGACCCCCTCACACTGACCCCTTTACACTGACCCCCCCACACTGACCCCTCACACTGACCCCCCCCACACTGACCCCTCACACTGACCCCTCCCCCCACACTGACCCCTCCCCTCACACTGACCCCTCACACTGACCCCCCCACACTGACCCCCTTTACACTGACCCCCCCACACTGACCCCTCACACTGACCCCCTCACACTGACCCCCCACACTGACCCCCTCACACTGACCCCTTTACACTGACCCCTCACACTGACCCCCTCACACTGACCCCTCCACTCACACTGACCCCTCACACTGACCCCCCCACACTGACCCCTTTACACTGACCCCCCCACACTGACCCCCCACACTGACCCCCCACAGACCCCCTCACACTGACCCCCTCACACTGACCCCCCCACACTGACCCCTTTACACTGACCCCCCCACAGACCCCCTCACACTGACCCCCCCACACTGACCCCTTTACACTGACCCCCTCACACTGACCCCTTTACACTGACCCCCCCACACTGACCCCCTCACACTGACCCCTCACACTGACCCCTTTACACTGACCCCTCACACTGACCCCTCACACTGACCCCCTCACACTGACCCCCCACACTGACCCCCTCACACTGACCCCTCACACTGACCCCCTCAGGGCCGCTAATCTCCGCCTCTCAGCCGGTGGGAAGGTTGGGGGTGAGGGGGGAGTTCACACGTTTCTATTGGCTGCCGCTCCCCCCCCACACCCCCCCCACACCCCCCCCCTTGGCCTCTGCTCCCCGGCGGCGGCGGCGGCAGCGGCAGCGGCTCCACTGACAGCCCCGACATCAGCCCCGACAGCGGCCCACAGGCCCCGACACAGCACAGCCACAGCCACAGCACAGTCAGGGGAGATGGTGAGTGAGGGAGAGAGGGTGAGGGAGAGAGAGAGGGAGGGAGGGAGGGAGAGGGAGTGAGGGAGTAAAAAGTCTGAGAGAGAAAGAGAAAGAGAGTGAAAGGGTAAACGGAGGACAGGAAGAGTGAGTAGGAATGGATTGGGGAGTGAGGGAGAGAGTAAAAGAGTGAAGAGTGAAGAGAGAGAGAGAGAGAGAGAGAAAATGAATGAGAAAGTGAGTGAGTGAGTGAAAGAGTGAAGAGAGAGAAAGAGAAAATGAATGAGAAAGAGCGAGTGAGTGAGTGAGTGAAAGAGTGAAGAGAGAGAGAAAATGAATGAGAAAGAGTGAGTGAGTAAAAGAGTGAAGAGAGAGAGAGAGAAAATGAATGAGAAAGAGCGAGTGAGTGAGTGAAAGAGTGAAGAGAGAGAGAGAGAGAGAAAATGAATGAGAAAGAGTGAGTGAGTGAGTGAGTGAAAGAGTGAAGAGAGAGAGAAAATGAATGAGAAAGAGTGAGTGAGTGAAAGAGTGAAGAGAGAGAAAGAGAAAATGAATGAGAAAGAGCGAGTGAGTGAGTGAGTGAGTGAAGAGAGAGAAAGAGAAAATGAATGAGAAAGATTGAGTGAATGAGTAAAAGAGTGAAGAGAGAAAGAGAAAATGAATGAGAAAGAGTGAGTGAGAGAGTAAATGTCAGTGAGTGAAAGAGAAAGAGAGTGAAAGAGTAAAAGGGAGGAAAGGAAGTGTGAGTAAGAATGGATCGGGGAGGGAGAGAGAGTGTGAGTGAGTAAAAGAGTGAAGAGAGAGAGAAAGAGGAAATGAATGAGAGTGAGTGAGTGAGTAAATGTCAGTGAGTGAAAGAGAAAGAGAGTGAAAAGGTAAAAGAGGAAGAGTGAGTAAGAATGGATTGGGGAGTGAGTGAGTGAGTGAGTAAAAGAGTGAAGGGGTGGGAGAGTGAAAGAGAGATAGAGGGAGAGAGAGAGAGAGAGAGAATGAAGGAGTGGAGTAGGAGAATGAGTCAAAGAGAGTGAGTGAGTGAGTGAGTGAAAGAGAGAAATGACAAAATATAAAATCAATTCACTTTACAGCGTATCCCGTGAAGCGCTTTGAGACGTCTCGGAGACGTGATAAGGCGCCATAACGAACGCAAGGATTATTATAATAGATTAAAAGTGAGTTGAAAGAGAGAGAGAGAGAGAGAGAGAGAGAGAACGATAGTGAACGAGTCAGTAAAGGAGTGGGAGAGTGAGCGCCAGAGAGTTCAGAGTGTGCGAAGGAGTGAAAGAGAGAAAAACGGACGGGCATTATCTGTGGTAGAAACATGCACAGAGTCGCCACAGGTTTAAGCAGAGAGTTAACTATTAACCTCATCCCTTCTACTTTTTGTTTCTGTTTACCCGGAAAAAAATTGCTTCCAACTTTTATTGTGACCTGAGTACATCGATGGGCCTGGTCTGATCCGTCTTTGAGATTAAATGTCTATAAAAGTTCCTCTTTCTCTCTCTCTCTCTCTCTTTCTCTCTCTCCCCCCCACCCCTACCCCCCTCGTCCTTGTTACAGTGACTGTTTTTAACGTGTGCAATGCATGTGTTTTATTTAACGAGCTGCCCTGGTAACCAGAGGGTTAGGAAAGTTGCTCTCCACTGCAAAGTTGAAGGGCAGAGGAGTGGTGTGTGTTAGTGACTAGACTGTCACTTACTGGACAGCCGGTGAGTTATCTCTCGTGTTGCCTGATCACTGCCGTCCGTGTGTTTAAGGGTCTGTTTGTATTTTGCCTCCAATGAAGGAGCTCGCTACACGGCATCAGTGGGCAAGAGATTTTCTTCGGTAAGGGGTGTGGGGGCTGGAGCGAAGAAACCAAACTGAAATTCAGCTGACATTTGTGGGTCACTGCTGTGAGCAATTGGCTGTTGTGTTTTGCCCACAAAATGTACAGTTTCCTTTGCAGTATATTCGGTGAAGCACTATAAGACGTCTTGAAGACGTGATAAGGCGCTATATCAATTGCAAGGATTATCTCTCTCTCCCCCCCACCGCCCCCCCGCCCGCCCCCCCCCCCCCACCGATCTCTTGCTATTTCTGCTTGATCTGTCTTTTCCTGACCTCCCACAATTACAACACTTTACGGTATATCCCATGAAACGCTTTGAGACATCCTCCCGATGTGAAAGGCGCTACATCAAATCCAAGGATTCATTGCATTATCTCTCTCTTTTTTCCAAAAAAAAGTTTAAATGATGGATTGAGTTGCAAATGACTGAGACTTGCAAGGCAGATGATTTGCTCGGCTTTGAAAAGTGAACACGTCTTTACTTTAAGAAAAATCCAAATATGTGAAATTCAATACTAAAAATTCCTGTGTGTCGAGTACTTTTTTTTTTGTCTTCCTGACACACCCAGGAATCGGAGAAACTTTCTTGTGAGCTATCGAGAGCCATTGTTTCTTCTAGATATGAACGCATTGGAATAAGAACAAGCTTTCTGATAATGTGATTCTGGTCCATTTAATTCTCATTGACCTGATGCAAAAGGAATTGCGGTGGAACTAAAGTGAGTGGTTTGAAGTTTGTGCTCTCCGGTTGTCAGTGTGTGTGGGTAACAGAATTGAAGTCTGCGCTTGGCAGATGGTAAGAGGAAGGAAGGCAGAGTTGGTTTTATTTATGAAAGCTGCTGGGAGTGGCTTGCAACCCCTCTTTTCATCACCGAGGCCTCTTAAGCAGAGACTGTGCCTCATTGTCACGCACAATATGTACAGTACCCGAGTCCAAAACACAGCTGTCACGTCTCGAGCAATCTGGGGCAGATCTTACTCTGGTTCATTGAGGTAGATTATGCACTTTTGTATTGACCTAATTGAATGTGGCTTCATATTAATCTTATTAAAAGGATAATAATATAACAGTCCTCACATTTGGCATAGAGCCTTTCGTGTCGAGAGGATGTCTCGGAGTGTTTCGCAGCATGCCCTGTAAAGTATTTCTATTTTAATGTGTATTTTGGAAGTGAACACGGCAGGCAGTTTGCGCTCAGCAATGTCCCATCAAATAGCCATCAAACTATTTTTATCTAGTGAAATTGATGGCCAGGATACCGGGAGAAACTCCCTTTCCTTTTCAAATGGTACATTTGCTTTTTTACCATTTAGTGGTAAAAAAATAAAAATACAATATAAAAATTAATATAGAAATACTCTACTTTCGAGTATTAGTATTAGGTTACGATTTCACTCTTCATGAAAATAAAGGAAATTGTTTAATGGAGCGTTGCATCGATATCTGGGGTTGAATCTCCTGCTCTAGCACTCCTGACTGTCGGAAAGAGCCTGTTGATCTGTCTGGTCTTTGATTGCCCATGACTGCTTGTCCCTAGCCTACATTGACTTTTCCTGGATAAAACTATGAAGAAGGCTTCACGATTTAAACCTTCCGTTTTTTAAATTGTGCGTTGCATCAATATCAAGCACTAAATAGTCCCTTTTCTGTGCAACCCCCAAACTAGCTGACAAATGCATTGGTGATTCTGTCGGAAGCACCACTGGGTCAGCCATCCTCTGCATGGGTAATAATAATAATAATAATAATAATAATAATAATAATCCCTGCATTTAACATAGCACTTTATCACGTTGTCAAAACATCGCAAAGTGCTTTACATATTTGTAGGTGAACGCAGCAGCTAATTTGCATACAGCTATGTGCCCCTAATCGCCATCAAGTGAGTGACCAATTTTATCTGGGGGGGGTGGGGGGGAGATTGTTGGCCAGGACTCTGGGAGAAGCTCCCTTCTCTTTTTGAGTAGACCCATGGAAGCTTGAACGTCCACCTGAACAGTCAACGTGAACTCAAACCCGGACGTGGGGCTTGAACTCGCAACCCGCTGACTCCGAGGTGAGAGTGCTACCGATTGAGCCTGGCTGACAGGTTGCTGTAAATAGAGTGTTATTGGTGTGGGGGAAATGCACAGCACCTAATCAGAACATGTGACAATGCAACATGTTTTTTTTTACCTGCACCTGTGGGAATTATATTAGCGCTATCTTCCATTGACGATGCTGAATAAATGCGTCCTATCGCGTGAAGTGAGATGAGACCTTAATGGCACAAAGTGGCTGTCGCATTCCCCCACAAATACAGCCACTGCATTTGTCAGTGATTGCCTGTGAAGCGTTTTGAGGTGTTTTGACGTGATGAAGCCCTCCCGTAAAATGCACGCTCTTTCTTCACCTTGAATATACAGCTCAGAGCTGATTTACGGTCCCGTTGAGTTTGCGTTTAGGACTAGAAGCTGCATTTGAGGGCCATTTGAACCCTTCCTGTGATATCTGCTGTGCTGCCTTCAGGGAGCCAAACGGAAGCATTCCCGACCCTCGATTGAATGCTCTGTATTGACGATGCTCGGAGGAAAAGAAAGGTCGTGTGAGAAGATTCCACGCACCAGAAGCAAAAGTGATTAGATAATAATTCTTGCATTTGACATGGCGCCTATCACACTGGGAGGACATTATCAAGCGCTTCACAAGATTTACTATAAAGTGTAGTGACTGTGTATTTTGTACTGCGTTGGTTGAACTCCAGTAGTTATCCCCAGCGCGCACCCTCTGGAGGCACCCAAGCCTTGGCCCTCACCATCAATGCCTAGTACTCTCTGTAATTACGTAAACAGGCTGCGTCCCTGACCTCGAGAGTATTCCGTGTACCAATCGGGAGAGAAAAAAAATGTGGCCACTCAGTCCTTTGCGGGACACCGTTGTGATGCTGTGTGCAATTGGCTGCCACGTTTCGCACCTCCTCCCAGAAAGCGCTTTGAGACTTCTCAACGAGATGATAAACCGCTATATGAAATGCGAGGATTATTATTATTATGTGTAGCTGGCATACATATGTGGAGCTCTCAGTCTGCTTTGGATACTCTTAAGATTGGTGATGGGTTTCTGCATGTGTCAAGACACCCAGCTGACCCCCAGAAAAACTTTCTTTACGGGGTTTGTACAGGACGTTGTCCATTTTAACCTTTTTTTAAAAAAAACCTTAAGCTGGTGCCCTAGTCTTGAAAGTAGAGATTTTTTTTACATCAGTCCGCTGTGTCCTGGCGGAATATTATCAACATAAGGACAGTACAAAAGCATTCAGCTGCGAAATAATAACGTGCGCTGGTGCCACAGACACCCCAGCAGAGGAAATGTTGTTATGAGGTGAAGTGAACTGGGAAAGCCACAGGTTCTCTGTCACACCATAGAGAATGCACCTGCCGTTAGTTGCTGGGTTTAACTCCTTGTAGCATCCTCATCTACCGTCGAAAAGAAAACACACTGTGATAGCACACCACAAGCAGATGTTGATAGACATTAATGCCCCGTTTGAAAGGCTACAACAACAGCAACCTGCATTTATATCACGCCCTTTCATTCGATAGTGGCTCAGAGCGCTTAACATTGACGGAGCTTGACGCTGAGCTGGGGAGAGAGGGGATGTGACCGTAGGCACGGTCAGAGAAGAACGACTTCAGTTGACATCTGAAGATTGGCAAGGCTGAGGGATTGAGGCAGAAGTATCCAGAGTTTTCGGGTGTCGTGACTTAAAACATGGCTGTTGACGGTGGAACCGATGGGTCGATGGATGTGTAGGAGGCCGAAGCCAGCTGATCGAGGGGGTGGATCGCGGAGTGTGGTGTAAGCAGGTCGGAGAGGTAGGGAGGTCCTCGGTTGAGAGTTGATTTGTAAGTAATTGTGAAGATCTTGAAGTCACTCCAATCTGCAACAGGGAGAGTGTGGGGGCTGGCGAGGACTGAGGTGATGGTTGTGCAGAGTTATAGATGTTGACAAAGATTGTGAGAAGGCACTGTACTTAAACACAACGTATCTCCAAGTTTGAGACTAGAACATTGGCCTAAGCTTTTTTTAAGCATCCCATCTGAAGGACGGCACCTCCATCAATGCAGGGCTCCCCCAAAGACGCAACTGCCTTGAAGCGTGATGTCAGACTGCTTGAGCTCAAAGGCCCGACATGTCGATCGAACATACAACTTTCTGACTTGAGGCGAGAGTGTTACCGAGTGAGTCAGGCCAAAAACCGAATGGGGAAAACAAATCCTTGTGGACCAAGAGCTCACATTGAAATCAAACTTTGTGAACTGCACCTCTAAGTGGCGAATTAACATTTACCATCTGAAACTGCCTGAAACTCCTCTTTCGCTGGTTCTTTAAAGATTCCTAAGAAGTAATTTAACTTTTTTCGAAAAAAGAACCTCTAAAGCTTATTGATGGTGAAATTTGCAATTTCCTACGCATAGTTCCCTTCCTGCCCCTCCGTTCCACCCCCCTCCCCCCCCCCCCCCCCACCCCACTTCAACCCACATTCTCTCTTTGCTTGGGCGACAGATGCTTCAGTGCTGTATTCTCTTGTTAGGAAGATGCATTGTGAGGAATGGAGACAGTTGTGTAAATCAGTCAAGTAACGTTGTAGAACTGGCAGTGCATTCAGCAATTGCTAGCAACTGTGTGTGTGTGTGTGTGTGTGTGAGGACACATGCGCTCAAAAGTATTTCTCCAGCTCGTTTCAAGGGGGTGGGAGAGGGCGATACGGGGAAGGGGTGGGGGTGGGTGGGGGCGGGGGGGGTGAGGAGAATCATTTTGGGATGCGAATGAAAGTAGGTTGAGATTACGGGACCCTGATCTGTTTTGCTAGTGAGGGGATAAAGGCAAAGGGCCCTGAGCGTAATGAGCACATTGAGACAGGTGGTGGCCCATTGTCGCCGATTTAAGAGGAAAGATGGTACATGTTATGAATTTCACGGTTCTATGAGTTACATGATGAGACGTGTTGCTGCTGCCCCCCGCCCCCCGCCCTCCCCCCGCACCCCCCTCCCATCCCATTTTGGTCTGTTTTTATTAGTGCCAAGTACACTGCAGCAGACTGTTCAGAACTGACGGCTCTTAAGCCACACAGCAGCCTGCTCCAAGGCCTCTGCTTCTCCTGACGTACCTGCCCCATTGGGAGATGTACAGTGTAGTGATAGCTCGGAAGACAGCAACAAGAACTTTGCAGTTGACCAGCGCCCTTCACGCAGGGTAAGGTTTTACGAGCGCTGTAGAGAGACGGGGTGGGATGCCATGAGAGGTGGCTTTGCAGATTCCATGCACCAAGGAATGAAAGGCATTGGATTTTTATCCAATGCCTTTCATAAGGCTTGAATTTGAGACTGCACCTTTCACGTCAGGGAGACGTGTCAAACCATTTCACAGGATATTCTGCAAAGTGTAGTGGCTCTTATTTTGTGGGGGAATGCAACAGCCGGTTTGCGCATAGCAACGTCCCACAAACAGCCAGAAAGTGAATGGCCAATTTTATCTGAAGGATTGTCAGTCAGGACACTGGGAGAAACTACCTTCGCTTTTCAGTTAGTGCCACAGGATCTTTAACATCCACCTGAACAGGTAGACGGGACCTGAGTTTAACATCTCATCTGAAGGACGGTACCTCTGACAATGCAGCGCTCCCCCCCCCCCCCCACCAGCGCAGCATTGGAGCGTCAGTCCCGACCTGGGGCTTGAACCCACAACCTTGTGACTCGGCAAGTGAGAGAGCAACAAACTGAGCCAGGCTGACACCCTGTTCCTCGTGGGAATTCACAGGCTTATGTAACCTACGAGGCATTGCAATGAAGTGTGCTGGGGTTACAATGTGCTGCAACCAAAAAACATGAAGAGCTTCTTTGGCAGATTTTCTGATTTTTCCAGTGGCAGAGTGCACTCACTCCCTTGCCTGGGGTGTGGGGGCAGTGGTGGTGGTTGGGGCGGGCGGGTGGGGGGAGGTTGTATTTGTTCAGTCAGTAATTCTGATTTCCTCTTTTTTTTTGTCCAGACTTCAGTGCGCGCTGCAGAAAGTCAGATTAAAAATAATAAGATTCATTGATGCAAGACCCATCGCGCAACTTTGCATGGCAATCATTGATTTGTAAATCAACACCCCATTGAAGCTGCTTTTCGCGCGCAGGAGTCTGTAGGGCTCGTATGCACCATCTGCTTTATTTTTTTCTTCCACTTTGCGATTCAGGAAAGCCCACGGCAGATGGCGAGGTCAGCGAGTTCAGCCTCCTTGGTTACACAGAGAGTGTGCTGTTCAGAAAGGCATGTGGTGGTTGCCTACAAGCTCCCAGCATCTCCAAAGGTTACGAGAACGGCAGTAAACTTGGCGCTTTCTGCTCCCGATACAACATTCTGGGTCAGCGCCCCCCCCCCCACGTGGATCTCCCCAGTGAGAGGACAGACCCATATTGAATTATACAAAATGGAATAATAAGAGCCATCACAGAATTAATGAGCGCTGACAGTGAACACAGCATTTTAGTGGTGCTCGGCGCAAAATAAGATCTTTCACATGAAACATGTTTTTAGCGTGATATTAATGAGACCGCGAGTGAGCAAGCGAGCGAGCTGGGGTTTACTGTGCCTGCTGGTGCAGTGGCTATCTGCTCCTTGTTGAATTTTTTTAAGAAATTGATATTTTACACGCTTTTAGTTTGTCTCTTTGCTGTTTATTTCGCGGTGAGTGGCAGAGGCAGAATCCAGTCAGTTTGTTTCTTAGCCAGGCGTGCGGAGGAGATCTGAGCTCTCAGGTGGGAGAAGGCATACCCAGACATCACAGGTATTCCTTTATTCCTGCCTTATATAAAGGCCCTAGTTCAGTGTGCTGGTGTCCACATCAATTGAGGCAAGATCCTTAACTTTGTTTTTATAAACAACAACAACAACAACAACAAGATTCCATTTATAAAGCTCCTTTCACGTCAGGAGGACGTCCCAAGGCGCTGCTTCCCAAGGGAATTAAAAAAGAGGTATAGGAAAGTGGGATTAGATTCGGTGGCTCTTGTGAGGCAAAACAGCAAAGCAGACTTGATGGGTTGAAAGGCCTGTTTCTGTAACAATGTAAGCTGTAACGTTCTGTGATTCCCTCTCATTTTTGTTGAGAGTACAGTAGCATATTTTTTTTGTGTCCTGTAGCGACCAGGTTAGAGCACTCGCCTCGTAAGCGACAAGATTTGGGTTCAATTCCGAGACAGGACCAAATCTTCGGGAACATTCCTTACTCCACACGCCTCCATTTACCCTAATTTAGTTACTCAATCCGCAACTGTATATGGGACACTGCAGTGCGCAATTGGCTGCCTCGTTTCCCCCAAAAATACAGTCAATTCACTTTACAATATATTCAGTGAAGCGCTTTCAGATGTCTCGACGATGTGATTATATCAAATGCAAGGATTATTATTATTATTATCTTCCTGACCCTGAACAAGCTCTGAGATGACAAGCCAGACCAAGCCAGCCTGAATTAATCTAAATGTTTGTTTACTGTTGATGAGCCTGTCTGGGTCGCCACTGGGACAGGGAGGTGTAAGGCTCTCACTCATCGCACCAGTAACCAGTGCTTCCCTTCTGTCTCTTCTCCCCCAGCCCATTGACGAGAAGGTTTAAGTTGCTTTAATTGGAGCTTATTTTCATCACCCAGGCAGTGTGGGGAGAGACACAAAAGGTGTGTGACGATGGCTCTGTTCGACATGTTTCTCTGCAGGAATCAATACTCATTTAGTAGCAACTGTAAAGAATTTTTTTTTTGCACCTAGTTTCTGAAACTAAATCAGAGAATATCTGACATAGTTATAGCATAACGAAGACAGAAAGCTCAGCTAAATCAGGTTTTTTTTCCACTGAAGCAGAATAAGCGATTGAGGTGTTTAGACTCTGAAGGCCCGTGACAAGGTAAATAGAGAAAAGCAATTTTCTTCAGTTGTGGAGTTGGTGATAAAGGGTGGGAGTGCAGAGATTCTGTATTGTTCTGGACTCTGGATTAAGATCCCATGGTGCTATTCGAAAGGAGAAGGAAGTTTCTCCCGGTCTTCTGGCCATCAATTAGCCGAGTAAAAAAAAATGTTGTCATTCACTTCATAGCTGTTTGTGGGACACTGCTGCTTGCAAATTGGCCACCGCATCCATCTGCAAAATATACAGTCACTCCACTTTACAGTAAATCCTGTGAAGCGCATTTGAGACCTGTTGATGGCTTGGTAAGGCGCTATATCAAATGCCAGTATTGAAATAATAATCCTTGCATTTGTTATAGCGCCTTATCACGTCATTGAGTAGTCTCAAAGCGCTTCACAGAATATATTGTAAGTGGATTGATTGTGTATTTTGTGGGTGAAACGTATTAAAATTATGATTCCAGTTAAGCAGAAAAATCGGGAGTTAAAGGAATTTCTTGGGGTTGGATTGATAGAATTGTCCATCGGTGAAATTGAATTGAGAGGCAAAACTATTGAAGGGTTTGGGGAGCGTGCTGGAAAGTGGGATTCAAAAAATAATGTATAGCAGCAGTGCAGTCAGGATGGACAGAATGGCCTCCTTCTGTGCTGACAATTTCAAAGTGGATTTGAATGAATAATTGAGGCTCACATTATTAACTCATATCCACTTTGAAATTCCCCAGAGTGTGCTCTGTGCTGCAGCTCAATGTCAGACATCCATTTTCCTGTGTGTTCCATTGGCTGCGAAGCTTTTCTAAAGTACCGAATGTTAAATATGTGATAAGTGGGTGTCGATCAGGGAAACCGCTGGCTGCCAAATACCGTGGGTATTGTTACAGTGCATTCCTCTCCAGTCTGTGATCCGTGAGGAATTGCCGGGGCTTTGTTTAAATGATTTGCTATAAGATTTGGCTTGTATACCGAATTTGATAGTTGACTAGGAAATATAGTTACTTATGTTGTAACAGTAATCCTTGCATTTGATACAGCGCCTTATTACGTTGTCGAGACATCTCAAAGCGCTTCACAGAATGTACTGTAAAGTGAATTGACTGTATATTTCGTAGGCAAAACACGGCAGCCAATTCCGCACAGCAGTGTCCTACAAACAGTCATGGATTGAGTGACCAAATTATTATTTATTTTTTGGAAGGGTTTACTACGCCCCGAAGTGATCTACCAATCGACGCACATCCGGGTTCCTACTTACTGTTAGATAAACAGAAGCTTATGGATGAAGGAAACTTGCATAACGGTTCGCCCTGCCTGGGAATCGAACCTTTATGAGACTGAAGTACAACAATAATGCATGCGTTGAGGACAAAGTAGCAGCGGCGGAGGCAGGGCACTAAGGTGGGGTCCACTTCCTGAGTTCCTCCACCATTTATTGCATCATCAGCTGCTCAGCAAAACTTTCCTTCCTGAGTTACTGTCACTGAATGTGTAATTTCTCTCGCTTGTTGTGTGAGCTGCTGTCTCTGCTGCTCTTCCTAATACAAGTCAGAAGCTGGACTTCCCATCCAGCCTTAGCCAGCCAGTAAGTCCACTTTTGCCTTGAACATTTTTTAGATCACGCTGAAGGGGAGAAGTAGATGGGCATATGAAAGATACAGCCTCTGAGAGTCGGTGCAGACTTGGTAATAATCATCATAATAATAATCCTTGTATTTGATATAGTGCCTATCACATTGTTGAGAAGTCTTAAAGTGCTTCACAATATATTGTGAAGTGCAATGACTGTATTTTGTGGGCAAAATGTGGCAGCCAATTGCATCCCACAAACAGTTCTGCATTAAGTGATCACTTTTTGGGGGGGGGGAGGGTAGGTGCATTATTACCCTCGGAAAGCAAACCACCAATCGACTAACAATCAGGTTCCTATTTACTGCTGGGTAAACAGAGGTGTGTGGAGCAGGTAAACTTGCCGAAGGTTTTGCCCTGCCCGGGTATCGAACCTGGTTCCTCTCAATCAAATTAGATGATTCTAATTTGGACGGATGTCGCTGTGAACATTAAGCAGGTCAGGCAGCATGTATGGAGAGAGGAAAGTGAGTTAACTTTTCAGGTCGATAACTTCTCGTCAGAAGTTCTGTTCAAATCACATTCAGCTTCCAGTTGCAATTATATTATTAAGGGTTATATTATTAAAGGCGCTGGCTGTAAACCTACTAACAATAAATGTTGGATGTAACACCTCTGCCCCTTCTTTGCCCCCTCTTACCAACCCTGTCTGCCACTCCTGCCCTCTCTCCCTGCCTCCTCCGTGCTAGCCACCCAGTGCCAGAGACAGAACACACAAGTCTCAAGGTCAGTGAGTGTGTGCCTAGAGTTGATTTCAGTAGCAGAACAGTGAAATTGTCCCAGCTTGGCACCGAGACAACAATGTGGTAATGGGTGGAAATCTTTCGCTATTCAGCTCCTGTGATTCAGCTTTCAGATGACTGCTTTTCTTCCTGTTGAATTGGAAACCGGCTCAGCTCTAGGAAGGGCAAGGTGGTGACAGATGGAAAGGGCTCCATCCAGGGAATTCCTCAAGTCAATCTTTCCAGTACACAGCGCTCGGAAAATGTCACAGTTCTGCACCTGAAGTACACAAACATGTACTTGTACATGTGGACGCATATATAAATACAAGTACAAACATATACACGCAGTGCACATGCAGGCAGCCCACATACGGGGAAACAGGGACAGGAGGAGGCCATTCAGACCATCAAGCCTATTCCGTAAATTTATTAGATCTCGTTGGATGTTTTAATCCCAATTCTCTGCCCATTCGCCAAGACCCTTTTTTTTTACTTCCGCTGCTCAGATATTTGCCTGTCTGTTTTAAAACATCCCTGTTGATTCCTCTCTCCAGCTCTCTGGGGCAGAGCGTTCTACATCCTCACAGGGCTCTGCATGAGGAAACACTTCCTGACCTCAGCTCTAACCAACTTGGCTCTGATTTCAATTTCTTTCCTTATTTTCAGTGCCTCAGTCAAACAGGGTGAGATCAGTTGGGCCGTAATTAATCCAGTGACAGACTGAACCTCTTATCAGCTCTGGGATGCTACCCTACATGAGAGCTGCTATACAAATACAAGTTGTTGTTGTTGAACCTGGGACTGCTTCGCACCACGTGAATTACATTAATAATAATAATAATCCTTGCATTTGATATAATGCCTTATCACATCATTGAGATGTCTCAATGCACTTCACAGAATACATTGAATACATATATTCAATGTAAAGTGAATTGATTGTGCATTTTGTGGGCAAAACAAGTCAGCCAATTGCATACAGCAGTGTCCCGCAAACGGTCGTGGATTGAGTGACCACATTTTTTGTTGGAGGGATTATTACCCCTGGAAAGCAATCTGCGAATCGACTGACAACCGGGTTACTACTGCCAGGTAAAAAGAGTGTGGACTAAGGAAACTTGCTTAACGTTTCACTCCGCTCGAGAATAAAGTACCCTGCGCTTGCAGCACAGGGTTGTCCCAGTGTTTCTGATTTTTGTGTATTATAAATTAACAGAAGGAGAAACTTTGTCTCCCCACAGGGTGTCCTGACACTGTGAAATAATATGTCTTGTGCTTTGTGTTTGCAGGACTCAGAAAACGTCCAGACTGCAGTACCTTGCTAGTCCTGACTACAGATACAATGGCCATAAATGTAAGTAATTCCACATTAGTGCGACACCAACTTCAGGTTTGCTGGAGTCTTGTGAACAAAATAATATGAATCGATGTTTTAATTCCCGAAGGCATGTTAAGCATTTGTCCTTCCGAGGTCCATCTGCCTGTTCAAGTGAAGGTTAAAGATATCCCATGGCACTTCTCGAAAAGAGAAGTGAGTTTCTCCTCGTGTCCTGGCCAACAATGATTCACTCCATCCCACAAACAGCCGTGGGGATGTGTGCAAAATTGGCTGCCGTGTTCGCTCACAAAACATATTGACAGTACATTCTGTAAAAGGAGCTATACCAAACGTAAGGCTTACTATTTTGATTTATACAAATGCAATTTGTTGTTGTTTACAGTTGAAAGTTGGGGGTAACGTTAGTTGGGCTCAGTTTTGCCCTCAGGGTTGTATATCGTGGAGTCCTATAGCTCAGTGGTTAGAGCACTTGCTTTGCAAGTGAGAGACCTGAATTCAATTCCAGGCAGGGGGCGAAACCTTGGGCAAGTTTCCTTACTCCACACAGAGCCTAATAATAATCCCTCCAAAACCAAAAACAATAATAAATTGGTCATTTTCAATCTACGACTGTTTGAGGGACATTGCTGTGCGCAATTGGCTGCCGCGTTCGCCCACAAATATACAGTCAATTCACTTTACAGTGTGTTCTGTGAAGCGCTTTGGGACGTCCTCCCGACGTGAAAAGCGCTATATCAAATGCAAGGATTATTATTATTATTATTATTATAATATCTACCAGCTCTCTCTGGGCTGCCAGACTTCCACTGCTAGAGAAGGAGAGACCTGTGGAGATATCGCTAGCCTTTGCCTGACGTCACTGTTGTAGGTACTGTCCATGCTCAAGGCTTGAACATCCATCTCATTCTGCGATAGGTTGGAGCTTCAGTGTGCTACACGTCGTTTAAGATCAAAGTGACATCAATCTTAGTCCAGCTGCAAATAGACATGCCTGCAGTCTCTCACATCTGCTTAACGGCATAAAGGTTTTTTTTTCTTGGGTCTTGTTGTGACCCTGTATCGGAGGATTTCAGTGTGCGAACCCCTTAAAGGCGATGCGATTAGTCTTTCTGTAAGTGTGGTAATTTCTGAGGTTTGAAGGTTAAAGCGATTATTGGGTGTATGCAGAAAGGTTAGTCATCTTTCTCTCTTGTGTTCGCCACAGATGTGAAGTGTCTTTGTTGCCGGCGGTTACCGTAATGGAATAATATGTATCTGCAACAGGAAATACAGTATTAAAATCTTTCAGAAAATGTTTGCAGTGCAAATAAGAAAACGGTAAAACAAAAGCCAAAAGCTCAAAGTCTCGGTCAGGTGATGACTATCAGCTTTGTGTTTATTGTAGAGAGTTTCTATTATAGAGACCAGGGCAGAGAGAAGAGAGAATTTGTAATTTTGTATGTAGCTCACAGGTACACAAACCATCAATTGCTTCCCCGATAATTATAATAATAATATTAATAGTATTCCTTGTATTTGATATAGCGCCTTATCACGTCATTTAGCCGTCTCAAAGCGCTTAACAGAATACATTTTGAGATTGTTTCCAACCAAGTTGGTTTGCTTTCTTTCATTTCAACTTCTACGCCCCTCACCTCAGAAACTCCCTCCAACCTCCTGCTGTGACTCGCCCCCCCCCCCCCCGCCCACCCCTTTATCTGTCTTTAAATCTCACCTAGAAACCTACCTCTTGCACCATGTCTATGAGCATCTGTCCTTTCCTCTCTCCCTTGTTGGGCTTCTGATGCCATCCCTGTAAAGCGCTTAAAGACGTTATCCAGCATGAAGGACGATATATAAATGCAAGTTGTTGTTGTTGTATCATTCAGTCGTTTGAACTGTGTTTCTACATTTCTTTTGCTACTTGTTTCAGTTTGTACTGTTTACTTTGCTGATTCTGCAGTTATCAGCATTAACTTCCTCTCAGAACACGTTTATTCCCCTGCGCAAAAGTGTTCAGCGTTACCAGTTGTCAGCGACTATTTGCAGGAATCTCATATGGGGGTGGCCATTCTTAACTGTCTCTGTGCTGTTTTCCCCCTTAGTTTGGAATAATTAACACAAAAGGAGGACTGAAAGGATTCACCGACCAAAATCTCTTTTCAGCAAAGGGTGAGTACATGTTCAATGTAAAAAAAATGTACCATTTGCCTGAATCATAGTGGAGTCGTGGGAGTTTGCCTCAAGTTCACCCCCATTTAGAAGCCTTGACTTGCCCCGATGTACAAATGCAGCCTTCTGCAGACCTGCTCACTTGGAAGTGACTCCGGATCCACCTCTTTGGCACTTCCTTCCTGTTCAGTTTTATTTTGGAAGTGAATCCAAAAACATGGCAACCTTGTTCATTTACTCAGGTGTGGACTTTCTCTGCAGTGTAGAGGACTTTGGCATGTCGAAGCCTTTTGTGTGTTGCATCTTGACTCAGTGTTTGAATCCGTGCAGCCTCATTCAAAATTTGTGCACTATACACTGTCGTTGCGAACTGCATACACGTGCACACCTGAACCACCTACACAGATATATGGGTGTGTAGTGCCTGGAGTCCCGTAGCATAGTGGTTAGCACGCTCGCCTGGCAAGCGAGAGGACATGGGTTTGAATCCCTGGTGGCTGAAACCTTAGGCAAGTTTCCTTACTCCACACGCCTAATAATAATCCCTCCAAAAACAATAATAAATTGGTCATTTTCAATCTACGATTGTTTGTGGGACATTGCTGTGCTCAATTGGCTGCCGCGTTCGCCCACAAATATACAGTCAATTCACTTTACAGTGTGTTCTGTGAAGCGCTTTGGGACGTCCTCCCGACTTGAAAAGCGCTATATCAAATGCAAGGATTATTATTATTATTATATTATTATTGCTAGGGTGGGATCCCTACAGCGGAGATATAGGGAAGTGCTAGGGCATGAAGGGATTTCTAGATGAGGGTGAGAACACTGAAAACATTCAGCTGGGGAACAGAGAGCCAGTGGAGCGTAGTGAGGACAACTTAACAGGAGCACACATCAATCACACACTGGTGAGGACCTGAGAAGTTTAATTGTTTTGAGCTGAGCTTTCTCTTCTGAGTTCCTGGACAAAGAGCAACAGAAAGTGTTTAAGTAGGCTCAGGTCTGTCATGGAATTATGATAATTCATTCCATCTTGGCCACTGTTTTATGCACCCCCCCAACCCCCTCTGCACACACAATACATGCTGTTCCCCTCGTAGCTTTGGCTTGCAATTTCGTGTAGACCTCTCGGCAGCTGCAGAACAGACATTCAGCAGAACCACTCTCTTGGGGAAGTTTTAAACTGTACCCAACCCACAGAGGTACCATCTTGCTCTTTACGCTTCTCTTGCTTTAAGAAAGTTGCTGTTACAGGCTATCACCAGAAAGGGTTATAGTTTATCACAGACTCTTAAGCAGCGCTGCCTTTTGCTTCTCCTTCGCTCAAAGTATTTCTGTTGACCGGGGATCACCTCAAAGAGAGACCGTGAAGTGCAGTTGCATCTGCAGAAACTCTTTCCTCTGCGGGTCCGTTCGAGGGAAGATAAAACACTAAGTGCAGTTTAATGCAATTTCGAGAGGCATCAGTAATACAACCAACTTGGATCAATATTAATACAGTACAAATTTACATTTACACAGCATCTTTAATGTCAGGAGGATGTCCCAAAGCGCTTGACAATTCTGGCTGGGTACCCGAGCTGGGGATGAGAACTGAGTGGTGGGTGGGGCTCTCCTGGGGAGGGTTTAGATGACTTGGTCAAAGAGGTATGTCTTGAGACAAAGATTAAATGAGATGAGGGAGGGAGCGAGTCAGAAGGACTCTGGGATGGAGTTCTAGAGACTTGGGCAGAATGACTAAAACCCCTACCGCCAATGGTGGGGCAGATAGGGCAAAGGACACAATAAAAAAATTAACCGAAATATAAAATCTAAAATATAAATAATACAGAAGTTATTTTCTTTGACTTAAAGCGAATGTTTTCCAACCTAGTGATAGCAAAACTGAAAGATCGATGGGTGACAGATGTCAGTGTGACTGAACTGGTGTGACCATGGAAACAGGACGTGGCCATTAAGCCCACCAAGTCTGTTCCAGCAGTTTATTAGGATCTTGGCAGATCTCTTATTCCCAGTGGCCCTGACTTTTCCAATACCCCAAACACTGGTGCCACATGTGGGTCAGTAGGTTTTGGATTTAAGAGCCACGTCTGGACTTTGAACTTGCAGTCTAAAGAGAACATAGGTTTAGAGTTGCCAAGGGCAATTTCAGGACAGGCACCAGGAAGGTTTCTTTACCCAGAGGTTAATTAACGACTGGAACATGTTGGCAGGCAGGTAGGGTGGTTGAGGCCAGGACGGCTGTTGTGGGGACAATGATGTGTGCAAATTGGCTGCCGCATTCACCTACAACATACTCAGTTACTATATTTCCTGTGATGCACTTTGAGACATTTCGATGACATGATAAGGTGGTATATCAAAAAGCGAGGATTATTATTACTAATGGAATGTTTTAGAGGATTATTATTATTAATGCGACAGGCACCTGTAAGGAAAGTGTAGTCTCTCAACTTCAGGAGAGGAGGAAGAGAGATTAGAACAAACATTGTTTGTAGAATGTTCAGTAATACAGAAACTACTATATCTATAATCAACGTCTGTACCACGCCCAAGACAGAGCTCCGTCTCGGGCAGAAACGACACAAACGCCCTGGCTGTACCACACCCCTCATTCACACAAACCTCACCGCCAGCATTTCTACTGGAGTCCTGTAGCTCAATGGTTAGAGCACTCGCTTTGAAAGTGAGAGACCAGAGTTCAATTCCAGGCAGAGGGCGAAACCTTGGGCAAGTTTCCTTACTCCACACAGAGCCTAATAATAATCCCTCCAAAACCAAAAACAATAATAAATTGGTCATTTTCAATCTACAACTGTTTGTGGGACATTGCTGTGCGCAATTGGCTGCCGCGTTCACCCACAAATATACAGTCAATTCACTTTACAGTGTGTTCTGTGAAGCGCTTTGGGACGTCCTCCCGACGTGAAAAGCGCTATATCAAATGCAAGGATTATTATTATTATTACTGGGAGATTAAACCACTACTAGGGCTGGTATCAGTTAGATGGTCTACTGCAAACCTGCCCGAGTGCCTGAGAGTGTTATTGGAAGTTGGGAGGGAGTGGGGAGGTGAGGAAAGAGTGTGGCAGCTTTGCTACAATATGTGTAATCCACATCTAAGCATCTAGGCTCTTAATTTTACCGCAGTCATGTTTCATCGTATGTCACTTAGCATTCACTCTGCCATAGTCAGCCAATTTGCATACAGCAGTGTCCCACAAACAGCCATGAAACGAATAACAAATTTTATTTGGGAGATTCTTGGCCAAGACACCAGGAGAAACTTCCTTCTCTTTTCAAATAGTGCCATGCTGTTGTTAAACTCCACCTGAACAGGCAGATGGGACCTCGGTTTAACTTCTCATTAGACCGACGGCACTTCTGACAATACAGTACACCCTCAGCACTCTATTGGAGAGTCAGTGTAGACTATACGAGTTCCGAGTCCTGACATGGGGCTTTAACCTACAACCATTTGACTCCACGGTGACACACTGAAACCACTGACTGCGGCATTTTATCTTCTGTCTCAGGCAAGATGGCAGCTGCATTTGCAAACAAAACAGTTATTTTGCTCCAACAGCTCAGCACCTCTCCTGCTCCCCTCGTTGAGCAATGAAAGAGTCATTTGAGGATGCTACAGACTTGAGGACGCCTGGAGTGTCCTCAAGTCTGGCTGGTTCAACTTGGCAGCGATTTAGAGCTGGACAGATATAATGTGTTAAATTTTAATCCATTGCCATCTTGCCCCCACCCCCACCCACCTCCCAGCAATCCAAGAAAATATGCTCAAGAAATAAATCAAAGGCCTACTGTATGACCTCTTGGCTTATGGCAGCTGCTCCTTCCCAGGTCTATTCATTATCCTCCACTGTAACCACTTCTCTCGGGGTCCCTGTCCAAAGTACAGCTGTTCTCTTCCACCCACTGACTTCACAGCTCTCTCTGCAATGTTTGGAATGATGTGACAAACTCCTGCTTCAGCCTTCTGTCCGACCCCTTTCACCCCAGCCCTCGCCCGGCTCCACGGGCTCTCCATCCCCCAGAAGTTAGAGTTCAAAATCCTTGCCTTTAAAGCCCTCCACAGCCTTGTTCCTTCCTACTTCTGTGACTTGCTAACTCCATGTAGACCTATTCTCTCCCTCTGCTCAGCAGGCTCCGGCCTCCTCCATATCCACCATCTGCTTTTTCCGCTTCGGGCGGAAGTGGGCACAGCGTGTTTGTGACCAACTTCTGCTCGTGGGGGCTTTGCCCATTTATGGTTGGAGAGTGAACTTTGCCACAATAAGCGGGCTTGTACAGGGTGTTCACAAAGTCAGTTTACTTACATTTATATAACGCCCCTCACGCAGGGCAGCATTTCCCTACAATAACAGTGACTGCACTTTACAGTGAATCCTATGACAGATTTCCCTAAATCAAAGGAGCTGCATCAAATGCAAGAATTCTTCTTTCTTGACCTCTGATCAAAATGCACTTGGTTTCTCGTGTGAAAAAGCAATACTCAGTGTGGCAATACTTCTCAGTACCACTGGCCAGGGCCTGCTTCTCTCCAGCTCTTTCATTTTCTGCATGAACTGCAAGGTTGCCTTTTAGCTGCAAAGAGAATCAGTTGTGAAATTAAGTGATTAAATAAGTTCAGAAAGTGTGGTGGGCATCACTGACAGATTGAGCCTCTGACATAATATCCTTTCACTATGACTGCAGCTAACCTATACTGGGGCTTTAGGCCTCATTTACTCCCTGCTGCTTGTTTAAAGTCAAGACCGTAGATTCTTTTAAAAGGGAATTGGAAACGTGCTTGAAAAAGAGGAATATTAAAAGGTGAGGGAAGTGGGATTCGATTTGCTGGCTCATGTGCAGAAAAACACCATGCAACCCAACGGGTCAAAACGGTCCATTTCTGTGCTGCAGCTTTCTTGGATTCCATAAAATGGCCTCTTTGTGCCAAGTAATGTGTTGATTAGAGTTCATAAGGACATTCAATTATTCCGTAT